AAAGCACTCTATCACATATTTCGACAGGATCCGTAATAGACGCGTTTCTATTACAGGTTCCAGGTTTCAGGTGCGAGACCGCTGACACTTCCTTCCTGCAATCCATCTAGTTACACCATTACACAGCGCATACAGCTTGCGCACGTAATAACGTAACAGGAGATCTTTCTTCTTTCAACAGGCCGCCTTGCAAGCTCACACACCGCGAGCAGCTTCATTCTCAGTTCCAGCGCCACCCACAGGGCATTCAGTGTTGACAAGAACAACCATCTCTTCGTCACATGTCGAGAGAGCTGGTCGGCATCATGCCCATCTTGTCATTCTCCTTGTCCTCGTTGAGCTAAATTTGCCCATAGTGTTGGGCTTACAAGCCATGTTTGCTTTGGTCGTCATCACCCTCTTTTCATGCTTAACTTACACCCTGCCTCATGACCTCCACGTGGCCGAAGGGAGGCGGTGCTTGCAACCAAAACTGGCACAGCAACCCGGTTCAAAGCTCACTTCCAAAACCTGCTGTCGAGCTCTTCTCTGACGATCAACATGCATCATCAGAGACAGGCGCACCCTTCTTGTTCTTGTTCCTGTTCCTAGAATCGTATTCGGTGGCAGTGCGGTTGAGATCACCATTGTCAGACGACCAAGCCCAAGTTTGAGCATTCGAATGTAAATTTCGAGCGCCCTAACAATGAGAATTTTTTGCGAAGATATCTCCACTCGGCAACTTAGCCGTTTGGCACTGCAAGTTTGATATCAAAACTGCTTTCATACCCGGCGAGACGATGCATTTATCCTTTCATTCACAACACCACCGACTATCACGACACAGGATGGGCGGTGTTCAACCTCGCAAGAAGCCGACTGTCAAACTATCACCAATCACTGCTCCAGCGCAACAAAGCAACAATCCAGCGCAGACTGCAAATGACTCTGCGATACGATCCAGTGTCGACACCATACCAGCCTCCACAATCGCAGCAGACAAACACCTAACCTCAGATGTGACGCTGTTCGATTGATACAAAACACCATATACTCAACACGTTTGTACCAACCGTTGACCCTATCAACTGCTTTAGCATCTTCCTCAAGCCTCCAAACGACAGCACAGACTATCACACCAGCTTGATTGTCTACCTGTATGCAAACTTGCATTTTTGCGGGGTTCATGATGATGTGTTCGTCAGGCGACAAGACATCGTAGACGAGTAAAATGTACATATGCAGTAAAGATCGCCGAGCAACTCGTTCGACCTTTGATGAATGCAATAGAAAAGAGTGAAACGAGACCAGTAAACCAAATTCACTTGAGAGGACGTTGCTACCGTACGAGCCAAAGATCGTCCATCGAGCTCATGCCTTAGGCCACTTTTTAGGCAGCAACAGTGGAGAGAAGGTCCGAGTCACCAGCGTCGAGGATGGTCATAACACTGTTTCGCAGATCCAGGTGAAAGAAAGAAAGGGTGTGATGCATGGTCAGAATGCTGTTCAATGTGCCGACGTGCTGCTGCTAGTTGCTGGTATTGTTCTTAACTTACCCAACGCGGAAGAGCTTACCGGCAGCAGTACCAAGAGCGACGTTGGTGCCCTGGTAGTGGTGAACGGCAGTCTTGGAAAGCATGGCGTAGTACTCGATCTCGGACTTGCGAAGAGGAGGAGTGTTGGCCGAGATCAAGACAAGCTTGGCCTTGCCGGAGCGCATGTTCTTAAGAGCGCTCTTAAGACCGAGAGCAACCTTACCCGACTTGATCACGAGCTGGAGCTTGGTGTTGATGTTGTCCTGAGACGACTTCTTAGCCTTGGGTGCCATGATTCTGTCCGTGTCAAAAGCGGTGGTGTGTGCGTGTGGTGGATGGTGTGGATGGGAGAAAGGTTGAAAGAAAAGGCCTCCAGTAAGTATCACGTGTGATGCTTAACTTTCGCAGGCAAGAATCCCTGAAGATCGCAAGGGAAAGAATCGAAGATAGAATGCAAAGGCAACAAAAGAGGTCGGCATGCAGCTCTCTTTTTTCTCTTTGGTCTCGCAAACGGAACGGCAGCAAGTCTCATACGACACTACTTAGATGTTGTCCATGCACTTTGTTGGTGATGCCGGTGTGATATATTCTGCCCATCTGATGTCGTCACTTGTTTTATCTTTGATGCTGAATGTTTGGCGACTGGCCGAACGTGACTGCTGTATGACTTTGCTGAGTTGGTGACCCCGAGCATCAATCGAACAGTGACCTTGTCTCCTTTGACACCTTCATCAGCATCATTAAGAGCAATGACTCCAAATGTCGATCTTATTGACCAACCTTCGTGTGTCTGCAATCCTACGTCTCCTCAGCTGTCAAATGCTGAACCGGTCTCGATGCGTCCTTCGTCTATGATCCTTCCATATTGACCTCGGGATGCTACTGTTGCTGTGATTGATTACTTACGCTATGTGATATGTGTGCGGTGAGGTCGGTGACTTGGAAGTAACAGAAGGAACGATGGCGTCGAGACTTTGGATATGGGCCTGCCCTAGCCTTGATGACCTCGAAATTCTCAAATTGGGCTTGCAGCTGGCTCTCTTCGCACGACTTGGGCGTCCAAACCGGCAAACTAACATCCCAAACTGGTGGAAAATGGTCAAAACTTCTGGACAGGCTCAACTTGCGGAAGCGGACGCAGTGAATTTCGAGATTCGAGATGTGAAGATTAAAGCGCGCTGTGCTACCTAAAATCGAAATGCAGTTGGATGAGCACCGTGGGAAGTTTTCAGCACGTGATTAGAACACTGCCAAAGTGCCTGCAAAATAAATCTCAGAAAACCCCAAGGCAGAAAGCTGTTTTTCGGTCCCGCTTTAGTCAGATAGCTAGAAACGCCAGAGCGAACAAGACTCAGAGGGAGAAAAGCTGGGAATGACTTGGTGTCGAAGAAAGAGGCAGCAGAGCTAGGCAAATGAGAAAGTGGCAGCATGTGAGAGAGTTGGCTCTTGGACGTTGCTGACACTGAGCAAGCTCTGAAGGCTCTCGACGCTACCACACCTTCTCTCTGCTCCCACCAGTAACTCTCAAGACATACTCTAGCCAAGGTAAGCTCGACAATAGCGCCGTCATCGAGGTCCCTGGACAATCCGAAGCTGCAATCTTGTCGAACCACGCCGGCATCAGCATCAACACATCATAATTGGATCAGCACCAGTCATTTCTACATTCGTCGCATTGGAGCCTACATATCTGTTCGGCAGGATCGCACAGCAGATACTTCAGGCATCCATATCTTTATAGCCAGCACCTACGGCACTTTTTCAAATGACCACCAACTTTTTGCAGCACCGACAGAAGCTGTCCCAAAGTCGAAAATTGCCAAACAACAAATTGCAGACACGCCGACCAAATCGATCGCAGTTGTCGGATTGTCCTCATTGCCCTCCGATCCTCACACCACCATCGATCCAGTCTCTGACCCTCTTCCAACTTCACATCACACCTATCGTTGACCAAACTAAAAGATGACGAAGGGTACCACTTCTTTCGGTAAGCGACAGTAAGTATCATCTGTCAACAAACGCTGCATCCGACACACCACTTCCGCACCCCATCAGAGAGGATATCATGAGTCAATGGGCAGGTATGGCAGCGGCGTCCGGCTATCATCATCGACCGCATCGGGAGGACAGGAAGCGTTTTAATGGACGTGACACCGAAGAGACAGCTGACACTGGCACATGAGGATGACAGCAGATGACTGTACTGCGCGGATTAACTTCAGTCAAGGTAACACGTCGTGCATGCCACAGATATTAATAGACGCAAGGTGCATGATGGAAGCAGCAAAGCTTGGACGCTGGAGACGCAAGTTTCGCTATCAACTTGTCTGAAGAGTTCCCCGTATAGCTCATGTTGTGGTCGCACCGCCAGCACCATTTGAGGAAGTAAATGCTTTTGATGGACGAATATGTTGCGGTGTGGAAGACCTTGTGTCGCGGATTAGCAACCTTTTGAGTCGCCGCACAGCATGCTCACCATTCATCCTCGTCCCTCTCGACCTCGTTTAATCTAACTCTACAGCTCCAAGACGCACACCGTCTGCCGACGATGCAACGCTCGTTCCTTCCACCTCCAGAAGAAGGTCTGCGCTTCGTGCGGTTACCCCTCGGCCAAGATCCGCTCTTACGAATGGGGCCAGAAGGCTAAGCGCAGAAAGACCACCGGTACCGGCCGCATGCGCTACCTCAAGAACGTCAGCCGCCGTGCCAAGAACGGTTTCCAGACTGGCGCTCCCGGCAAGAAGGTTGCCGCCTAAATCAGTCATGATTCGTGTTTAGCTCGCTATCGTCTCTGGTCTTGGTCTCCGATCTCTTTTCGTTTTGCATTCTTCGCTGCACTCTCGTTTGACGTCGGCCCCCATCTTCCGACGCTTTCCAGCATATTCCCCCCTTTCTCACTCTCTGCGGACCTTCGACGCATTACAATCGGATAGTCACATCTTGATGCTTGGCACCCTCGTTGAACGTTTCGCGCTATCATTCATTCACACATCCAAAAACAAGGACCGCATCCTTCCTCCTGGACTTGTTGCTTCGCAAGAACAGAAGTGTACCAACAGTCAAGGTGCGAGGAGCAAGTGCATGTAGGTCTTGCGCTAGCGTAGCTGTAGGCTCTGGCTGAAAGTTGTTCTGCGCGTTGTACATCACATTCACCAGCACAACTTCCCTGCTACATACAAACTAGTCGAACCCATCTCTTTTCTTCACTAACCTCCGTGTCGCCCTTGCACAAAATACATGACTTTTCAGATCTCCCTCTAGTGTGCTGCCGTATCCTGTTGTGTCCGTCGAGATTGCAGAAGGAGAAACGGGAGGTTGATGATGGCCAAACCACGATGGTTGCAATGGTGAAGCTCATCTTGGACATTGACGAACAGGCGAAGATGTCACACGATAGTATGTGAGGTCGGAACTCGGTGTTGGGGAGGTTCGATTGCTTAGAGACTAGCTGTGTGAAAATGACATGTGATGTAGTATTGAAGTCTACTCCTCGTCACTCTCGATGATGCGCTTCTTCCTGGCAATCGCCTGACTGCCAGCTTGGCCATCCTCGCCTTCAGCATTCTGTTCATCCTCATCCGAAGAGAAGGCGGGCTCTGGCCTGCGTTTCTCTTTCGATTCACCACCACCTGCTACTGCTGCCTTTTTTCGTGCACGTTCAGCCTCCTCAATTTTTTGCTCTGCCAATTCCATCTCATCAGGCTCGTCGTCGACCTCCATTGCATCCTCGTCATCAGACGATCTTTTCTTCTTTCGTCGACCAGAACCACGCCCGTGACCCTTTCCATCATCTTCATCTTCATCACCCTCATCATCAACAATGAACCCATCGTCATCCTCCTCAGCATATCTCTGCGACGCAACACCTCTCTTATTGCCACTACGACCACCAACATCATCAGCTGCACCATCGAGATCACTCTCATCACTGTAGTAATTGGTGTTGCGCGGACCAGCACCGGTCTTTCTGCCAGCAACGTAACGACTTCGTCTGCGAGACTCGATATCGAACATGTCGTCGTCGAACTTGCCGCTTTTGCGGTCGGCTTTTTGACGTTCGCGAATACGTTTCTTTTCGGCATCTTTGAGTTCTTTCTCGATACGTGCCTTTTCGACTTCGGGATCGAGAGCACCTTCGCCAGCGGCAGTGGCGACCACACGGGCTGTCTTTTGGAAGCGCAGGGCTTTGGCAATCCTGCGATGCGTCTCGGATTGGATGTCGGCGGGTGTGAAGGCGAGGGAACCAGCGATGGGACCTTGAGCTTCCATGACTTGTTCGCGCTCGTGCGGGACGACGAGGTAGGAAAGACTCTGTGCGGGACGGTTGGAGGATCCGCGGGAACCCATGGGCATACTTTGTGTGGCTTGGCTGAGTAGCTGTGAGGATGGACCGGCAGCTTGTGAGCTCGAGCTCATCTGTGGTGTATTGGTGCCTGTGTTAGTTGCGGTAGAGACTCGACCCTTTTCGGTCTGTTGTGTGATATCAAAGAGTTCGCTACCGACTTGGAGCGACATGGTGCCATCGCTCCAGCGCACGATTCTGGCGTTCGACTCGGGAATGCGGGCACCGTCCTGATCGACCTGATCGGTGTAGCGCCATCGAATGGTGTTCGAGGTACGAAGCAGACTGGCAGCGCCAACATCATTTCCGAATTGAGAATTGAAGCCTTCCTCAAGCAGCGCCTTTTCTTCCTGTTCTTCATCCCAAGTGTCGGCGTCGAAAGGGGTGGTGACGTAGCGAAGGAAATGCGGTATTCTGGCAAGCCAGTGTTCTTTCGTTCGGCGTACAGGAAGTTGTGGGAGAGCGAGATGGGCGACTTCGATGTTGTCGTCGGGCTGAAGATCACCCTCTTCATCCTCTTTGTATTCGAGCTGACGACGAGCTTCTTCGTCGAGCTCTTGAGAGCCTTCTCTGCCAAACGGGCTGCCGCTATGAGATGAACGGCCCGAGCGGCCACCAGCGCCGCCGCCGCGAGCTGGAGAAGATGGATCGAGAGGTGGAGGAGCAGTCAAGCCCTTCGAGCCAGCGGGAGGGGGAGATGCTGATGCAGAATCGACGCGTTGCCTTGGTCGGCGGACCTTACGGCGAACACCTTCATTCTCGTCGTCATCATCGTCATCATCGTTTGCAGCGATCGCAGCTGGCTTCTCTACCTCGTCGTCCTGGCGGTTTCTATTTCTTTGTACTGGCCTCGCTGGCTCTTGTTCATCGTCGTCGTCATCTCCAAAGAGAGCGTCTTCAAGGCCGTTGCCGGTGGTTTGTAAGTTTTCTGGAGCTGCTGCCTCAGCCTGGGAGGTTTGCTCGTCTACTGTGGTGCTTTCATGTGTGTTATTGATGGCCTGGTCTCCTGCCGCTGCAGAGTTAGTAGCCTCTTGATCCGACATGGTGGGGTTGTGGGTCTGTGCAGAGAGGCGCGACGTTCTCTATGTGCACGACGGCAGTCCTTCTCCAATCGGCGCGTTAAAGCTGTGGGCCGTGCAATACGCTCTCGAGATGCCTCCGTTATCTATGAGCTGGATGGAGGGCTTGGTGACCGCAAGTTGTGCGTGAAAGATGCAGAGGTTGAGACGATGAGCAGCGTCGTGAGATGGACACAGAGGTGTGTGATGTTCGGTTGAGCTTCTTGCGCTCTGTTGGATCCGCGTTCCCAAATTTTGACGTGTGTTGCAGAAATATCTTCCTATCGCGCGAGAGCAACTTTGCAAGCATATTAGTTGCTGAGTGTGTTAGGCTCCACACTGTCTGCAATTGTGAAGCCTTCGCACAGCTCAGCACTGAGCAACCAGGCCGACGCGACTCAGCTTTTGACATTGTGTGGATGTCAGCAATCCACAACCATTCTTCCTCAGCGGATTCATAGACATCAGCGCATCGATAACACTAGGCTCAGGAGATCCCTAAAGACTCCAACAAGTATCTTCCCCATCGACAGTGGTTGCCTCATCCACGCTTTGCAAGAAAGGTCCGAACCCGACCACTAGGACTGACTCCGTATCCCCATCATGAGAACGCAACTCGCTAGTGTGGCTCGCGGGCTACTGCGTCAGCCTCCTGTCAGTGCTCCTGCAAGAACCTTCTGCTCCGCATCTGCACCCGCTCTGAGCTCGCGAAGCCGAACCTGGGCCAAGCAGCAGCCAGTGGCACGAACCAGTCTCAAGGACCTGCATCCATTTCCCGAGTCGATGCGTGAGCAACTCGAGAACGCTGATGCACCGCAAGAGCCCTACACTGCAACCGGAAACTCCAACGACCCAGCTGTTCATTCGAGTCGACCCGCATCTCAACCTGCCGAGGTCGATGTCAAACCGAGTGTCGCTGCTCCGGGCATCGTCAAGGGATCATCCAGCAATGGTTCGCCTTCAAGCTCATCCAATGGACCATTGTCGTCTTCGGCTGCCACATCAGCACCTTCAAGTAACGTTTCAGAGGAATGGGGCACCAGCTTTGCAGGCCTGGGCGAATGCTCTTTCAGCAAAGAGGCTGCGGAAGTACTCATGGCACCCGTCAACGAGGCTGATGTAGAGATCAAGCCTGATGGGCTCATTTACCTGCCAGAGATCAAGTATCGCCGTATCTTGAACAGAGCTTTCGGACCTGGTGGCTGGGGTATGGCACCGCGAAGCGAGACCAACGTCGGTCAAGGCATTGTGAGCCGTGAATGGGTGCTCATCTGCCGAGGACGCTTCGTGGCTACTGCACGAGGCGAGCAAGAGTTTTACAAGCCATCCGGTGTTCCAACAGCATCTGAGGGAGCCAAGTCGAATGCATTGATGCGATGCTGCAAGGACTTGGGTATCTCATCCGAGCTTTGGGATCCTCGCTTCATTCGACAGTTCCGTAAGAAGTACTGTGTTGAGGTTTGGGCTCAAGACACCGCGGGCAAGAAGAAGAAGCTCTGGCGACGTAAGGATGACCCTCCCTTCGAATACCCCTGGAAGGAGACTGGTATGGCTTGAGCTGCGTGCAGCAAGCCTGAAGCAACAAGACCCGGGCACACAAGCCTCCTCCTCTCAGACATGGTTGTCATACTCTCAGTGTTAACACGACCGCTGAGATCGCTTCATTGTCAGCTATGTTCCCAATTGCTCCCAACATCAACCAGATCCAAACGCATTCCAAGCAGCATGTTTGACAGACGCTGCTACCTTCCAGCATGAAATGAGTCTCAAGGGTTGCAAGAGCTCGATCACGAGACAGGGCCCGATTCGTGCTTGATCGGCTCGATTTGCAAATTTGAGCTGAGCGACCTTTTTTTGGACGGTTGACTCGAGAACCACGCGGCCTTGGTCAACCAAGCTCGCTCTAACACTTACAAAGTTGAGTTGAATTTCGCAGGGTTGGAAGCGGTGGGCCGTACGAATCAAGCTTTACACTTGTCTGCGGTCGCAAATTGGCTGTGTGGGTGGCCGTAGCGTCGGGCCAATCAGACACTTTCACCTGTTCACGCATTCGAGCATCGTTTATCGCTTCGGTACGAACAAAGCAACACTCGACTCTATCGCCTTCAACACCATCATTGACGAGACACATACTCAGACACCTAGGGCACCTACACTCAGTCGCTACACCCACACTGTACTCGAACGCCGCTCCTTGCGTCGTCCTCACAATCGCTGCTGCCGTGCACGCTCTCTGCTTTTACATTGCAAGAACAAACACCGTCATTGTCCACCTCAAACGAACTTACTACCATTACACACAGCTCACAAAGCAAGACCTACGCTAAGGAGAGGCAAACTCGTATCGGCTCCCATACACATTAACACGCCGTCGAAGCGCAATCACTCATTGACCAGCACCTTGACAAGGCGCTAGGAACCGAACGATCCTAGTTTGCCTCTCTCTCTGGCTGTTCTTACAACCCTCTCATTATCATGGCAGCCGGTATGTATCCTTGGCTATCATGCCATGCTGTTTCCGAGAAGAGCAAGTAGCTAACATTGTCTTCTCGTCTCTCTCCTTGCTCATCGAACAGGACCCCCGCCGGGTCTCGGCATAGCAGCACTACCGCCCAATCCATTCGGCTCTAATGGCCTGCAAACTTCTCACAAAACGCCTCTCGTCCACCACTCAGACTCAGAAAACACCGTCAAATATGAACGACCAGCCCACTGCCCTCGCACCTACGGCAGAGGTGCGCTGCTTGCCTTCAGCTCCTCCGCTCTGGTAGCAAAGCCTACCGACATGGCATCCCTTCGTGACTGGTACGGAGAGTGGGAGCCTTACCACCAAAAAGCCACTTACCATCGCGAGACCCCGCGAAAAAATTTCGCAGAAGACTCTTCCCACTATCAGCAAGCTCAGACCGAGGGCGACGAGGCTGCCAACAACGGAGGCATCATTGGAGGTGCTCTCGGTGGCTTTGGTCCCAAGCGAGAAGGTGCAGGCAATCGATTCGGAGCAAGGAGGAACGAGGACCGCGACCGTGGAGAGCGTGGTGAAGGTCTTCGACTGGGAGAGGTAGGCGGCCGTAGAATGGCTCCTGCTGGAAAGAACCCATTTGGACAGATCTCGGCAAGTGGCGCTTTCAAGCCTGCCGGCACTCCTGGAGGCGGTCGCGGTTTGCCTAGAGATGGTAACGCTGAGGGCCTAGATGGACGTCGTGGGATGGGCGAGCGTTCCACCTCGTATGGCAAAGACAGGATGCGCGAAATGCTTCCAGATGATAGAAGGCGCGATCCCGGTCGTGACCGACGACGTAGCGAGCGAGGTTTGGACGGCGACGAGTCTCGTGAAGAAGGCGAAATATACGAATCGGGACGCAAACGACGAACTGGAGGAGCCGACACCGCCTCCGACTGGCGAAGACCCGGCGATCGAGACCGTGCAGGTCCCTTCTCGAGTCTTGCATCTGACCGCTTGCGACCCAGCGAACGACGAGGTGCGCCACGCAGTGGTGGAGCTCCTTGGAGCGGAGATGCTGATGACAACCCGGCTTGGCTCGAAGACGATTCTGATCCCTTGCCCGTGGACAACCGCGCTCCATTCGGACAGTTCGGTAGCCGTCGAAACGACCCAGATGGCCTGGGCGACTCTCAGGGAGGAGACATGGGAGGCGCTGTTGACAGTATCCAGGCTTTCAAAGCACAAATGAAAGAACGAGAGCGTCGCGAGAGGCTAGCAAGAGGCGAACCTGAATCAGAACCCGTTCAGCACAACGACACTTACGAAGGCAACCACAGTGGATCCTTTGGTACGGACAGAGACTCATCGAGAGAGTACCACTTCGGCGGCGATGGAGGTTCGCAACAAACCGAGTTGGATGCTATTCGTCAAGAGATGATTGCTGCTGCCAACCAGCGATCTTCCTCAGGTGGCTCGCTGTACGACAGCATCTCCAACAGTCACGGTGGTCCAGGAGCCGACGGTCAAGGACCTCCTGGCCTTCCTGGTCGATCCAGTCGATTCGCACGCTTCTTCGATGGACGAGGCGCACCTCCTCGTGACCCTCAGGCAGCTGCACTCGCTGCACAGCAGAAGATGCTCGAGTCGATGGGCAACCTTGGCTCGAGCAACGCCGCACAGCCTTCGCCTGGAGTAGCATCCGAATCAGACAAAGACGGGGCTGGCGCGCAAAGTCCTCAATCGCAACCCAACGCCTCTTCGTCTTCGATCAACATCTCTGAACTCTTCAGCAAGACTTCGATCCGCGACAAGGGCGATGGCGGTCAGAACAAAGACGGCAAGGATGTCACCGAGGCAGACCAACAGAGCATGCAGAAGCTCATGGCTATGTTGCAAGGCAGTGGTGGAAGCGTTAGTGGAACTCCTAGACTGTCGAAAGGACCTGGTGCTGGCGATGATCGTCATTCGCAAGCTGATCAGCTTTCGCAGCTTTTGCGTGGTCAGCAGCACGGACGCAATGGTGATGAAGGGTCGAACGAGCGTCCTCGAAGCGTTGTTTCGCCTAGTCTTGCGTCTGCCGAGTCGCTCAATCACGGTTTGGAAGCTCGTTCGCCGCTTCCTCACAATCAACAGCACCAGCGTGAATCGAGCACCTCGTCTGCACTTGGACATCAGCAACAGCAACAGCTGCCTCCTCAGCACCGTCAGCAGCAGCAGCACGAACAGTACCCTCAGTATCAGCAGCAGCAGCAGTCGCAACACCAACAAAGGTCCGAGTCTCCAGCTATCGGTGGTGTTGGTGGTGGGGGCATGCCATACAACGGTCCTACAAGCCCTGGCGGAGGACCTGTTGTCGGTTCTCCTGGTCCTGCTCCTGGAATGGCAGGCTTTGGTGGGTTCCCTAGTGGAATGCCTGGTCGACCACCTCCGCCTGGTATGGACCCTCGTCTGATAGGACGTCCCCCTATGGGAGGACCTGGTTTTCAACAGATACCGCCCCACATTGCTGCCAGTCTCGGTTTGGCTAGAGGACCAATGCCGCCGGGAATGGGCAACATGCCTCCTCCCCCGCCTATGGGTGTTCCTGGTGGACCTGGCCCTCGTGGTTCGGCGCCTAATGGCGGGTTCCCTCCTCAATTCGCACCCTTCCCTGGCGGACGACCTCCTCCGCCAGGTATGCCACCTCAACTCTACCAGCAGTTGATGAGTATGCCTCCTCACATTCAGCAGCAAGTGCTTGCGGGACAAGGGTTCCCGCCTGGTATGCCTCCTCCTATGCAGCAGCAGCATGCGCCCAGGTCGGCTTATGATTTGCCGGGGACTCCTGGTGGTGGTGGTGATAGGAGGTCTCAGTCTCCAGCTATCGGTGGTGGACAACAACAGTTCCCGTACTACGCTCTGCATCCGGGACCTGCTTCACCTCTGCAGCAGCAACAGCAGCCGGCTTCGCCTAATGTTGGACCGCTTGCTATGGGTGGAGCTAACTTGATGGCGTTGCTTAGCGGAGGCGGTGGTGGAAGGGGTACTCCTAGCAACAGCAGCTGAGTTGGGGCGAAAATCCACGACAATCACTCACACATTTAGCGGTGAGGGAGCAATCGAGTCTTTGGCCATCCCACACTGTCAGCTCCCTTGCAACTTTCTCAGAATCTCAAACTCTTTCTTGTACGACCCTTTCCCAGTTCTCGTTCGGCTCGATTTGGCGCTTATTGAATCACAACACACACACACACACACTCATCAAACAACATCACATCAAACTCTTGCTTTTCTGTGAAAAATGGCATTGCATCGCCACTTGTATCCTTGAAAGTGGGGGTTTCTACTTGAGCTGCTCATTGAACATCCTACCAATCAACATCCTTCGGATCTCCTGAGTCCCCGCTCCTACAGTGTAGAGTCTTGCATCTCTCCAGAACCTAGCCACTGGGTAATCGTTGGTATAGCCATTCCCTCCCAAGATCTGCATTGCTTCCGTGGTAACCTCTATGCATCTATCGGAGCTGTAGAGGATTGAACCTGCGCAATCGCGTCGAGAGACTTTACCGGCATCACAAGCGCGACCAACGGCGTAGACGTAGGAGCGGGCAGCGCCAAGTTTTGTGTACATATCGGCGATTTTGCCTTGGATGAGTTGGAATTCAGCGATTCGAGTTCCGAACTGTTTCCTCTCGTGAGCGTACGCTACCGAGTAGTCGAATGCCGCTTGCGCGAGGCCGAGGGGGCCACCGGAGAGAACGAGTCGTTCGAGATCGAGACCAGACATAAGGACAGATGCGCCCTTGTTGAGGGTTCCGAGGATATTGGTTTGGGGGACTTCGACGTTGTCGAAATGGATTTCGCATGTGTCTGAACCACGCATTCCAACTTTGTCGAGTTTGGGGAGTTGGGTGAAACCTTTCATTCCCTTTTCCAAGATGAAGGCGGTGATGCCTTTGGATCCTGCTTTGGGTTCAGTTTTAGCATACACGATGAACGTGCTAGAGATGGGAGCGTTTGTAATCCACATTTTCCCTCCATTCAACACATAATGATCACCTTTCTTAACCGCATTAGTAGTCATACTAACCACGTCGGACCCTGCTCCCGGTTCGGACATTGCCAAACTTCCCACTTTCTTTCCTGAAATCAAATCAGGAAGATACTTTTCTTTCTGCTCCTTTGTTCCATGCCTATTAAGCTGGTTGACACAGAGGTTCGAATGAGCACCGTACGAAAGCGCCACAGATCCAGAGGCACGAGAAAGTTCTTCCATAACAATCGTATGATCCAAATAGCCTTTACCCAAACCACCGAATTCTTCGGGGACGGTGATTCCGAGGAGACCCATGTCGCCGAGTTTAGTCCAAATATCTTTGGGCGATTCGTTGTTGCGATCGATCGCAGCAGCTTTTTCGGGTGGAAGTTCGGCAGAAACAAAGGTGGAAACGGCATCGCGAAGTTCCGTCTGGTCTTCGGTCAGGCCTGCTACATCGATGTTGTAGAATGTTGTTGACATACAACGGCGGGAGAAGGGAGCAGGGTTGCGGAGGAGCGTGCGGCGCAATGGCCCAGCTACATTGCGGAGCGTGGAGAATGACATCTTTGACGACCTTGAACTGTGGGTTGATGATGATGGTGGTGGTGGGAGAGAAAGGTGAGGACACGAACGAGAATCAACATTGAAGGTGGTCTCGATCTTGTCGGTTCGAGGTCGACCGGCTCTGCTTAAACGAGGAGCGAGGTTCGTTCTGCTGTGTGATGTTGAGGCGGCAGAGCGCAGCGGGGAGCGAAAGCAAAAGCAACACACAAAAGGGTCCGGCTATATCGTTTGGCAGAGCGCATTTGCGGGTCAAAGACGAACGACACACTGGACCGGTTACTTGAATTCGCATTTAACGGGCGCGCTTTGGGGTCCCCGCCTCTCGCGCGAAAGAGTCAGGCTCAAGCGCAAAGCTTGACTTTCCTGTGCAGCGAGTTCATGCCTAAGACACTAGAAAGGCTTCTGTTGACCAATCGCTAGCATTAGCTCGTGTACTCCAGATGGGATAGAGAACAACAATGACAACGTGTCCGAAACGCTTGACGTTGAGGGATTCAGCTGAGAGCACGCAGATTTCCCAAAGGCAACACGCAAATGCCAACAAAAAGCGAGTATGTAATAGAGGCAAACAAAATCTTATGTTGCACCATCAGCCTCTCACTATGTTCCAACCGTGCATCGAAGAGCAACAAACACCAATCTGAATCCTAACCCAACAAAGCAGAGCGAAAAGCTGAAGAACGGCCGCAACCTCCCAGATGGAATTCGTGTCGATTGTGGCACGACTCTGGAGCAAGAGCCAATCTCGAACCCTAACAATACTGTCGGCCGGCAAACCACAACCACCCTTCATCCACCTTCTATCTCAGAGCATGTACGACACTCAAGAGACACTCGCGCAACCACTTCGAGTCAATAAAAAACGTTCGGAGCAATACACAAATATAATTGACCATGACCCAAAACGAAAGACCATGAAAAGCCACAAAAGAGAGCGAGAGAAAAAAGCGAAATCCTGTGCAGTACAATAAAAACGTTTCCAAAACAAGAACCAAGAATCCGGGAGCTATGAATGAGAATACGGGGCAGGTATGATAGACAAGAGAGCTAGTGCGGGACCGTGATTGTCATGGGTATTTGAGGGTATGAGAAAGAGAAGGGAGATTGGGGTGACTTTGTGCAGAGGACCCATGGGTGAATGAATACATTTGTGATGTTGAAGGGTGGTGGCCTTGGGGCTGTCTTCCTAATGGAGGATAAGCGCAATGGCAGGTGAAGCAGTGAAGAAGCAAGCCGGGTGGATGGGTATAATATCGCGAGGCAGATTGCGATGGCTTTGCGGGAGCGAACTCAGTAGTGTAGCTGAGTCGGATCAACGAGTTTGCCAGCTACAAGCACCGACTTGCTCTCTGTCGTTGCTTCGGCTTGGTCTTGATCGCTGTTGGAAGTGGATCCGATCTGCGTCAAGGCCGTACGTTGTGGTGCAAAACCCAGCACGGAACACGTCAGTCGATACTTGGCTCGAATCTTTTCCAACAGCGTCAGCATGTCGAGCTTGGCCAGCTCGTCGTCGCCATCATTGTTGATTGTATCGTCTTCCATCTCGACATCTTGCTGAGTATCGCGGTCGGCTTCGGCTACTGTTGCAGCAGTCTGACCTAGATCCGTAGAAGGGTCGGAAGAAGTATTGGTGAGAGGGAAAAACGAGATGAGCCTTTCGAGACCAGCAAGGTGCTGAATCTGCTTAGACTGCTTCCGTGAGTTATGTCCAGCCGCTTCGGTTTGTTGCAATGCTAGCCTCCACACCTCGGCCATGCCCTTGTAGAAGCCGACCTCTTCCCACAGTTCGAAGCCCTTTTCGCGTCCCAGCTCGCGACCTTCGAAAGTGCCATGCAATGCGCCGTGATCAAAGCCTTGCTGATATCCTTCTTGAAATGCGGTCTCTTCGACGTTGTTGGCCGCGTCGATAACGAAGTCGAATGGATCTGCGGATGTGTCCACCATGTTGGTGAATGCAGCGATGGATGATGATGTTGGTTGAGAAGAAAGAAGCGAGAGTGGAGTTTTGGCGCGTTCTAACTGTGCGTGTGATTGGACCCTTTTTTTTATGCTCCAAAAAGTTCTCGGTTTTCGGACACCGGAGCGAGGCAGCATCGCCACTATCGACGCGCTGTCACAGAGATGCTCTCGCTAGCTGATCCCAAGCTCATCGGGGCGTTGGGTCCGCCAGCGCTGTCTGGCGTAGGAGCAGTGCTAGCACTGGAACCGCTACCACCTGCTCCACCGCTACCGGGAGCACCACCGTTGAGAGCCATGTTCATAGCCGAGTTCGAGTTCATCCGAAACAGCGGATTCTTGCTGAAGCTGAGACGAATGCCACCATTCTTGATGGCTCCACCCAGAGAGTGGCCGTTAAGCTCCGACATAGCCTTGGATGCGGTGTAAACGTCTTCGAACTCAACAAAGCACATTGGTCCATTTGACTTGAGACGGAAAGAGAACTGGCGGAAACCTTGACAGCTGCTGAAGACGGCTCGAAGCTGATCCTCGATTTGCGAAAGAACGGCGCTCGAAGCGTTACTGGGCAAGTTACCGACAAACAGAGTGTTGACAGGTGGATGATTGTCTCCATGCACGTTGCGTCCCGTCGGACTGGGCAGGTCCGGGCTGGGAACTTGCGGTGGCGGTTTGATGCCATCGTCATCAGCGGGAGGAGAGCCAAGCTTGAGTGAGCCTAAGCGTGTGGTGACGGAAGCCTGTTGCTGCTGGTAGTCGGCTGCGTCAGGGCCTGCCGAGGACGGTGTCGAGCTAGGGCGATCGGTAGTATCAGCCTTGGCGCCGTCGTCTGGCTTACTTAGGCTCATGCTTCCGGGACCAGCCGCGACCTGTTCACTGCCAACAGCTCCGATCGAGGTTCCTCGCGACCCCTGTCTCTGAAATCCAGGCCGTTGTGCGGATCCTGCCATACCTGAGCCTGAAGCAGGGCCGTAAAGGCTGGGAGGCGGAGAGCCAAGGGCAGGCCAGTCGGATCTTTGGCTGCTCTGCGTGTTGATCGTCTGACCAGGGCCAATCGAAGCACCTCGGGGAGGTGCTGCTATCGGTCCAGTGCTGCCTTCGGGACCATAGTAGTCGATCGGTCCCAATGAGCCACCCCATTTGTCGACGCCAGTTGAGCCTTGTTGCGGTTGCTGTGACTGTGACTGCTGTGACTGCTGTGGCTGTTGTTGTTGTTGTTGTTGTTGTTGTGATGGAGCCGCTGATCCACCGGATGGGCCGATCGAAGATCGAAGCGCTGCTGCAGCACCACCCTGAGTGAAGAAGTCGGGTCCTGCAAACATCTCGTGGGGAGACAAGAGGTCGGCCTGCCCAGAGCCAGGCCCGTTAAAGGGTTCAAAACCGCCTGCAGGACCCTTACCAAAAGGGCTAAAACGTCCAGCCTGTCCACCGGGACCGTTCATCTGCGGACCTGCGCGAGGATCGAACGGTCCACCAAGTGCGAAAGGAGGTGGCGGCGGATGGCTTGTGCCTGCGCTGCTTGGGCCAGCACCTCCTGCTGGCAGCGGACACATGGGTCCACCCGCACCTTCCGGATATCCTGGTGCTGACAAGACAGGACGTTGCTTTGTGTGCAAGTTCTTCTTGGCCATCTCGGTCTTGAGAACACAGCCTTTCTCGGCGTCAACTTTGCGCCCATTGAGCGCATCGCGTGCTTCGAGGGCTTCAGTGCGTGTGCGGAACTTGGCAAAACCGATGATCTGCTTGATCTTGCCCGCCGCTGCTGCATTGGTGTTGTTGGTGGCGGCTGCACCGCCTAGACCTGGTGCACCGAAAGCGTTGAGCATGCCGCCCATGTTCGCTAACGACGAAAAGGCGTCGCCAGCTCCAGCACCTCTGAGCGCCAAAGGCAGATTCTGATCATCCCAACCTGGCCCTGCATTGCCGCCGAGATCGAAGACGCCTGAGCCTGGCATATTGACCGCCTGATACGGACCACCAGGCCCTGCTGACAGTGGCCCGCTTCCGTCTGCTGCACGACCGCTGGGACCCACAGTGCCAAGCCCGGCAGGGATCTTGAGTGTAGATGCTTCGAAACCTTTGGCGAAGAGGAACATGTTGGCAAACTCGCGTTCGGTCATATCGTCTGGGAAGCCAACGATGAAGACGGTAGTGATCTCCTCTGGTGGCCCACCTTGTGTTGGCATCCCCGCCGGGTTGCCGAAGCTGTTCTGAAGACCGTACTGCTCTTGCTGTTGCTGTTGCTGTTGCTGGTGCTGCGGTCCCAATGGAGATTGGTGTGAGGACTGTTGTTGTTGATGGTGAAGTTGAGATTGCATCTGCACGTGTTGATGCTGGAGTTGCATCATGCTGCGTGGGCTGAGATTGCCAGGATTTGGTATACTAAGCATGCCCGGCCCCGGACCGGCACCGTATCGCGGGCGAGAGTTGAAGTCATCGTGACCGACACTGCGAGGATTGGCGCCCATCTGTGCGAGCTCATCACGATTGCCGGCCGATCCGTACTGACCAGGTGAGAGACCGAAGCGATGCGACATGTGTTCCTGATCTTGGCTCGATGAGAGTGCGAGACCTCTTGAATCGTTGCTGGAGGCTGATCGGAATGCAACGTTCATGGGATCCGAGGTAGACAGTGCAGCAGCGTTTGCACTTTTGGACGCTTCCGACATTGCAAGATTGGAACCGTTGGGACTGAAGAGCTCGTTGTAGCCAAGGAACGGTTCTGCTGCGGCGCTGCTGGAAGAGAGACCGGAATGTATTGACTGCTTGCGTTGTGATGTGCCCGCTGGCGCTCGACTTGCACCGCCAGAGACTTGACCGATTGAGTTCCATCTCTCACTTGGGTCGCCCATGGGAAAGTTGAAGGAACGTTTGGTGGGCGATGGTGAGCGAGCACCTGAGCTGCCACCTGTCGCACCTTCACCAGAAGGTTGCGGGGATGTAAGGCGAGGATAGGGTTGCATGGCTCTGGGTGCAGCAAAGGTAGTCTGATTTGCGTGTGCCAGTGGAGGCGAAGAGTGGAAGACGAAAGATGCCGCTGGATCGGATTGATCGCGCGAAAGGCAAGGAGGTCCGACAGATCTGGAGGATGAGGAAGAAGCTGGGACGAAGATGCCGGGAGGAGGTCGTGATCTTGATGTTTGGTTGAAGGCCATGCCAAGCGGGTCGGAGGTCGTGGCGAACGAGTCCAGATCGGTGTGAGAAGAATGACCCGAAAAATAGGCGCCGTCAGGCATCGTCCGTGATGCAATAGAGAGTTGCAGAGACTGTGCCGATTCAGCCTTCGGCTGAGCGAATGGCTGTGAATGTTGATGTGATCGAAGCGGAAGTGAGTCTAAAGGCAGCAAGGTGGGAAGCTGTGCCGTTATAGCTGCTGGCATGGAGATCCTCTACGGGGCGAGGCTGGGAAGTAGGGGTCAGACCGATAGCTCCTATCTTATCCTGAGAAGGTGACGTCAAGTACAAAGTCCGATAACGGTCTTGGCGAGGTCTAAGGAAAGAGTGCTCCGATGTGCCTTACGTTGGCAAAGTTAATTGACGAGTGTCTGATGCTGTGCAGATAGATGGAGCAGACGAGGAGCACTGAATGATGCCGACGTTACGATGACAGAGATAGATAAGCTTGATGACGTATCGAGATGGTGGTGGTTCCTTTCTTGCCAGCGATCAGGCCGGTTCCGTATAAAAGAGGTGTCTTGTCACAGCTTTGTTTATGGATAGCCGAGCTGGCAGCGACTGATGTTGAGCGGGCAGACGGCCTGCAGCAAGGTTGATTCCCAAACGTCCTTGCAATGGCTGATAGGCGGTACGAGCGGTGTTAAGGATTGCTGGAAACCAAAGCTGATGGTGGAGGGCTCCGAGTTCCGCTGACAGGTGTCAAAATTCGAGATGATGTATGCAAAGAGATAGAATGCAACGCGAAGATAGGATTGCGAGAGTACAAATGCGAACGGTTGCAAGAGAGAGAAAAAAAAAGAAAAAAGAAAGAGAATGGGGGAACAACGATGAATGAAAGGTGTGTAGGGTGAATGCTAAAGGGAGATGATGGTGGTGAGGAGAAGGGTCCGCACGAGAGAGAGGGAAAAGGGAAAAGGGAGTCGGGATAGGAAACAAGGAGAAAGCGAAACCTGGGAGGATACCCATCCATACGACACACAAAGAGAGTCTCGGGGAGAGAGAGAGAGAGAGACGCACACGCAAGTCGTACAACTACACACTGTCAGTTGGGCGCAGTGACAGTCGTGTAAAGAGGAGGTCGCACAAGGAGGAGGAGAAAGCAACTGATGCTGGACGAGAAGGGAATCGAGATGCGGGCGTTGGACCAGTGTTGCAATGAAAGAGAGACGACCGATTCTGAGAACAAGGCAAACCTGGGACTGATCCACTTAAAGAGAGACGCGTTGGGCGTGGCTAACTCGAGCTGTTGGACGCACACACACAGTGTATGCGGATGAAGAGCTGGACAAGGAACAGAGAGAGAGCCCGAGGGCGGATGGACGGACAGAGGAACAAAGCGACAGCAACTTTACTCGACAGCTTAATGGGCTTCGCACAGGAGGGCTTTTGAGCAGCAGCAATGAGGGAGGGAAAGGATAAGGGACGCGAATGGCTCTCCAGGCATCTCGCCAGTGTAAAGCGACTGACAGCTGATCCAGAACCAGAAGCGGCACTTTTCGACAGTGCCACCACAGTGTCCACCGACCGCGACCCTGTCTATCAAATTTCCCATGCCAAAAATCCCAGGTCAATGCGCGTCAAGCTTGTTCAGGCACCAAAGGAGTGTTGTCCAACCGATCCGTCTATGGACCACTGCTCTTTTGCCTCGTTCTTTTCCTTGCAACAGCAGCAGCAGCAGCCTCCTACAGCCGCGTCCAACCCATCGCGTCTCTTGTTGAAGCGCGACGAGCAAAGCAACATGTTCCAGTCACACTGCGCTTTGGGCTCATCTCATCGACGTGACACTTTCGAGCCGCTGAGACCGCTCAATGCCTTTCAGACAGACTGCTACTGTTGAGGCTAGAGATAAGCTTTTTGCGAACAAAAAGAGGTCGGCGGGATCGCCTGGATGGAAAAGGGTTCAGGGCCTGTCAACAGATCCAAAATCGTGCCATTTTTATGTACGACGCGACGCGCTTTGTCCATCGCGTTGAGTGCTGGCTCGTCTATTCCGTCGGATCAAGAACCCGATCGTAGCCCCAACCTTGCGCACGATGTCTTGCCGATCTTGATGGTAAAGATATAGACAAGGCTTGCTCAACCAACGAACCCGCAAGCGGCAGCAGCATGCATCGCCGTCAAACTCGATAAAGTCTCACGGTGGGTTTGTATCGCAGCAAGAGGCTGTTTCGACGGCAGCCGCTCACCTGTGCCCTAGATGTCTGAAGCAACCAATTCTCTCTGGCTGTATTCAATGAAGGCAGATGTCCCGACGTTGTGCTCTCAAAGCTTCCAGGGCAATTTGTGCCTGTGATGAGTTGATCGAGACCACACTTAGGTTAGTCGTGGGCAGCACATAGCGTCTGTGCCAGTAGGCGAGAGTCGGTTCAGAGCTGCACGACTTGAGAGCTTGGTTCGCATCTATCTTGTGACTGCCGGTCTGGGAAGAAGCCGGCAACAAGATGCACCAATAGGATCCATTTAGCTCGCTTTCCGCCTGCGATCCAAGAATCAGACTCGGCGTTCGAATGGTGAGCGCAATCAGCAGTAGAAACAGCCCCGTGCCGGGAGTGTCTCATCTTCGCAATCGCCAACAAGAGAGAGACGGAAGATCGGACACCAGGGCGATCAGTGGTAGAAACTGTCTGATAATGCATGGGAATTGAGCCGAGACGAATGCTTGGATATGGTACAGAGTCAAAGAAAAGCAAGTGTCAAGAAGCTACATCCTTTATGGCGCCGCGCCCATCGAAATCTATGCGCGGAGAAGAGGTGATTGTGCCTGCGAGAGGAGCTTTTGCATCTGGTCCAGTGTGATCTCTTCACGGATCACGGTAGCCTTGATCTCGTTATCAGGGTTGGCAGGAACAGTGACGGTGCCGTTGGCAAGCTTCCATCCCTCCTGTGCGTTGATGAACTCTTCGAGCTGAGCACCCGAAAGGTTGAGGTAGCTGCCGATGCGCTTCTCGCTGATTGAGGTGAACGAGCCCTTGACCGAGTTGAGCGCAACCTTGCGTGCGGCATTCTCGAACTGGTTGATCTTAGCGGCGTATTCGCGAACATCCGAGCACTCTTCACTGGCCAATGTCGACCAGAACTCGCGGAAGCGGGCCTGGAAGAGAAGAGTGCTGAGCTGCGAAAGACGGACAATCAAAGGGTCGGTGAGGTGACCGGCAGAAGCGACGTCCTTGGCCTTCTCAACAACCTCCTCCTCATCATCGCCGGCCAGCGAGGCGGCATCATCGCCGGTGGAGACCTCCTTCTCCGCCTTGACGGGGACAGTGGGCAACGGTGCCTCACCAAGGAGGGAAATGCAAAGGTTGAAGTCGGGAAGGGGAGCGGCAACGAGCGCCTTGAGGAGGATGTTGATCACGACAACATAGTTGAAGTCGTTGGGGTTGAATTGGTATCTGTACAAGGCAACGTGGCGAGCAGGATTGCAAAAAGGTGAGGGTCAGTCGGTGTTGTTCCTGCCTGACAATAGCATAAGACCATCCTCGCATGCTCGGCACGGGCCAGAACAGAAGGTGGGAGCCAGTTTATAGATCTTTGACACATTAGGCGGGAGCATTCGACAAAGGTTGGCGTCGAGCTGGAGGTATAGATCAGATAGAGCTAATGTGGATGCACGTCATCGGCAGCCCGGGGCTTCACTCCCAGAAAGCCAGTCGCTTTGCATTTTTGGTAATAGATGATCATCCTTTCAAGCGGGTTTTCCTAGCCTGCCTAAGCAATTTCTGACACAGTGCCGGCTGCTTGCAGCCACGTTATCCCAACATGGCCAAGTTTGTCGACGTGCTGTGCTTTTGTTTCAACGTATCGGGATGAAATCGTTGGGTGCCCTTGTCGCGTGTCGTTGCGTGCATTATGCCCAGAGATGCGAGGAGACCGTGGTAACGAGCAGACTTACAGTTTGAGAATTGCGAGGTTGGCAAGGAGATCGTAGGAGCCGTCGTCGAGCTGTTGTGCGAGGTAGTCGTGCAGAACATCGAGGTTCTGAGGATTGTATCGGTCGACGCCAGAGATGAGCTGCTCGATGTGCTCGGGTCGCGAAGATGGCGAGAGCCACTGGGATGCGCTTGCGGATTCGGAAGCCATGTTGTTGTCGATGCTGCCGGGATGCTGATGTGGTGCAGATGGTGGTCAAGCCGGTGAGAAGATAGGTGTCGACGACGACAAAAGTCCAACACAATTCTTCCAAGTGCTGTTCCTTCCAGGGACACTGAACAAAATTCGGAAGAAAAGCTGCTTCTGCTGTTCGCACGCTGCCTTCGTTGCCTTTGAACGAGCGAAATTGATTGAAATGATCACTACAAGTTCACGTGCGAGACAAATTCACTTCTTTGCCAGAGTTAGAAATGAACGACAATCCTCAATCGCCGATTCAGTCCTTTTCCTCAGCAATGGGCTGATTCGCTTGTTGTGTTGCACTGCACTGCGCCCAACTCTGCTGTGTTGGGGCTCCAATTTTTAGAGCTGTTTCCTGTGTTGCTCTTTTGTTCTTCTTGGCTGTCAGACGGCGAATGAGCGATCCAAATTCAAATCTTCTCAATCCGATCTTCTGAACCACACCTCGCAGTTGATCGCTCTCATCTGTGCCACCACATCATCGACGCCGCAACACCTGTCAGCGCCGCTATCACCGTCGCCATCATGTCTTCGTCCACCACCGTCACCCAGACGGCTGCACAGCCAGCCCAGTCTTCCACCATCACTCTCGACTCTTCACTTGCTGGCCACGACGAAGAGCAGATTCGTCTCATGGAGGAACGATGCATGGTTCTCGACAACGACGACAAGTATATCCGCGATGGAAGCAAGAAAGAATGCCATCTCATGACCAACATCAACAAGGGTCTCTTGCACCGTGCTTTTTCCGTCTTCCTCTTCGACCCCACATCCGGCAAGCTCCTGTTGCAACGAAGAGCACCAGAGAAGATCACCTTTCCCAACATGTGGACCAACACCTGCTGCTCTCACCCCCTTGCCATTAAGGGTGAACTCGAGGAAGCAGAGCAGATTGGTGTTCGTCGTGCAGCACAGCGCAAGCTCGACCACGAGCTCGGCATCCCCGCCGAACAAGTCCCTCTCGACCAGTTCCAGTATCTCACCCGCATCCACTACCTTGCACCCAATGGGGACGAGGACAACATCTGGGGTGAGCACGAGATCGACTACATCCTCTTCATCACTGCCAACGTCACGCTCGAACCTAACGTCAACGAGGTTTGCGACACAAAGTGGGTTTCGCCTCAAGAGCTCAAGGTTCTCATGACCGAGCTCGACCCTGCTTCTTTCACACCCTGGTTCAAGCTCATTGTGCACAAGTTCCTCTTTCCTTGGTGGAGCGAGTTGCTGGCAAGGAAGGGTGATGATGAGAGCAAGCCTCTGGATGCCAAGTCGCTGGCTGACTTGACAGATCACAGCATCCATCGCATGCTCTAAGAAAGCCCGAAAGATCTTGACAGAACAGGAGTGACCAACAATAACAAAAAAAAAAAAAAAAAAAAAAAAAAAAAAAGCAAAAAAGCAAAAAAAAGCAATGATACCCGTCAGACGCAAAAAGGCATATCTGACGGGTTTCTTTTGCTTGATACCCAACGCGACGTTGCTACTCTTCTCCTGTGTCGTCCAATCTGAGCTCACGTCACCCATGCTTGATATACGTGCCCTTGTACATACGCCCACATCGTTCAACTTGCATAGATGATCTCGAAGTGTGCCTGTGCAACCGCGCAGCCAGATGTGAGACCCTTGCTCATAGACCTTGAGGGCTTGAGTCAGCCACCTGAGAAGATCAGGAGGCTTCTGACCGGGCTCGCAACATCTCCGGACGCGCTTACGTGCAAAAGGCAGAGAAACTTCGAGGGATCCCTCTCTGCTTTCGCCTCGATGTTCACGAGCCAGAGCAATTCACACCTTGAATCTATCTGTATCTGTGGAATCAAAACTACTCCATGCGATGGGAGTGTGTTATTTTTGCAGGCGTGAGAAAGTGGGGGGAATCAGAAGCTAACCTGTACATGGTTTTGAGATGTGATAAGGTCGACGTCGAAACTAATGTAAGAGTGAAAGAGAAGATGCCGTGTAGTAGGTGTACGCGCATAACGATGACATGTGATGGGTGATGATGATGATGATGATGAAAGGAGAAAGGGGAACCGTTGTTTAAGCCTCAGCCTTGACAACGGTGTCCTTGCCAGTGCAGTAGATACCGTCCAAGAACTTTCGGATATCTTTGTTGCGCACAAGAGTAGCACCGTGGAGGAGAGCAGCCGACTGGGAAACGAGGTCAATGTCGTTACCCTCAACGAGGACCTGGTCCTTCTGTGCCTTGTCCTCCTGGATGGTAACACCATCGAGCATCTCGATGTTACGGACACGCTTCTCGCCCAAGAAGTTGCGGATCTCGGCGGACTTCTTGTCACCGGCAATGATGATGTTGATGGGGAAATGGGCGTAGACGGCACGCATCTTGTACTGGAAACCGACGGTAACACCCTTGATCATGTTGGCAACGCATGCCGAGGCAGTTCGGAGGCAAGCGGCGTGCTTGCGGTTGGCGTGCCACACGATGAACTTGATCTTCTGGCCGGAAGGACTCTTGATGATGCGGGCATCAAGGTTCATATGCTTGAGCGACTGTTGCAAGCAAAAAGGGAGAAGAGTAAAGAAAGTCAGTTTTCTGCTTCTGCTGGGCGCCACATTGGCTGGATTGACCGTGACAAGTCCTGAGCGTTTTGCAGCGGCAGCAGGTTCCAATCTAAGCGTGCTTCCTCGCAACCGTACATCCTCGGCTTCTGCAATTCTGTCCTGACTGGAAGAAGAGTGATGCTGCGAGCGTTGGCGAGGTTTCCGATCTTTCCTTCCCTGCGATGACAAGGTTGCGCAAGTTGCTGATTACGGACCGGCAGCATGCACCGAATCCTTCCTGCAAACGCATCCATTCTGTCCTGGCGTCTGCTGCTGGTGTAGTGCGCCCTTTCCACTGCAATTCGCACGTCTGCGATGACTTTCCCTTGTTCGGTATGGCCTGATTTGTTTACTGCGATCTGACTGCTCTGTTCTTTCTTTGGTGCGTAATCCATCATGTTTCTCCTCTGCTTCTGCTTCCCTTGCTGCTGCTGCTGCTGCTATGCTGTGCTCAGGACTGTCGACAAGCCTGAATGTTTTGGATGCTAACCTTGGTGAGCGAGCCACGGGGACCCTTGACGGTGAAGACCCGCGACGAGACGCTGACGGTGATGTCGGCGGGGACGGCGAGGTCGAGCTCCTTGAAGACTTGCAACATCTTTGGATCTGTGAGTGCGTAAGTAAGGTAATGGTACGGAAAGAGTTGCTGAGGTCAGTCTGCTGTTTAGAGACAGATGGTGGTTGTGCGTGTGCGAGATTGGAGGACGAGATGACAGAGTGCACGGCAGACACGAGCGGCTAGAAGTTGTGACGGAAGTAGATGACACCAGAATGACGACAATAGACGGGGCTGCAACATGTCCTGTTCGACGTCCTTGCGATACGTCGTCTCTCTGCTTTGGAAGCCAAATTGCAGTTTCCCATTGACCTGATCTGATGGGACACTATGCTGACTCGACGCCTAACTGAACGACGTGTTGAAACATTCTTGTCCAGATGCAGAAGCAGAAGTCATCTATCCATGAAATGTATTTGTCCTTTGATCATATCCTCGGTAGAACTGGGTGCATGGCACGTTTCATGCTTCTGTGTTGTCGAGATGCAGAGCCCTAATGAAGTCGAGAGAGCGGTGCGAACAGACGTGTCTGATGCCAACTTAGTCGATAACAGTATAGGTGAAAGAGGGTGATGGTAGTGCGTCTAGTTGACGATGTGTGATACTGCTGTAAAGGCAGTTTTTTTGTACTGGGCGTGCTATTTGTCGATGATTTTGGTCGGGAAGAATGCGTATGCTCGTGCTGCGTGTGATCTCTGCCGTCGGTTGTCGCTGCGCACGTTGTTCTGGGCGTGGAATACTAACCTTGAGGTGATATGGGGTGTTGACGTAGGGTGAGGGTAAGGAGGATGATCGGATGGCGACGAAGCTTCTTTGGCGGTGAGCACGCTTGCTTCCAGTGTCGCTTACACACTCTGTGAACAGACAGGCTTGCAGATGACGACCTTGACAAATGGCAGTCAAGACCTTCTCGCTCGATTTCCCCCAATTCCCAACTTTGAGCTGTTGCACTGATCTGCTGCCTCGAGAAAGAATTGTGGTTGCAGAGCGCGACCTTGAGCTCATCCCAAAACCGACCTGCCGTCAATCCACAGAGTGCCGCGCCAGAGTTGGTCTTCAAAGACAACAGGCAAAATAGCCGAGCTTCGAACAACTGCAAAAGTTTTTACAGTGGCCGCGAACCGAATTCGGCCGATGTCCTCTTTTCCGTGGGTTAAACTGTTAAAATAGGTTTGATGTAACATGGGGTTTTCCCGGATTGACTCGAATCTCAATTTAGCCAAATTCGGAGCCCGAGCCCCGATTTCAGCGATCTCTGCGCAGTTCAATATTTGCTGCGAAGATCTGCGCTGCTGCTGTTGAAAGAGTCAAAGACTGCTGTTTCCCCCCCCCCCCCGCACGGGGCACAAGTGGAGACAAGCATTGCAAGCCGGGTACTGCCGAGCATGAACGGTCTACTTGGTTCTGTCTGTCCATCTCCGTCCATCGAACGTTTCTTACTAGACCCTTTCCTTTGTTGATCATCAGAACTTCTTCTCCTAACTCCCCTCCATCCCTCGACGACAAACTTTGGGCAAGCTGGAGCTGGATGCATCGCAGTTGACCGACAAATTGATACGCTACTGCCGGCATAAAAGAAAAGAAGAGGCTTGCTCGACCCAAACCTTCACCATCATCTTGTCTTGTGTCCATACATTCGCTTGCTTCTCGATCATCAACTTCTTCTCGACCGGTAACCCACAGCTTCTACTTGGCAGTCCGGTCTAACGAGGCCTCCTCTTCACATCAGCCAGTTAGTCGGTGGAAAGCTTTTGCGATCTTTGCCCGCCATCCTCGTTCGAAGTCCTGGTCCCGATCGAAGCACTTGCTGTAGCATACATCAACAGCGCCCGCCATGCCCTCCAACGTTCGCCCTCTCACGGGCAAGAGCACTGCCTACCAACAACAAACACGCGTACAAGCTATTGGGAAAGGCCTCGCCTACTTCTCTGCCGCATTCATCGCATTTACTTTCATCTGCTCCATTGCACCAGCATCCTCACCATCTGGCTCCCATTCCCCAAGCAGTGGCCCGTGGCGTGGATACTACTCGACAAAGTCTGGACGTTGCGATCCGTTTAGCCTCCCAGGCTGGGTAGACTGGTCCATCGGCACGAACGACCTCCCAGCATGGCGCACCTTTGACCCCGCCTGTTCCACCACCAACCTCCTTGGCACGCTCATCTCCACACTCAACATCGAGGAGAAAGATCCCAGCAAGATCACACCACACAAGGTGCACGCATTGTATTCAGCGAGCAGTAGCGTCGAGGAGCTCAACGCTTTCTTCACCAACAGGACCGTGCTCATGATCGGCGATCATCAGGTGGATCAATCTCTTGTCTCTCACTTCTGCGCATTGACCGGTCACACTGTCCAGACAGTCGACAAAACACATCCGTGGGGTAGCAGTCTCAGCTCTGTCCCGCCAAAGCATGGCTTCACGCCAGTCAAGAACAACGCTCCGCTCGCACACTATTGCTATCTCCCCGAGTACGACTTTTTGCTCACCTCCGTCTACACTTATGGCGCCGATACATCCGACTCATGGCGCGGCGAACAGCTCTACAACGCACCAGGACTGTTCGAAGATCGTGTCGATGATCTCTTCAAACCGTACATGCGAGTTATGGCTTCCTCTTCGCTCACGTCTCCCGCTCTGCCATTGCCTAGAGGGAGAAGCGAACCAGACCTGATTTGGTTCAACTCTGGCTTGTGGGATCTGGCAAGATGGGCACGCTACGATATCGATACAGGCGTCGGACTGCTAGAGAATCTGTCAGAGGAGAGGATCATGTGGTGGAGGTCGAGGATGATCGACATGCTTGGAGCTCTGCGTAAAACTTGGCGCCGAACACGCATTGTTTGGCGAGAAACTGCTTACCCGCTCGCTTCGGAGGCGTCGACGGTTGAGGCCTTCCTCGGCATTGAAGGAGCACAAAGGAAAAACCACCCTTTGTACCACGCCAATCGCATTGCGCAGCTCAACCAGGCTCAGCGCTCCGCGTTGGAAGTCCATGGAGATGATGTGGTCAAGGGCGAGAGGTCGAGAAGTGCAAGGATGCCAAGCGATGTTGTCGGGTTGAACTTTGCAGATGTGCTAATGGGACAGGACCAGCACTCGTTGAATCCTTTGGCACCAAGTCAGCTGCCTTGTGGTGCGCTGTTTGGCGAGATGATGCTCTGGCACCTGAGGGATGCTGTCAGCTCATGATTCTGCTGTACGAGCGCAGTTACAATGCAAAAGCCAATATACCTTGTCGTCAAAGCACACGCGCCTTTGTGAAAAAGCCTGCGATTGAGGCAGCCGCTCGTGTGATCCTTAAGCAATAGTTGTGAATCTTGAGCTGAAGTTGAGACCTTTGAGCTGAAGTTGAGATCCTTGAGCCAGAGTTGGGAGCAAGTGAAAGGTCAGGCTTGACAATGCGGAGCAGGCAGGCAACGCATCAGCACGCGTCACACCAAAATCTCAACTCCGTACGACGTCGGACTCGATCGAGTTCGTTCGTGCCGAGTCGCTCCCTTCAGCCCAAGACATACCGAGTTTAAAGCGGGAAGGAGAACGCACAACTGATCCGACACACACCTGGCCCAAGGACCCGCAACTAAGAGTCAAGACATGTGTCACGACCCTGCTTGCTTCTCTGACCTGCCAAAGATAGATATAAGACCCACCCCAATCCTCGCACCCTCTCTTTCCACCCCTTCGTCCGTCACTTCGCCACCCTCAGCTTCTCCCATTGCTACGATCACCTCGAATTATCTCAACAAGCTCAACGACACCCTTGACGAGCTTCATCGTAACAGCACTTCGTTCACCATCATGCCTTTGCAGGCCGACGATACTGCTTCGTTCAAGCTCGAGAACCCTCTTCGGACTTGGGGCGATTCGGACAATGTTTGCTTCATTTTTCGTTTGGTGTTATGCTCTCCTGCCATCTGCGCCTGGCTCCTCATCACAAAACCCGAGGAAAAATTTCAAAGGTGAGTTTAGTCTACGTCTTCGATCATGTGCACCTTCACATCTCTCAGTCTAGCGGTCCTCTCTGCATCCTTTCTGCACGGCCTAATAGGAACCAAACAACGAATCGGACCTGAGAACTTGGGCTCTGGGCGCGCCTTTGCCTCTCTTCTCGGGTTATAACTGCCCTTCCCCGGCACCCACGTTACGGTGACTTGGTGGAAGGAGGCTATGTCATTGACCCTTTTATGGTTAGCGGATGCCTAAGCCAAGGCTCAAAGGCACGTTGCCATTAAGACGGAATAGGTCACAGAACAGAACAGAACAGAACAGAACAGAACAGAACAGAACAGAATAGAACAGAAGCGACAGCTTCTTACTCTACTCATCACTTCAAGTCAGATTCAAACTAGTTCACGAGCTCAACTACTGGTTCGTGCAACGCCCAACATTCCTTACTCACGCCGCTCACAGCATTGCACGCATCTTCCAAGATCCATGACAGGCAATCATATTCCGCATTGGTAACAGACACTAAAGATCCCCCTTCCTATCGTACTCGGCAGTCTCCAATCCCGACTGCTTGAGCTTCTTCCTCTCCTCCTCACCGGCATAAGTCCTATTCTCATGAATTTTGGTTCCATCACCCAACACTCCGATCTTCCTCACAACCAACCAAGCGGGGAAAACACTAATGGCCCACTGAGCAGCATTCAACCCTGCAGCAGCATCCAATCTCCAACTTGTCGAGTTGACACCATAACTTACACACTGTCCAGCACTTTCCACTCCTCTAACGATCGATGCTAGCCTGATGATCTCTGCTGGATCTTCGCTAATGTTTCCGATAATCCAGTAGTTGAGTTCGTACATCATATTGAAACCCACCTGCAATGCTAGGTATAGAAAGAAGCCTGATCCCCAGCCCGATGTAGTCCAATCAAAGGAGGGTTTAGGGGAAGTGGTGTGATACTTGTGCATAATGTAGATAGCCCAAGCCCACCAAGCTGCCTGCAAGGTGTATATTGCAATAAATGAAGTTTTGGCTCTGCTGTTGACTGTGGGCTTCTTCCAGTCCAAGAAGAATCCGAGAGCGTAGTTGCTCAAACTGGCCAGCACGGCTGAAAGCAGCGAACCAAGAGCTCTTGACCTAACGGTAAAGTAGTTCACCGCATACGTCCCAATAAGCGCCTCAGACCAGGTTGACTGCCAGATCACCGGCAACAACAACAACACCTGTGGCTTGCAAATCGCCTTCCACATCAACTTGATCTCCTTCCTGGTGGAAGATTCGATATGCAGATACACCGGGGTCTTGTCCGTACGCTGAACCTTGTGCGGTGGCGATAAAAGCATTGCGCAGAAAGGACCCAAGCATTGCAACACAACGAAAACAAGATACGTGTTGGTAGAGATGGAGCCCTTCTGATCATCGTTTACGTTAAGAGCGAGGTTAATGATTCCACCCAAAAGTTGTCCGAGAACTCGGAACATCAACCAGTACGAGATGTAGCGTGCTTGCTTCAATCGTTCAGGATATCCGAGTGCGATGCTGCCTTCAACAGACCAAAATACACCGGCTGAAGCCCCACAGCATGCCGCTCCGAAGACCACGAGCCATTGCGACTGATTTACGCTGTTGAGGTAGAGTCCGGCTGCGTAGGGAGCGTACCCGATGGTGCCGAAGATGAGTGCAAACTTGGCCGAGGTGTGGTTGATGAGTGATGAGGTGAAAAAACTGGTGATGACCATGAGGGCGAAAGTGAGGGAGTTGGCGGCGTTGACAGTAGATGGATCTTGTGAGCCTCCTGCTCCCAATGATGCGGTTGCAGCCCACAGACCTGGTGCGAGGAAGGAGCATCCTCCGAGCACGGTGATGTTGAAGAAAGTGGATCGGTACCAGGTGGGGCTCTTGCCGTCCCATACTGGACGTGCGTCGGGCTTGGGATCACGAAGACCGATAATTTCAAGCAAGGCTGAGGTGGCGTTGCCCTTACGAGGCTGTGAAGGAGTGATAGGGGCCTGTTCTGAGCTGCTGTTGGGTGATTTGCTGTCAGGGTTGCTTGAGGTGTCGTCGACGACCGTGGTGGGGTCCTTTGTGTCCGACATGGCGAATGTTGGCACTCGAGTTGGCGAGCGGGATACGTAGAGAAGGCGGAAGTAGTTGGACAAGAGAGGAGAAGGGAGAGGAGGTCTGCGCTATTTTGGCGGCTTTATGTAGGCCTCGAAGGAAGGAGCCGGGGTCTCACACGGTGGGAGGATGCAGCCTAGATCCGAAAGAGTGAGCGGATTGTGATTGCATTGCGAATAGAGCAAGATACACGGGAGATCACGTATACGACGTCTTCATCACCAAGGACATTGTAAGAAATGGCGTGAGTGTGAGCAAGGAGGAGCGAGTATGCTCATGCCAAATCGGGCCCCGCCAACTGGGACGTGAAAGATGTGGGCAAAGGTGAACAGGTAGGAAACGATGGTGAGCTGTGATTGGACGATGAGTTGGCACACAGAAGCACGCCAGATGCAATCAGATGATGAAATTCGCAGCATTTCATGCCTTCCACCCGCTCCCTTGCGGCACGGAAGGCGGCTGTGGGTTGTGAGATTCTGACAGCGTCGAAGAAAGCGATTCGAAGATCCGGCAATAATGTGCGACTGTAGTTGCCGCTTAAATGACTCGCAAGCACATCAAACGCACGGACGGTCAACTTGCAACTCTTCTTACCTTCTCACCATCGCCTTCCACAGCAACATCATAGAACTCGATACTGTCAACCTTGACTCGGTGCGCATGAGATCCATAATCTCCACCACTCTCACCTTGCCCAAGCGCACACCTCGCTTTTTCGCCACAAGACGATCCATCATGTCCTCCTCCTCCTCCTCTACCTCCACACGATGGGCAATGCAACGAGCAGACCGTATCCACGCCGAACTCAACGCGGGTGTTGACGTATGGACGCTTTTCAATCCCGTCGTTTTCCCTACCGCCATCAACCTCGGTCAAGGATTCATGAACTGGCAACCTCCATCTTACATCCTCGACACGCTTACAAAAGAGTTCCAGTCTCGTGTTGACTTGCATCACTACTCTCATCCCAAGGGACGACCTCGCTTGCGACAGGCTATTGCAGACTTCTACTCGAAAGAGTTCAACTTGCCTTCTAGGCCGAGCGAAGAAGCCGCTGCTGCTGGAAAAGGTGGAGACACAAAGCAAAGACAAGCAAGTGGAAGGAAGTTGGATGTGGAAACCGAGATTCAGATCACTTCAGGTGCCAACGGCGGAATCTACTCGGTCATGGGAGCATTCATCAACGATGGCGATGGAGTCGTTTGCATCGAGCCTTTCTTCGACCAGTACAATGCCGAGATTCTTTTCCATGGTGGTGTACCTCTCTACGTCCCCCTCCTTCCCCCTTCCAACACCTCCTCTTCCAAAATCGACGCCTCCAATTGGACTCTAGACATGGACGATCTCGAATCAGTCCTCTCCCAACCCTCCACAAAAGCCCTCATCCTCAATACACCCCACAACCCGGTCGGTAAAGTCTTCTCCCCGTCCGAACTCGCCGCGATCTCCGCCCTCTGCGTGAAATACGACATTCTCGTAGTCGCCGATGAAGTGTACGACTGTCTAACATTCGACGGATACAACCACACCCGAATTGCAAGCTTCGAAGGAATGTGGGATCGAACCATCACCGTCGGGTCTGCTGGAAAATCCTTCGCTTGCACCGGCTGGAGAGTAGGTTGGCTTATCGGGCCTAATCATCTCATTGGTCCCGCTCGTGCAGTACATACTAGGATCAATTTCGCAGTCAACTCTTTGGCGCAGGAAGGTGCAGCGATTGGTCTCGAAGACGCAGCAAAACACTCGTTCTTCCCCACCCAGATCAAAGAATACGCACAGCGAAGGGAGCTGCTGAGCAACGCACTGGACGAGATCGAGTTGAGTTATACGATTCCCCATGGAGGATACTTTATCATTGCCAATGCATCCAAAATCGCAATCCCTCAGGGATGGGTCGAGGAAAATGAGGTGCCCGAGGGAATCCTGAAGAAGGAAGAGGATTACTTGAAAGCCTGGTTCATCGCAAAGGTGTGCGATGTTGTTGTTATCCCAGCGACAGCGTTCTATGCAGAGAAGGGTGGCAGTGAGATCGGAAAAAACTACGTGAGGTTTAGTTTCTGTAAGGATCAACAGATTGAACAGGCTGCTCCAAGGTTGAAGAAGTTGATGCCTTATCTGACAAAGTAGAGGGTTGGTAGAGGGATGCAATACACGCTCGCGTGCAAACAGTCAACGTGATAAGCCGCAGGTCCGAATGATTCTGTGTCCATTGCAATGCTGTGAGCGAAAGGAGTGTATGTGAGTGTGAAATGTGATGGTTGATCACGCCTTGCTATAGGCCGTATTCACGCATCTTGACCTTGGCTCTTGTACGCAACTCTAGGATGCGGCAGCCTCCCATCTACCTCCTCCACCGCCCTCCTATCGATCCAACTCTCCAACATGACACTCCTCCATCCCAGCGCATTCCTCACATTGGTCCTTGTGCTCCTACTCGCAAAAGGATTAGGATCCTTATACTTCGGCTTCATAATCCCAAACCTTTCGAACAAAGCCCTTACTATCCCTCCGCCCCTTCCTCTTCCCCTCCTGTTCGTCTCAGCAGCACCATAGGTCGAGGCCGCATCATCCTCGTGCGTCCCCAACTCCAGCTCTTTGTGCTCGCCGTAATCCCTTGCTGTATTGATCCTGATCTGTTCGACTGTGCTCCTATTCAACAGCACCAGTCGAACGTGGTATATAAAAAGCACTATTAACGGCAGTATTGCTCCAATACACAGCAAGAACAGCACCGCTGAGACAGGTGTATTCGCTAACGCTTCTCTAAAGCTCAAGCCTCTTCCCACGACATCGCCCTTTGCTCTTGGATATCGATAAGTGCTTGGCCTGGTCAGTAGAACCATTCTAGTCGCTGTGCACCCAACCACCCACAGCGCCGATAAGATAGACGTGAGCAAAAACACCATAAAGCTAACATAGTTCCTCCTGCCGATACACGTGTTCAGGTAGGTACAATGATGGTCGATATTCTCGACACAGTTGTCGCAGACTCTGCAATGACTGCTTCGTGGCGGTCGATAGGTTCCGCACGTTTCGCACCATTTGACTTTGACCGTTTGGTTCCTGATCCGCAATACGCGCTGGATTGGGGTGGCAAGCGGATCTTCTGGGTCTGCGAGAGATTGGCGTCCGCTTTCGTAGGTGCTATTGCCAAGCACGCAGGGCGGATCAGGGTCAAGTCCGCGCGGGATAATGCCGGGGTCACGGAAAGCAGTGACACCCATATTGACCACCGCTAGCAGCCAGATGTATGCAAAGATGGCAATCAGTGCAGGTGAGATGTTGGCCGACAACCAAACGGCTTCAAATCCAAAGAAGAGACCACCGAGCACCAGCAGAAGAAAGTAAGAGAGGATAAAAGGAAGTGGGTTGTCGGAGGAGGTCATGAGGAGACCACCGAGGAAGAAACGGTTCTCACCTTCGTGGTTGCGGTAGTTGCGACGGCCTCGCTGAGCTTTCTGTGCCTTGGGCTCTGATGGGATGTCGACGTTGGTAGTGCCATTAGCTTTCTGTGTCGCAGATCGTCTCTTGTCGGGCAGCGAAGCACGTTGATCATTTGATACACCATTCGCTCTTAACTTAGGCTGTAATGTAGGACTCGGCTGGAAACCAAGCCCGGCAGCAGGTGCCCCATTCACCGCAGCATTAGAGATGGTTCTTGCGGGCAAAAGCGGATCAGTGCTAGCCATCATCCTCACCACCGAGTGCGGCGAAGGTTGAGCTGAGGGCGTTGGGAAACCGTCACTGGGGTCCAATGGAGACCGAGGTACATTGGCATCGTTCGGTCCCTGGGTATAGTTACGATCCGACAAATTGACACGGTAGCCGGCTGTGGCATGCTGACTCGTAGAGTTGACCGAGTGAAGTGAAGCTGCAACACTCCAAGGACTGGGTGAAGGAGCAGTACCTGCTGCCTGCTGGTCTTGTCCGGTTGGCAATGTGCTGCGCTCGAGATCCAAGATCTCCTCTCGTGCCTGACGGTCTCTCTTGTCCTGCTCCGCCACTGACGGCCCATTGGAGTAGAAGCTCAATGGAGTAGTGCTACGACCAGCCTGCGGGGACGTTGTTGCGGCAGCGGCAGCAAGCAGGTTGCCTGTCGAGTTGCGTGCTGATGGCTTCTTGGGCGCAAAGAATCCAGCTGGCGGCAAGATCGAGCCTCGATCTTTGGTTGCATCACGTTTGATGAACGACTCAGCATCCTGTTCGTACTTGCGAAGGGCCAACGAGCTGCCTGACCTGGACCTCGGCTGAGACGTTGCATGATGCTCGTTCTCGTCGCTGCGGAAGCCATGCGGTGTAGAAGCACGGCTGATGCTGTTCGCCAGCTGGTCGATCTGCTGCGAATGACGTCGATGTGACATGGACGACCGGCGAGCAGCGGCAGTAGCAGCATCGCGCAGACGATGTTGTGGATCTTCGCTCGTACTGCTACGCCTTGACATGGAGGAGAGCGGCCTGTTGATCTGGATGGATTGCCTCTGTGACGAAGGTCTCCTGCCTAAAGTGGGTGCGGGAGCGTCAACGGTGGTCTCCGATTCATCTCGATCGCCACTTTGCTGCATCTGTGAGCTCAACCTTGTTGCCGCTGTGGTCGTCGAGGGATCTGTAATACTGGCAGCTGATGCAGGCCTAGCATAGTCGAAGGGCGAAGCGGAGCGTGGACGATGAGCAGCGCGACTCGGCGTGCGTTGACTGGGAGCCTCTAGATCGCTGTCGAGGTCGTGTTGGAGACTGAGATCATCATGTGCATCGGTGAAATGGACTGAGCCTTCCGTGTCGTGATAGAGGCTAGCTTGTGCGCTTTGGAATGAGGATCGACGGGTCATTGCTTCGGTGTAGAAGGAGGCACGAGAGGCCGAGTTCAAGGTTCGAGAGGAAGGAAAGGCTGAGCTCTCGGCAAGAGTTGGCTCGACACTGCCTGGCCGCTGAGGTGCTCCGCCGTCGTTCGGCGCTGAAGCCGACATGGTCGCTACCCGTCACGCAATCGAGTGGGGTGAGCGTGAGAAAGTGTCGGCAAGTCCGAATGCGAGGCTTGCAGTCGAAGCCTCTTTCCCTCTGTGAACGGAGCTAGAGAACGCCCGTCTGTCAGCGGACGCGGGTGATCCGAGGCGATGAGGACAATTGTGGTGGGAGACCGACTATGGTGACGAGAAGAGGTGAGCAAGAGGTGCATGCAGCTTGTGACAAGTCGACCTAACCGGCGACGCTATTCGGAATGCGCCGAGATCTGTTGCTGGGCGAGGAGGCAAGGCGTGTGTGGCAGCATGAAAGGAGCGCGAGCAAGAGTCTGTTGGTCTCGAGTGTCAGTTGAAGATGCGTCGGCATCTCAAGCAAGGTGCACGTGTTACGGCCGAGACATCGAGATACGGGAGGCTCACATAAGCGAGGAGCACAATGAGGTACGCAATTGTTGTCATGGTGACAGCACAGTGGCACCCGGTATCATAGCAACACAGGGGTACAAATGAAGGAACACACCCTGCCTCGGATGGGATCAGAGCAGTGAATGGAGTATATATATGTGTTTGTCATTTAGTCTCACACTAAGAAAACCAAGCATTACATAGAACATACGGCTGTGGCAAAGGGAGTCTGATCGTGACCCCGATAACGCCGTATATTAATTGTTATCTTCAATTGTGTCTCTTTGGAATTTTAGGTTTTTAATTCAGACTGAACTCAGAAGCAGTATATTGTCCACTTAGGTTCCTCATCCCCTCCATTCCCTAACAAAAGCAGGAGCCCAGGAGGGCGCTAGGTTGCGACAAGGGATGCTGATCATAGAGACATGATACGCCTGGCTGTTCTGCCTCATGCATACAGTGCGTGGCTGAGCGCCCTTCCGGCTGCTCGTCGCTTGACCAGCCGATCCTACATCACCTCCTCCCCTCCTCGCGCACCGTACAACATACTCTTCTGCGGTACAGACAAGTTTGCTGCAGCCTCACTGTCCGCTCTAATCGCCAATCGCTCCAGCCTCTGCTCATCACTGCATGTACTCACTCCACCAGACACATTACAGCGATGGGGAGCAGCCCGGATGAAGGTCTCGCCTGTCAAGCAACTCGCTCTTTCTCACGAGCTTCCACATGATCACGTCCCACCAGCCGGCATGTCCGACTATGCGTTGCCAGCAGAGTTTCCGATGTCAGACAAGTCCATACTGCTTACCTGCTCATTCGGCCACATGATCCCCGACTCGCTCTTGGATACCTTTGCAAACCCATGGCAGAGGATCAACATTCACCCTTCGCTCCTACCACAGCTGAGAGGCGCCGCGCCGATACAGTGGGCATTGGCAAGACGGCTGCAAGAGTCCGGAGTCAGTATCCAGACACTGGAGAAGGGCAAATTCGATACGGGGACAATTGTCGCCCAAGAAGCTTTCGCTTTCCCACCGGTGGTGGAGAGTGCAGAGGGGATACCATCGTTTTTGCAAGTCGAGAAAGTCATGGCTGACCGGGCAGCAGAATTGCTCCTCCGTATCTTGTCGGATCTGCCGGGACATTGGGCCAATAGCCGGCCACAGAACGAAAGCCAGAAGACATTCGCCCCAAAGGCGAAAGCGGCATTCAGCAAGATCAAATGGCACAAGATGACAGCAGAGGACGTTGTGGCGAGAGAAAGGGCATTTGCTTATCTTTATCCGCTCAGCACAACGCTCCATCCTCACGCCGCATCGTTCAAGCCTGTAGCGGTCAATTTCTTCGATACTTCCACTCTACTCTCTATCCAAATTGACTCGGAGACCGCAGAGCTCTTGCTAGCAGACTCATTACCGGCCGGCTCGGCAGCATTCTCTCCTGCCCTCAACGCGCTGGTCGTCAAGACGCTGCCAGAAGGACAAGGTGCAGTCTTGTTAGTGGTCAAGGCCATCAAGACAGAAGGCAAGAAAGCTAAAAGCGCAGCCGAATGGTTCAAGGCTTATCGAGACAGAGCTGATCCTTCGACCGCCATCCTCACTTTCCAATAGTACTCCTTCTCCGCTTCATGTATTTGTACCTCTTCGCACTGCAAACACATCACATCATCCCAGACACCATCGGCATTTGAAAGCATCTTTCGATTAACGAGTCTCTATCGGTTTACAGGTGTCCATGGCGTAGTCGACCCCAAGACATCACCATCACACATTCTTTCGTGATTCAGCGGCTCCAGCAGCATAGCTTTGCAACAGAGCTTGAGTGAAAGGAAACGCTGCACCGTCTTCACTCAGCTCCACACCTGCACGGCTGAGCACTCTCGCCTTCGTGACTGCCAATGTTCCCAAGGCTTCTTGCACTCGCTCATCTCCACCAATTTCCGCCAGCAACTCCTCCAACGAAGCTTTGGCTGCCTTTCTCGCCCTCACCAAAGCCTGCACCAGATGCGGGTTATCCAGCTTGGGTCTCCTAACACCTTCGCTTCGAGGGAAGGCTTTGTCAACATAGAACTGGATACTTGGCTTCTCCTGGAGCTGCTTGCACACCTTTACTACTGCAGCCTTGACTTTGTCGTCTTCAGAGACAAGAGTTGAGGCACGAGCTTCGATCCATTCGTCTCCTTCAATCGTAGGGGTGGTGGCAGCAGGCGGAGTAGTGGTGAGAGTAGCAGTAGAGTCCCCTCGCATCGAGTCAACAATCTGGTATTCGTGTTCGTGCTCTACCTCTCCCTCACCCACCCAGTTCTTGGCATGCTCGCGAGCGAAGATGTCAAACTCCCATGTTTTGTCCATTTGAAGCTTGCTTTCACCTGCTGTCCAGCTGTACACTTCTACACCATCCACCGCTATTGACTGTGTCTTGCAGAGCTGCTGCATTCGTTCCTTGGTGAGGCCAGAGAGGATGGCGTGTAAGGAAGCAGAGCCGGCGTTTGTGATACGGTCCGAGTTGCGTTCCACCGGTGCCAAGGGATCAGGGATGACAGTGGCAGAGATTCGAGTGTACTCATCGCCTTCAAACGCATCCAAATAGCGTACATCTCCCTCTGTCAAGCCAGACACCAAAGTTCCCTTGACACCAGACTCGGCATCTCTCAACAGACCCGGATACTCCGCCCCTCGAACGTGGTACAGCCTCGCACCATTCAGAACAGCGTTTTGTACGCGAAGGTGACTTCCATTATTGCCAATGACCCGTGCCAGGATCTTAGGATGCACTAGCGTTCCGTAGAAGAACAGCTTTCTCCCCTTCACCGCCTCTTCCTGCTTCCTCTCTACCTTCTTTGCGGAGTGGATGGAGAGATCAGCACTACGAGCCCTCCAACCCAACCTCAACTGCTTGACAAGCGAGTACGCCGTATCGACATTACTCCTGTTCAGATCATGCAGGAACCAAACACCCGCCAACCCCACCAACAGCCCCGGTGGTGACCACCGAGTCCACTGCATAGTCTTCACAAGCAGTGTTCCGTAAAGCATACTGGTCAAGAAGAAGCTAAAAAGAGTCTTGACGCTCGACAGCGATTCTTCTTCCCTCGCTGCAAAGTGGTGGGCGAGCGCATTGGGGAGGATGTACGTCGGAATGAGGCTCAGGCCGAAGATCGGCACATACAACGGCAAGCGCAGGAGGAAAGATCGCAAGGTCGAAGAAAACGGAGATGATCCACGACGGAGGAACCGAGCAAGCGTAGTGTTGTCCGTATTAGCGAGATGCAGGAGAGAAGAGTAGGCGAAAAGCGCTTGTCTTGCTTCCTTGCTCTTTGTCGAGGCTGGGATGGTGAGAAGCACCATGAAGGCGCGCGAGAGCTCGACGTACTCCTCGATCGGCTCCTTGAGCTCTTTGTCTCCATAAGCAGGTGGTGCGAGTTCGAAAGTGAGCTCTCTTGCCAGTCGGACAGCTTGGAACATTTCCCAATCAGGAGCATTGAATGTAAGTTCCTCCATCGCGCGTTGCAGGTCTGCTGTCAGACGTGCCACCGCTCGGTGCGCTGGACTTGCATACTGTTCCACTCCTTCCTTTACGCCTTGATTGGCGTTGGTGCCAGTCGAAGTATTAGTCCGTGTCATAGACTCCGGCGTCGCAGGCACAGTACCGTCTTCCTCTGCCACCCTTTCTACCGCCTTCGCCTTCCCCTCCGCTTCCTCGGTACCCGGCGAAGATGCACTCAAAAACTCCTCAATGTAAGCATCCAACCTTATCGCCTTCCCAAACCTCAAAACTCCTCTCGACCTGAAAACGCTTTTGTCATCGAACACCGCCGCCGTAGGTAAAATCTTCACTTCCGTCTCTCTCTTCCCTCCCTCCTTCAGTTGCAAGAAGTTCGAATACTCCAATGCAGCCCAAGCAGCACCCATCTTCAATTTTGCCAATTTCGGAATTGTATAACTCCCTCCTTCCGGAAACAGCGCAATAGCTCCTCCGGCTTTCATCGCTTCAAACGTCCCCTCGAACAATGCTTGATTGTTCTTGTTTCGTCTATCGACCTTGATGTTGCCGGAAGAGGTGAGGATGAAACGGGTGATGGGGGATTTGAAGAATCCTGCTTTTGCCCAGAAATGTAACGGTCGACGATCGGGGAAGTGCGATGCAAGGACTGCGACGTCGAGGAGGGTGTTGCTGTGGTTCGAGCAGACGATAAGAGGGGTTGATGAAGAGGGGACGAGGTGAGAGTTGGAGATGGAGAGGGAGGAAAAGAAGAAGGGTAGGGACATGTCACCGATGGAACGCATAACAGTCCACATGATTCCGAATGTAGGTGGCTTCTCGCCTCGTGTGGATGCTGTTGCGGACGCTCGAGGTTTCGACGAGCCCGATTGGGCGGGTAATGGTACAGACGCCATCTTAGATAAGGGTAAGTTGCTACCGCGGGTCGTGTATGCTGCGGCGGCGATGGATGTCGAGGTTGGATGTGATGGCGAGAAGTGGAGATGATAAGGGTCCCAAATGGCCTGTTTATTGTCACCACTTGCGGCCGCCGGGAGAAAAGGACGCCGAAAGCCTGCCGATCTTCACAGCTGCAGCCTTAAGCCACGTGAATTTCACACCGCGCTCAGATCTCAACACCTCCGCACAGACACGGAACCACCTGAAGCTCAACGTTGACATTCTCAACAGCATTCACATCCCACCTTCAAACAGGCTCAAAGTGTCACAATGAACATTCAATTGCATACAGCATTGGCTGCTATACTTCCGAACATACTACCCTTGGATATAGGCGGACTTCTCAGCCTCGACCTCATCCAACAGAGACTGCCTAAGCACATCCGCCGTCCTCCAAACATCACCGTATGTCGAGAACTGCGCCAAGGGAGCCAACCTCAACATATCCGGCGATCTGATATCCGCAACCAATCCTCTCTGTTTCTCTGCTCTCTTGTGCGCTCTAGCGATGAGCTTCTTCCCATCGATAGGTGGTGGAACGTCTTTACCGTTCGACTTTGCCTCTTGTTCCTGCTGCTGGCGCTTTTCTTGTTCCTTTCTGGCTGCTTCTGCCGCCTGCGGTGGATCTGGGATCTGAATACACAACTGACTACCTCTCTGCAACGGATCCTTCGGAGTAACGACCCTGTTATCAAACCCATCGGGGAAAAATCCAGGACTGAGCAAAAGAACTTCAAGATACGCGGTGAGACGCAGACTCTTCCTCCTCAACACCGGCATGATTGTGCCTTTTCCATGCTTTCCCTCTCCCCTACCTTCATCCTTTTCGTTCCGCTCGCCCAGCTCTTCAGCCTTCAACAGCGTTTCAAGGGACCCCTTCAAGGCGGCCATATCCAGCATGGAAGGGTTTGACGTCTGCCACCCTTCCGCACCCTTCGTCGGCACGAACTTGTCGGGCATCGAAAATCTCGTCTCCTTTTCATGTCCCCACCATCCCGCCTGCCTCTTCAGATCAGCCTGATGCCACTTCTCATGTACAAACAACCCGGCAATACCACCCGGTCCAGAAGACCCGTACTTGTACGTACACCAACACGCAAAGTCCACGCCCCAATCATGCAACGCCAAAGGAACGTTCGCGAACGCATGTGCAAGGTCCACCCCGAACAAGACGCCGTACTCGTGCGCCTTCTTCGCTAGTTTCTCCAGCTCGAAAAGCTGTCCGGTAAAGTACTGAATACCGCCGATGAGAATGATAGCCGTTTCGCCTTCCTGACCGCACTTCTCGATGGTAGCTAAGATATCAGCTGTTTCGAGTGTCCTGGTTCCCTCCTTCGGCACCAGCGGCACCAACGAAGTCTCAGGATTGAAACCGTTAAGCTCGATCACCGACGCCAACGCATACTGATCCGACGGGAACGCCTTTTGCTCGAAAATAATCTTATGCTTCACCTTCTTCCCCTCCCTCCTCGCCTGCTCTCCATCGCCCTTGAAATCGACCCCAAACGGCTTGGTCGCCGGCCTATAGAACGTTGCCAGCAAGGAATGCAGATTACCTGTCAGCGTAGCCATAACAACCACCTCGCTCTCCTTGGCACCGACTACATTGGCACACAACTCTCCCACCCGTTTCTCCATCTGCGTCCACGGAGTTCCGTACGGATGCTCGAAATGACCCAAAACGGCTTTGCGTCCCCAAGCATCAATTTCCTGCTCCAAATACTTCTTCGTCAAGCGCGAGAGAGGTCCAAGGGAGTTACCGCACATATAGAGCGACTCTGCATCAGGAGCAGTCTCAGCGGAGGTGGAGGGATAGTCTGGAGAGCAGACGTCTTTGAACGTGGGAAGGATATAGCCCTGACGCATGGGCTTGAGGGGATCGGCGCTGTCGAGATGGGAGGCGATCTCTCGGTCGGTGACCTTGACGGATGGGCCGAGGGATGAGGCGATAGATTCGAGTTCCGAGATGAAGACGGACGTTGAGAATTCATCGTTGGCCTGTGGAATGGGCTTGTGCTGAACCTTGGCTTTGAAAGTCGATTGGTCGTGATTGCGGTCGGCGTTGGCTGCAGTGGAGGAGACTGGCAAGGTGCGGAGGGTAATGTTGCCACTCGCCTCAGAAAGAACCTTGCTAAGCCGATTGAACTTTGCACCAAAGACCTTAGCAAAATCACCCTCTTCGTCAGTAGCACAAGCCACATTCACCTTCTCCACCAACTCCTCCCTATCCGTAACATAGGCCGACAAGCTCACCACCGCTTGCACGTACTGTTCAAAAGTACGCAGGATGGCCTTCTCAATCGCTTGCTCCTCCGTCAGATCCGCATCAGCCTCCTCATCCTCCTTTCCATCGACGTCTTGATCGTCTTCTGCGTCGGGATCAAACATCTTCGCCTCCAAGCCAGCATCCGTCTCACCGTACAAGCACGCGGCAACCAGCTCATCCTGCGACTCTTCCAGCTGTTTGCCCAACTCCTCTACTTCATCAAGATCGACCCCGCTGTTCGGACCGGCCTTTGCAATTTCTTTGAGGATGTTCCCATGAGTAAGGTTGCCCATCTTGACCAGATTCGACAGCTGACGCAACCTATCCTTCTGCTCCGAAGAAAGCGGCGTAGCAGCAGGGAACGAGAATTCTTCTCCATCATCCTCTTCAGCAGCTGTACCATTCTGCTCAGCCTCAGTTCCCTCCTTCAACTCGTGCAAACCATCCCTCATCAACTCGACCCTGTTACTCCAACTCCTCTTGCAAGCTTCCAAATTCGACTTGCTCAGACCCTTCACCTGCACCTTGGTCCTCACACCGTTCGGCGCAACAGAAGTAATCGTACGCGGAGTCCCATCACTGTTCCTCTCGCCAATATACTTCGCACAAGTCTCCCAAACAAGATTGTTGGCTGCTAAGGTACGCTTGCGCAACTCAGCAGGATCTGGGTTGGCACCTAGCGAGAGAGATCCAAGCTTGCTACTGACCCCGTTAATGCCATCGGCTCGATCCCTCGCCTCGGAAGCCTGCTGCAAAGCCTTCTTCGCCCTATCATCCAACAAGGAATGGAGCAAATCGGCAATAGACCCAATCACATCTTCAGCAACTGACCTGATCTCCCTCGCAAACGAGTTTCCGAGAGAATACTTGAGCTTCTTCTCCAAGTCATCCCTCTCGGACGGAGGAATACCGAGTCGATCAGCAGACATGAGCTGTCCACCCATCTCTTTTGCCATCTGTTCCAGCTTCCTCCTCTCCTCAATCTGTGCTGGGGTCTGGTCAGCCTTGGATCGCTGTTGAAACACTTGGCGATCTTTCCATGCTTTCTTGGCCAAGAATACGATCTTGGGGAGGAGGTCAGAGCCGAGAGAGACGATTTGAGATTGAGCGGCTTGGAGCGATTTCGCGTCCAAACCGGAGACAGGGGAGATGGGGGTGCTGCCGTTGGAAGAAGCAGTATTCGTTGACTTCAAGCTTGGCTTCAAAGCGAGTGCAAGGTTAGTGGTATGCTTCTGAACAAGAGCGAGGAGTTGTGCGAGGTCAGAGGCAATCTGCGAGGAGAGCTTGTCTGCGGTTGGTGGTGAGGAGGGTTCGTCGGCGGAGAGGATGGTTGGTTGGGTGGGTTCGCGCAGAGATTGAATGGAGGAGGCGCAGATGATCGAGATGCGGAGGAGGGAGGATTGAAGCTCCTTTTGAGCTGCCTGATCGGCTGCGGTGGCTGGTTGGCCGGTGGTCATCGTTGCGTTTGTCGTGGTCGCCGATAGCGAGAGATTCTTAGGATTGTTGGGGTTGTTCGAGTGAGGGACAAGACCGAAGAGGCTCGAAAGCTGGCTTTAGGTGAACGTGTGCTTGTCTGATCTGCGCCTGTGTCAACCAGTATGAAGGAAGTGACGAGTAGCGAAGCAAGGTGGGAGTGGTAAGAAGGAGTGAGGGGATGGAAAGAGGATCAGCTTAGTCGTCAAAAAAGGGGGTCTCCAAGCCCCAAAGCGTGGCAAGTGGCAAGTGGCAAGTGAAACGCGGTCCATTTCCTGAAGCGGCAAGTGTCAATAATCTTTTTCGGCGCTCGCCTTTCCGACCCGCCTAGCAACAGCCGAAGCTCGAGTCTTGCTGTACTTACAATCTGTATGTTGTATGATTTGTGTGAGAGTGTGTGAGAAGGCGTGAGAAGATGGTTCGGGGGGAAACGATAGAATTGACCGTTCTGCCACTTTATTCGCACAAGATCCTCAGCATTGATACACTAAGCTACTGTCCTCGGACCAAGTTCGAACAGCACATTCCCACACGACCTTTCTGATGCTGTAATGACTGTGATACGCCCTAAATGCAAGAAGAAAGCGTTGATAGCAACGCATGGTACAGCATACCAAGTTCGAATGATGACTTTTCCGTGTAGGAACGGCTATTTCGGCGCCACTTTTCTGTCGTCGAATTTGCCGAGTTTTCCCTGATTCTTCGGCTATTCGTCGGACCAATTTTCATGAATGTGGCAAAGGTCGACGTAACATGTTATGAATGTGAATGGAGATGGTCTAACAGAATAGCCACCAGACCGAAATAGGTCAGGCTGTGCAGGTTGGCGAAAAGAGTCTGCTGCAAAAGGTGACGTTTTCATACAGTTCTCAACCTCCACAATACGGCGATTGACAAGTGAGACCCCACACTGCCACTCCTCCGGGTTGACAATGAGGAGCCAAGGGCCCTGTCAGCATTGAGAGGCCGTCGACAGTGCCAACCCCTTTCCTGCCGGATGCTGTAAGGTCTCCTCCATCCACGTTGTGTGTGTATACCATCTATCCTCATCTGGTCTTCTCGCCTCGCCACCAACACCTGCTTCCTCAAGCATATAAGCATCAAACACAAACTTGTCACCTGTCGAATTCCCCCATCAACATAGTTACCGCAAAAACTACTAGCCTCGCCACCCTCACCATGACTTCAAACCAACCAACCGAGTTGCCTCCCTCCTACGATCAAGTCAGTGGCGGATCTCGCCCTGGCGTCTCCTCCATCACCTCTAACACTGTTGGTGGTGCCTCTTCATCCACTGGCACACACCTCGGTGTACCGCACGAAGACGCAGCATCAGCCCGCAAGTCGATGGAAGACATGCTCCGTCCCCTCCCCAAAGGTTGGATCCGTCAATACGACCCTTCCACCCACCACAATTTCTTCGTTGATACCCTTGCAAGCCCACCTCGTTCCATCTGGACCCATCCCTACGATGATGAGCAGTTCCAGCGCCAACATCCGGAAGAAGTGCAAAGGGAACGAGAGAGGGTCGAGAAAGAACACATGGTTCATGCTGATACTGATGACGAGGATGATCTTCCTCACTCGTCCACCTCCAAGTCTCACTCCACTTCGCACCACAACACTGGTGCTGTAGCTGGTGACAGCTCCAGCGGCACCCAGCCCAAAGGACTCAAAAAGTTCGGAAGGAATCTCAAAGACAAAATGACAAACACCACCCATTCCGAGCGAGAAGCTAAACGTCAAGCTCAAAGAGAAGCTGAACAACGTGCAATTCAGCAACATGCTGCGATCCGACAAGCGCTAGTCACCGCCACCAGAACCGGTCAACCGCAGTTGGTCGGACGTGACAAGCAGGGGAGGGAAATCTTCGCCCAGCCTCCACCTTCAGGTGCGTTTGGTTATGGTGCAACATTAGGATACGGCCCATATCAAACTTTCGATGGTCCGTACGGAAGTTACGGTCCATACGCAAGACCAATGGGTCCGTACAGGAGACCAGGGTACGGCGGCGGTGGAATGGCAATGCCGTTGTTAGGTGGTATGTTGTTGGGTGGCCTGCTTTTCTAAGTTCACCTCACATCTCTGTGAATCAAGCAGGTTTGTAAATAGTCCCGATGAAGTGATACCTCATGCCTCTCGTGCTCTGTTTTTGCATGCAATCAAATGTCAATCCTCGCACGTCACAGTCTGTGCTTCTTGGTTTGACAATAGATTACGCTCAAAAGTGGCTGCCTTTCTAGCAGTTGTTATAATGACGCTTCAGACCAACTTGTTCTCAAGTCTCCTCTCCCCCTTCAAACTCTTCAACAATTGTATCGTCTTCTCCAAATCAATCGTCTCGGCTTTACCCTTCATGTTGACGTCGTCCCTGTTCCTGATGTTGACACTCTTGGTCTCCATCTCCTCGTGACCGACCACGAACACAAAGTTATACTGAGCAATTTCACCGTTTCTAACCTTCTTGGGGAGAGTGTTATCGGTAAGGTCTACATCAGCGTAGAATCCTTCGTTCCACAATCTCTGCTGTACCTTCTTGGCATAGTCGAACACCGTGTTGGTGACAGGAACCACCAGAACTTGACGCGGGCTGAGCCAGAACGGCCATTTGCCAGCAAAGTGCTCGGTCAGAATAGCAATGAAACGTTCGAGCGAACCGACGATGGCACGGTGAATCATAACCGGTCGCTCCGCTTGCGTCTCTCCACCCTGTGAAACGGCAGTGCGGTATTCCAACTTGAACTGCTGAGGCAACTGGAAGTCCAACTGGATCGTAGCGCACTGGTGGTGTCTTCGCATAGCATCGCTAATGGTAATATCGATCTTAGGACCGTAAAACGCACCATCTCCTGGATTCAACTCCCACTTTCCAGGAACGAACTTGTCCAGCGCAGCAGCCAAACGTGCTTCAGCCGTATTCCAAGTCTCTACATCACCCAAGAACTTTCCCGGCCTAGTGCTAAGCTCCAACTTGAACGTGAACCCAAACAGTCCGTAAACTTTCTGCAAGAAGTCAAAGCAACCAGCCATCTCCTGTTCGATCTGACTCGACATACAGAAAATATGCGCGTCGTCTTGACAAAACCTCCTAACACGAGTAAGACCGCTAAGTGCACCCGAAGCTTCATTCCTATGAATCACTCCGAAATCAGCAAGCCGCAAGGGTAGCTCCTTGTACGATCGATCGCGGGAAGCAAACATAAGACAGTGTCCTGGGCAGTTCATAGGTTTGAGTGCGAATTGTTCCTTGTCGACGTTAAGGGCGAACATGTCGTCTTTGTAGTTCTGCCAGTGACCCGAAGTCTGCCAGAGTTTGGAATTGTACATGTTGGGAGTGATCACTTCGTCGAAGCCTCGACCGCGGTATTCGTCTTTAATGTAGTTCTGAAGGGTGTTGTAGATACGTGCTCCGTGAGGAAGCCAGAAGCAAGAACCGGGCGAGAGCTCGTGGAACATGAACAATTCCTGTTCCTTTCCGATCTTACGGTGGTCGCGCTTGGCGGCTTCGAGCAAGAACTGCTTATACTCGCTCATCTGCTTGGTATCGGGGAACGAGATACCGTAGAGTCGCTGGAGGGAATCGTTGTTCTGATCACCCAAAAAGTACGACGCCGAGTTTTTGAGCACCGTCATCGCCTTAATCCGACCCGTGTGAGGGATGTGGGGACCAACACAAAGATCGATCATAGGACCGCAACGGTAGACGGTGGTGGAGGTACCGTCGGGGATCTTGGACTGGATGATGTGCTCCTTGTACTTGTTGTAGTTGAACATCTCCAAAAGCTGCTCTTTGGAGACAACGAGACGCTCAAACTTTTGCTTCTCTTTGGTGGCAGTCTTGATAAGAGTCTCGAGAGCGTTGAAGTCAGTCTGAGTGATCATACGGTCACCCGAGTCACCCATAGCCATTTCGTAGAAGAAGCCTTCCTCAGTGGGAGGACCGATGCAGAGATGACAACCGTAGTGCTTTTCACAAGCTTCTCCCAAAACGTGGGCAGAAGAATGCCAGAAGACACGCTTACCTTCGGGAGACTCGAAATCGAACAGCTCAAGCTTGCAGTCACCTTCCAAAGGACGTTCCAAGTCCCAAAGCGTGTCGTCGACCTTGGATATGACGATACGCTCGGAAAGCGACTTGGAAATCTCCTTTGCAATATTCATGGGCGAAGTCTCAAACGAAGTGCCCTGACGGGTAGAACCATCAGGCATGGTGACGGTGATAGGCTGACGAGGCTTGGCAGCAAACTCGGCATCCTGTTCTGCCTTGAGCTTTTCGAACATAGCGATACGGTGATCGAAGTAGGCGGGCTTGGGAGTGAACTCGAGAGGAGCCCTGGAAGCACCATCAGCAACAGCATCCTTCTTTGCTTTTGGCTTCTTTTCACCCTTTTGTTGCTGTTGCTGCTTTTGTTGCTGTTGTTGCTTTTGTTTCTGTTGCTGCTTTTGTTGCTTTTCAGCCTTTTGTTGGGCAGGCTGTGCGTTCAAGTCGACATCCTTGGCAGCATCGGTGAGGTTGGAAACGGGATCTCGTGGCTCTGCCGCCGAAGAGACGGACTGGGGTGCCGAAGAGGACATGGTGACGAGTTGGAGGACGTGGTTGTGGTGGTGAGGAGAAGAAGAAGGAGTCAAAGCGCATAGCTATTCTTGGTGTCGAGTCAGGTTTGCGTGTACGTCCGACATCGTTGAGAATATTCTCAATTTTTAAGCTGCGCTTTCTCAAAGGCTGCACGTGACCTGCCTACTTTCACTTGGCACTGACAAGAAAGGTTTGTTTCCCTCCAACTCCGACTCACCAACCTCATCCATCACCACGATCACAACTACGCCGACACGGCTCACCTCACGTTCAACGCTATCTGCGCGGCATCTCTGAACCTCTCTGTGCGGAAACCACGCTCGCCACTCGACCGCGTCAACAGCGGCGCATACATAGCAACCATGTCCGTCCCCACTCCCGCAACCCAACCCGTCAAAACCAAATCCAAAGCCTACTCCTCCACCGTCGCCATCCAAGGCGATGCAGCCAAATACCGTCTCAAGTACAAGGAGCTGAAAAAGAAGGTGCGTGAGATCGAAGTAGAAAACGACAAACTCCATCTCAAAACCCTTCGCATCAAACGCAACATTCAACGAATGCGTCTCGAACGCGCTATTCTCTACGAACGACTCGAAGCTGAATCACAAGCTACGCCTTCTGTTGCCACTTACCCACCTCCACCACCACCTGCTGTCGTGGCTACGGCTTATGATGAGAGGGATGTCTATCAGCCCGCTGCGCCCGGGTCTAGTTCGGGTGCCAGGAGAGTAAGTGCTGAATATGCCGGGTATGGCGGTGCCGGAGGAGCATTAGGGTCGGTGGCAAGTGCGGTTGGGAGAGGAGTGTATGGAGGAGGAGGAGCGGGGTATGACGATTATCCTCCTCCACCACCGCCACAGAGGGGTTATGCGGCATCTTCGTCGTACGATTCGCCTAGACACCATTCACCGCAGGCGGCGGGTTCGGTGGGGGATAGAGCCGAGCGGTTGAGACAGTATACGGAGAGTCCTAGTCCTGAACCACATACAGCGGCGAGGAGGGGAGATGCTGGGACGCCGTCTCCCCGCCAGTCAGCAGATCCTGCATCGGCGGAAGCGGGTGTGCCAGCTTCAAGTTCAAGATCCAGTATCAAGGTCAAGCTTCGTCGTGGGCTCTAATGCCCAACCTCTTTTCTGTAGCTCTTCTCTCAGGCTCAGACCATGAAAGCTTCGTCAATCTTGTATTCTAGCTTTGTCAGTCACGCACGCAGCGACTACTCGTCCAGATTATTTTACTTTGCTACACTCAGCAAGCTCAATTACCTCGCTTGACTGTGAAGCAGAGTACACGGTGAGATCACGAATCCTGCTTCCCTTCATCGTCGACCTTGCCTTCATCGCTAGAAGTCGCTTGAGCTGAAGACGGCGATGCAGCTGGAGCCCGAGTCCGCAAAGGCGGAACGGCACTCATCTGCACCCCAGGTGCTCTTGTAGCAGGCATCGTCCCCAACCCCCCTCCTCTGCCAACTCTTGGCCCTAACCCCAGAGCATGACCCAATGCACCATCTCTCCTTCCTTCCCCTCCTCCTCCCGGTATCCTCCCTGGGCACATACTCCCCGGCAAGCCGCCAATCCCACCTCTCAAAGTCGTCGTGACTCGAGCAGTTGGGATCCCCATACTACCCATATTTCCCCGCGTTCCGCCTAATGCCATACCCCTCCCTCCTCCTCCCCCTGCTCCACCCACCTCTAACGCAACCCCTGCATTCACCACTATTGGCCTATCCTCCCATACATAGCCAGTTCCTCCAAAGGAGAAATGCTGAACAACAACCTTCTTCCCTAAACATTCCGCACAGTACATCTTCACCATCCCGCCATACACCTTAACCCAATTCGGCACCGTCGTAGCGATATCGTGTAACAATGGGCTGTGTTCGTGGAATGGTCCTCTTTTTAGTACCTGAATGCGGAGTAGTGAGGTGAGGTATAGATTCGGTATCACCACTCTTTCTCCTCCTTCGACGAGGAGAGAGGTGGGTAGGGTAAGAGGGGCAGAAATAAGCCTCTCTGGATCCCTTTTGCTGCCAAGCTGTCCGTTGAGAATTGAGGGGTGGGAAGAAAGCGGTACTATTTGTGAGGGGCGGAGTGAAGATTGAGTGCGAAGTTGCGCAGCACCAAGGACATAAGGCAGAAATTGGAAATCGTCTAAACCCCAAACTCCGTGAGATCCTGCTGGTTCCAACCCGTACCGATCCTGTAATCGCCAAACGACGAGGAGGTAGAGGGGAAAGATCTCGAGTCCTATCCTTTCTTCCACTGCTTCATCTGCTATCGTCTCTCCCTCCTCCTCCCCCTTTCCCACCTCTGTAAAGAATCCAAGTCTATAGAGAAACCCAACCCAAGCAAAAAACGCCAACTCATGTCCACTCCCATAATCGATCCTCGTAAAACTCCCCCAGGCATCCCCCAAATACCCCTTCAATTCCGGTACAAACGCATGCAATCTTTCCGGCAGTAGCTCCTCATGCAGTCTATCTATCCGGTCTGAGAGGCGTTGGCCCCAATCCCGAAACGCTAGGTTGCCGAATCGTTGTGGTTTTGCCTGAGGCTCAATGTTATCTGTCCATGAGTTGAGCTCGTGTAGCAGCTGTATAAGTTTCTCGAATGGGTTTGTGGCGGTAGAGGAAGGTGAGGGGGGAGGGGGTAAGCGAGCATATTTGCCAACACAAGCCTCAGCTACCCGCTGGAGGAATAAGAGGTAGGTGGAGTATGAGGTGGATTGCTTCCATTTCTCTACGTCTTCTTCGCTTGCGATTCTCTTTACCGGTTCCTTGATCTTGCCTAACGTCTCGGGTGTTAGAGGTATCGTAGGAAGCGGAGGGAGTGATTGCGGACCTAAAGTTGCGGTGCTTGAGGAGCCGACAGCGGGGCTGCTGGTGGGGGGTTGAGGTGGCGCACGACGCATAGCTGGAGTGATGAGAGGCATCGTGTGCTGCGCTTGGTGGTGAGAAGAATAGAAGGTGTGAGGAAGAGATTCAGGGTCCAAAGACAGAAGCGCTGCTCCGGGTTTGTGGAGGTTAAACGGCTTTCGCGCTTCGGCCACTTTCTTTCTACTCTTACACCAACACCTTCTTGACGAACACAAACAGGAATCTTGGGAAGAAACATGTCGGAGCAACCATCAAGATGGACAAGCTCGAGGGTGGCACAGTCGCGCGCTAACCAGCAGACCTCTGGGAGCGGTCAAAATGCGGGAACACGGCAAAGTCGTTGGGCACCTTCTTCTGGCTCAACGTCAACACCGGGCTCTTCTTCTACTTCATCCTGGCGAACGCGGACCACCGAGCCATCTCCAAGCCCGAACTCTTCGCCATGGGGCAATCCGAACAACACCTCCGGGACGAATGCAGGCTCTCCGGCTTCAAGATGGTCAACCACAAGCCCAACTTCTTCCGCCGCACCAAACCCGGACCTAGTATCCTCACTCACATCCTCCCTCCAGAGCACGTCACTCCGCGATCCCTCTCGATCAACAAAAGTCCGCAACTCCCCAAAACTATCAAAACAGCCAACATCACCATCCATAGCCTCTCGAAGCGACGGCCTCACAGTCCGAAACACAACCAAACCACTCGGCGGCAAGACACTCGACCGTTTATCCCTCCTAGCATCCCCATCCCGCGGCTTAGATTCCTCCTTATCCCTCTCCTCCGACCTCTCTTCGCAAGGGAGTATGGACCTCACCTCTCCCTCAGTACAGGTCGAGTTCCGAGAATACATCTCCGCCCGCCTTCGCAAAGCGTTACCCCTTCTTTCGGCCACAGCACTAACAGTACTGGATAGCTCCACGTACCTTCCTTCCACCTCCCTGAAAGCAAGAGGGCTTGGAGAAGGCGAGGAAGAGCTGCAGCAAATCCTACTACTCGTCCGAAAGCTACGGGAAGCATGCGTGGCGAGTAGACGGGAAGATGGATTTGCGGTTGAGGTGTATGAGCTTTCGACTGGGTTAGCTTTATTATGTGGAGATATGATGCAGTTTGTGGCTAGCTTGCCTAGGTTGGTGCTCGAGCTATATCTCGCAGTACCGCCAGCTGAAGAGGAAGGAGGTGAGAGGGGTGATGTTGAAGAATTGATGCAACGGCTCCGATTACGACCGATCCCAACAGGGAGTGGGGACAGGAGGGGGAGGATGATGTCCCTTTACCTACTTCAATCGCTTTGTCTTTCGGGTCGAGCTTTGAGGCTGGGTCAATACATCGCCCCTACTGATAACAGTGATGGTGCTGTGGAAACCCTACATAAGGGGTTGAGGGAATATCGGTTGCTACGAACCACTCTTAGCTTGACCTATGGCGATGGGAAAGGGTGGAACGAGCATTTGAAGTTTTGCGACGAAGTTTACTCCGCATTGCGCGGTGTCGATCCGTTCAAGTTGACACTTCTACTAAGCGGTAAGGTTGGGTATGGGGTCGATGAATACCAAAAGTTACTATCGATGCAAGCTGTACCAATGCTAAGGAATGCTGCTTGGGCAGTTGCTAGAAGGACGTATATCTATCTACCCATTACACCTGAGCTTCAGGTTTTGATAGGGGAAACAGCGGAGGAGGGGAAAACGGGGGAGAGAAGGGAGGAGCAAGTTTGGTTAGAGGAGTTGTTGCTGCTCTGCACTGACTTTCTTCCGGCTAGTCGATCAGAGATGGAACAAGTTAAGGGTAGTGAAGGGGTAAAAACGAAGGAGGAGACGCCAGACAACTGCGACTCGCCCTCACTCGCTCACGAACCAATACCGTCTTCAGCTCAAGCCATCGTCAACGGCCGCCTTCACACATTCCTTCTCTCACGCCTGGACGAACCTCTTTCAGACCGACTCATATCTCTTAAAGACGGTTCCTTCGCTATCAAGATCAAGTAAAACACTTCAATGTATTTCTATCAAGTCAACATGCTTCATGGTATATCGAACATCGTACTCCGTACTCCGCTACTTCTTCTGAACGAACTTTAAAACACTCTCCCAGCTCTCTACCGGCTTGACACTCAATTCCGCAAAAGCCAACCTCCCCTCCCCATCGATCACAAAATGACTTCTTCTCGTCTTATCATCCGACCCAGTCAGTGCCTTAATCAACTCCCTTTTCGGATCAGAGATGAGGTTGTAAGGAAAGCTTTGTTTCTCTTTCCAACTCTTCAACAAAGCGGGACTGTCGTTGGATAGACCGTAGATGGCGTAGGAGGAGGAAGTGAAAGAGGAGTGATTGTCACGAAATAGCTTGGCTTGGGTTGTACAGCCTGATGTGTTTGCGCGTGGATAGGTGAAGATTACGGTTGATGTGAGAGAGGTGGTGCTAATGGGGGTTCCGTCTTGGGTTTTGAGGGTTAGAGAGGGGAGGGGGGAGCCGATGGTGAGGGCGCCAGAGGGGGTGGGTTTGGGTTTCTTCTCAGTGGCAGCAGCTGAGGCGGGTTTGTCGTTGGAGGTGGATTTGCGTTTAGTAGCAGCAGGAGCCGGGCTAGGGGCGTGGGCAGCGGGAGCTGGATTTCCTGCGTTTCGGGCGCTACGTCTTGGTGCTGCGTCGGTCATCTTGGTGATACGGTTGATTGTCGTTCTGATGGTGATGTTGGTGGTAGCGGTGAAAGAGGTGTTCGGCAGTGAGAGGATGGCTGGAGAGTCGGGGAGCACGTTGACATCCCTTGGAGAATGCACCTCACAGACTAAAAATAAGAGATGCTAAGAGAGGCTAAGAAGCTTATTTCCGCTCGCTTATGTTACCCTCAGCCTGGTCCGTGCTCGTGTTCGATCCAATCTTTGCGACTTGATCACGACACGTTTGTTCAGCTTATGGGGCTTTGTCCCCGGCTATGCACTCACACACAAGCAAAAGACACAGTCGGAAGCAACGTACCAGGAGAGAAGGGTATCATATGTGATTACAAGTAGACGCTGATGCGAAAGCTAGGATGTGCCCTTGGCCTTGTTGAGCAAGTTGCGTACAAGTCTACGCTTACCCACCCCACCCCCGCTACCACCAGACTGCTGCTGAGAATGTTGAGAAGAATGCTTGAACTGGTCGTTCTGTCCAGTCATCGTTTCATCTGTCGACCACCGGCTGTGTCCTTGATTCTCATCTGTACCACTGCCTCCTTGCGAATGCTGACTAGGCGTTTGTGAATGTGTCGACGACGAAGTAGCACTACGAAGCATGTTGAGACTCGGCCTTCGCAAGCCATCCCATCGACGGGACGATGTTGAGCCTGTGGTCCTGTCTCCGCTCACTTCGTCTCCCCCCTCTCCTGCTGCTTTGCGCCAAGAGGACCACATAACCAAGTCTGGGGTGAGCATTCTGCTGCCACCACTCAGGCGAGATGCGCTTGGATCGTCCGGCCCCAGTGTGCCGAGGCCGCCGGTAGGAGGAGGAACATGGATCGATTCTTTGCGAGGCGGTGGCACGGGTGGCGTGAGGCTGGTTGTGCTACTTGCTCCACTATCTGCCATAGGGCGACCTGGTGATCTCTCACGCCGAGCAGCGGTGTACGAGCTGAGCTCGGTCGGCATCGATGGGCTGTGACGATGCAAACTTCGAGGAGAAGTAGCGAACTTGTCAAGCACAGCTTTATTACCTCCTAAAACAGGCGTCTTGGGATCGTCTTCGTCTTCATCATCAATCTCGCCGGTCTCTTGGTCGACACCACGACCACTGAGACTGATAGGCATGTCTGCTGCACTGTTGAAGGTGACTGGGTTGTGACGACGTTGTGGCGGATGGTCTTTCGGCGGAACCATGGGCCCAACCTCTGAGCCAGCATCGGTCGCCCGGCTGCTTGAAGCGTGAGAAAGACCATGGCTCTGCACTTCGGGATCACCTGCACCTCCCCATCCCTGTGCCGTGTGAATATACATAGGAGATCCTAGACCACTGGCCCCTGCAAGGCCAGGCGAGGCGTTCTTTTCATTCTCAGGAGCGAAAAGCGATTGAGCCCAAGCACTGCCTTGCCCTTGCCCCTGCCCTTGCCCCTGCCCTTGCCCCTGCCCTTGCCCTTTGGCTCCAGCAGAGTCGCCTACGCCGGGATCAGGATCGAGACCCAACTTGGCCCTGTCAGATGCTGAAAGAGTTGAATGGTCAATCGTCATATTGTTTGAACCCAACACACCCTTTTTGGCGGCACCGTCTTGCGACGGTCGGCCCTCGCTGCTGTGCGGCCTTCTCGACACACGTCGATTGTATGACTGCGCCGCTGTAGCTGGATAGTTCGGCGCGCGATTCTCGCTGACCGAGAAGCTGCGTGAGCTGTGACCTGCTCCTGCTGCAGCAGAACGCGAAGGCGACTGATCTTCACTGACACTAGGTAGCTTGGAGCACAGAGCTGCATTGCTGCCTCTTGTACTCAGACTGGGCGATGGACCTGTTCTAGCATCTCCTGCACGCTTCCTTTCCTGAGCCAATGCTTCTCCATATGCGGCGAGCTGGGCTGCGAGCGATGTGCTGGTTCCATCGGGTCCATCAGAAGCGTAAGGCGTCTCATGATTGAGGATAGCTTGCGCTTGCTCAGCAGCACTCAAGTAGTTGGATCGGAGCGATGATGAGGATGCATGGCTCGCTAAGCTATCTGCGACGGATGGCGCTCGACCAGCGCGTGTGGAGACTGACGAGCTGCTGCCAGTCCCAGGCATGTATCCGGGGCGAGTGGTAGCCAGGCCGTGTTCTTCCGCGATCGAAAGGGCTTGGTACCCTGCGTTGAAGCGAGGCGAGTTGCGTGAGCCACTTTCGATGGAAGCGGATCCTACACCGCGAGCACTGTTGCCAGATTGAGAGCCCGAGCTTACGGCTGAGACGTGACTGCCAGATCGACCGCGTGTCATTCTGCTCGTTAGCGCACCACTGAGTCTCGTGCTTTCGTCCTTAGCTGCAGCAACGCCTGCCTCTGTAGCCGAAGAGTCACCAGCATCCTTGTTGCTTTGCTTCCGGATCGCCGTCATATTCCTTAGACCAGCTGGGAGTCGATGCGAGTCATGCCTCTCGCCACCATCGAGAGTCCGGTCACCTGCGTCAGATCCAGTGTGATGAAGGAACTCCTGCGGGTCGTCCTCATCGGCGGCTTCGCTCATGGTCGACTCGGCATGGCTGGCGTCATTATCAGTTGTGTTAGTACTGCGAGAGCTTGATCCGCTAACTGACCTGTCTCTTCCAGTGCTGTGAGAGGTCGCAGCAGACTCCCGAGTCCGCTGGCTGCTCGTCTCTGGGCCTGTTGCTTGACTGAGATCGGCACCAACACGCTTCATCGCATCGATACGGCTGTTCTGGTTGGTGCCTGCCCTGTACCTTTCCACACTTTTCCTGCCCATGATAGGGTCCTCGTTCTGACCAAAGTAAGTAGGCCGGAGGAGATCCAACGAAACATTGCCACGGTGCGGAGCCCGTGAGGCCCCGCGCACCTGCTCATTGGAACCCGCTCGAGCTCGCTGGACGTGGCCATCCGCGAGGAACTGCTCGCGGGCTGCCGAAAGCGAGGAAGACGAGGAGGCGCTACGGAGTCTGCGCTGCTGATCGATGGCTAACGCATCTGAACGTGAAATCGGAAGAGGAGGTGGAACAAAGGATGTCTGATGTGAAGGTGCTGTGGTGCTCTTGCATGCATCAGGATCTTCACTGGAGCTCTCACTAGCAGTAGCAGGGTTGCGTCGGAGACCGCGCTGAGAAGAGGCTGCAGGACGCTGATAGTCGAACGACTTGCCGGAAGTCCGACCCGGCTTAGCAAGGGCATCGAGGTTGATGGTGCCGCCATTCAATATGCTGGTACTGCTGGCAGCCGATGCGTCGGAAAAGAAGGAGCTGGAGGAGCCATGCATGGAGGAGTTGAATGTGCTGGGTTGGTTGTTGCTGGGCGTGTTGCCTGTTGCCTTCCTGAGAATGTTGGAGAGACTACGTTTGCCTGCAAGTTTGCCGTGCTTCTTTCCTGGACTGGTGGTACTAGCGCCGTCAAAAGAATGATCGAGATACCTACTAGACGAAGCCTGTGACATACTACCGCCCATCTGATTGGACGAGCTTCCACTAGCGAGGGCAGCTCGCAAGGAAGCAGCAGGATGTGCCGCTTTCTCTAGTATGGAGGGCAGAGAAGGCCTTCTCTTGGATTCGCGTGCGCTACCGGTGGCTGATGCACTTGTAGTGTTGCCAGGAACGGCTGCCGAAAGGGCGGAGGCTGCTGATGTTGCAGCATAGTCCGAAGAGTCGTAGGATGGTCCCGCGGAAGGGAATGCGGCGAGAGCGGGAGAGATGGCTGTAGGGTATGCGGACGATGATGACATGGATTGAGAAGGCGTGAGTGATGCTGGCGAAGCGAGAGGCAAGGGAGGAGTGGCAAACGAAGCTGCATCGTTGCGAAGATTGGGGTTGGAGCTCGTCTTGAAGATAGATCCACCCTTTGATGTTGAGCCGGAGCGTGAGGCGGCTAGTTTGGAAGCGTTGCTGGCTGAAAGCGTTTCGGATGAAGACTTGTTGTTAAGTGCTGATGAAGGAGTCGCTAGGTGAGAGCTCGAGAGGTTGTTGCTGCCGCTGCTGCTGCTGCTAGACTGGTTGTTTCTGGATGCTGTGATGGGCGAAAGGGGAGAGGCGCTTCTACCTGAAGCGGCGTAACGGATGTAGGCAGCTGGGCCCAAGGTGACGTCTCCGCTGACCGTGTCTCGCGATTCGACCATACCAGCGAGGCCGTTGGAGCCGTATGCGGAGATCCAGGAGCGGATAAGATTGGCGCATTCGGTATGACCGTTGCCAAGAGCGAGAGCCTCAGGGAGGAGAGCCTCTTTGTCTGCTGCAGCCGGTCGCGCTCCTGCTTCGAGCAAAATGCGAACAATGTCGAGATGACCGTTGGCAGCGGCAAAGTGGAGTGGTGTTGAGCCTTCGGCACCTGGACCACCGCTAGATCCTTTGGCCTTGAGACGGGGTGCGTTGACGTCGGCGCCGTGGAAGATGAGCATACGAACGCTTTGCTCGCTACCACCAGAGCAGGCGGCATGCAAGGGCAAAATACCGTTGAGATTGCTGTTGGCGGGCTGACCATTCTCAAGGGCGAACTTGACTAGACCGATGTTGCCGCTAGCTGCGGCGTTGTGAAGTCCGAGATTGGGATGCATGCCTTCGGCATGGCTAGAGGAGCCACCAAGGCCACTCTGGCCGGTCGCCTTGAGGGCAGTGCGGCTGACAGCGCTACGCAGCATGTCGAGGACGACAAGGGCAAGACAAACCCCTAAGCTTTGTTTAGAGGAAATCAGATCTGGGCGACCTGAGTCGCAGTTGTGGCGTTGCCAGATATGGCTAGGAAGCGATCAGCTTTCACGATTGCAGGTCGAACATGCTTCAGGCGGGCAAACGCGGAGTGGATGATGCGCAATATATTCGAGATGCCGATGCTGAGGTAGAAGGATTGGCTGAGGGACCGGACGCTATCAGCGCCGATGATACCGGATGGGTGTAGAACGCGTCGAGTCACTTGTTGTGTGATGATAGCTGTGAGCTTCGTAGAGGCAGAAAGGGTATCGGAGGTATCTCCGCTTCTCAGACGACGTGTGGGAATGCGAACGCGGAAATCGACCTTCGAGGGAGTGAACGAAAGGTTGGGACGAAAGCGTAACCAAATGAATGCTTGCGACGAGGGTGCTCCAGCGACCAAGCTGAGATGGAGATCCGTTTTGAGCCTGTCGTCGACGACGATGGTGGTGGCGATAATGCTGGAGGCAGAAGCGGGAGCTGCCGATGCTAATGATTGCGGTTTAGTGTAAATCAGCGGCTCAGCTTTTTGTTGAGATCACAAGGTGACCGTTGCATCGCGGCCGGCTGTGGGAAAAAATAATAATAAATAAGAGGGTAAAAAAGTGGAGCTGTCGTAGCATGGGCCCGTGCCTTTAGCCACCAGTAAAGGTTATTCCAAAAGAAAAAAGGAAAAAAAAAAAAAAAGGAAAAAAAAAAAAAAGAAAAAAGGAAAAAAAAAAGAAAAAAGGAAAAAAAAAAAAAAAAGAAAAAAGAAAAAAGAAAAAAGAAAAAAGAAAAAAGAAAAAAGAAAAAAGAAATGGGACCTTTTGCTCTGGAAGACCGAAGGTGCCAGCTGCCTCCTTCCATTATCATTGTACTACAACTTGCCAGCGTCGAGGGCGAAGGGATGGTTCGATGGCCTCGGTGGCCACATTGTACAGTACTGTACTGGAAAGCACGGGCGAACAAAGGGCGAGCTCAAATGAAGTGCTCTCCGCGCTATCCTTTTATAGAGCAAAAGAACGAGCCGGGCATCTTGCGATTCGCGCTCGCTCACAGAAACAGCAAGCAAGCAAGCAAGCAAGCAAGCAAGAGCATGTCCTTGTATTCTCTGTGGTCCTACATCCTGCTCAGGTTGTCGCTCCTACTTCGCTCCAACTTGTTCTTGAACCATACCTTTCTTGCCGTCACCAAATACAATGCATATCTTCTACACCTAGACCGCTTCCCGTTTCTGCATCTCACCTTGCAGCCATCCAGGCATCGTCAGCCTGGAACCTAGCTTAGCCTGAACACCGTCAAGATATCCAGTCTGCAGCCATGTCGATCGCATCCCAATCACCGCAGCAACAGCAACAGCCACGATCTATCCTGGCCGACTCACCAACCAGGCAAGTCCACTCTTTTGTCTCGCTCGTATCCTCACCCGAAGCTTCTTCTCCAGACGAGCTTGTCGATCATTCTTCCGTTAGCCAAGCCATCCTCTCCGACGTCTCGAGTCAACCCAAACCCAAGAGCATCCTCGAAAACGCTCACGAAGCTCTTCCACGCAAACCATCTCGGTCAGGCAGCGAATTAGGCTTTAAGGCTGCTCTCAAAGCTACTTTCTTACCTCCACCAACACCAGGTCGTCAAATCAAGGCTAAAGATGGCAAGAAACTAGGCAAGTCCTTCCAACGTACAGACCCTCTACCCGAAAGATTTCAAGGTGGACAGGTGCTCGAATATGATCCTCGAGGCAAGGATGTCGCAGCAGGTGATGGCATCTTGCCACCAGGCTTCACCAAGCCTCCACCCTTCGATCGACGCCACAGCGCCAGCGAGTCAGGCTATGCAAGTGACAAGGAAAGCAGTGTCGGCACTCCAAGTGAAATGGGTGATGCGAGCCGCTTCTCGAGATCCTACACCTCAGAAGCTAGCTCTGCGTGCCGCCCGAGCATAAACCACCAGTCCGAACGGGAACCGCCAACGTCGTCGGTCCCAAGTAGAGCCAGGCAAGGCTCCGTGGCGTCGACAACATCAAGCAGTAGTAGTGCAGCGGCGATCAAGTTTGCTCCTCTCCCCATGTCAGGACGATTGCAACGTGCCAACTCGATTACCATCGGCGTTGCTGCTCGATCGCATCTTCTTCAGTCGCAAGGTACCGCTGCCCCACCGCGATCATCCTGCACACCACAGCACGTGCACGGTTCACAAGCATGGTACACCAACAATGCCGGCAACCTTCATCCTCGTCATCAAGACGTTGTCGATGTGGGCCAAGAGATTAAGAAAGGCGCTACCAAGGCGTGGAAACTCCTTCGCGGCACTGGTGGAGGCAACGCAAGCGATGCCTCCAACAGCTCCAACAACAACACACCCGCGACTCATTCTGCTCCAGCTGCCAGGGCAGCGGCACAAGCTGCTTTGCTGGAGAAAGCCAAAAAGACATTCCCCAAGGAGGGCGCACCTGTGGCAGATCACGAAACAGGCCAACTCAAGATGGCCAACGCATCCGTACCTCTCAACACCACACCCAAGATCTCCCAGGGTCAAGTCTCGGACCAAGCCAAGAAAGCAGCTGTTCCGGCTGCCAGCGGGGATCGAACACCACGCAGAGCAGCCAGCCCAACACAACATTTTCGCAGTATGTCCATCTCAGAGCAGCCAGAAGCGGATGAAGCAGCAGCAGCAGCAATCGAAGCAGCACACGCAAAGAATGCTGCTAAAGCAGCTCACCTTCCCAACGGTCATCATCCACATGACCTTCAAGATGGGCCTCAGCACAATACCTACCATCTTGCTGATGATCATGACGCAGCACACCTTGACTCAGGGACGGCCACACCGACAAGTGCGATGCAGAGAAGATTGTCGACCGGTGCATTCTTATGTGGCTTGTCGTTGCGAGGTATTCAAGAGGACAGGAGAAGAGATCTCTTGGGTTTGGATGCGGATGATGATGAACAGCAGAGAATGGATAGCGGCAAGAAAGGTCTAGGCGATGAGAGCAAGACATGAGCTGAAGGTGAAAGACACGGCATTGCCGTCAGGACACCAGCAGGGACGGAAGAGGAGCTCGGCTTGGAAGGATATGGTCATTCGTAAGGTACACAAGCATGCGGACGATATGTTACGAGTTGTGCCTCTATATAATTACATGCGAAGCCAGTCGGCTCATTCTGATTCCAATCCTGTGAAGCGTACAATGGTGTGCTATGCGTCATCCGAGTCGTGGTCGTTTGAACAACGCATTTGGATCGATTGTCAGATTTATGACCGGTGCAGTCCAAAGTGGATGCTCTTGCTGAAGTGGCGGTGGCGGTTGCTGCTGCTGTCGCTTCGACGGCGGTATTGGTGGTAGCTTGAATTCAAAGGTGACAAGATCTCTCCAATCGCCTTTCCTGGGGCCGTCGATCATCTTGACCACTTTACTCCTTGTCGAGACGCTCTGGAATTCGCATCGCTCCAACAGTTTCCGACAAGCCTCGTTCTCGGGGAAGCAGCTTGCCTGCACCATCGAGTATCGCCAGTCTGTCTCGAGTGAAGCCAGCACTGCCTTGACCAGGAAGGTACCTACGCCTCTGCCCCTTTCCGTCTCCGCTACCATGACTTGCAGCTCTGCCACCTGTCCTTGCCTGACATCTTCTTCCTCCGCCAGTCCCACATCAGAGACAGCTTCATCTTCACTGTAGAATGGCTCCAGCTGCGGATAGAGATATGGTGCAAGTGCGAACTCGAGTTGGTGCATTTAGACACCGAGACATGAAGGTACGAAAGTGCTGTGGTGCAAAGAGCTTTGGTGGATTTGAATGTGGGCCGGTGGGGTTGAATGTGGGCAGATGGCGAACCTCATCGTGGCACTCGAGCAAGTCGCACCTCGGTGTCACCGACCACGACGCAATGTTGCTGAAGTTCGATTTCAGACAAAGTGGGAAAATGAAGGCTCCGAGGAAGTGGCTGACCGAGATGCACAACACAACGCAAAGACGTGAGAGAGCTATCGCCACACGTGGCCATGTAGCAGCAAAATTTTGTCCTTCTGGAAGGAGGGCTCAGAAGGTATAAGAAGACCTGCGTATCCCTGTCTCATTCGGGTCTCTCCCTCATCGACCTCTCCTTGCCACTTCGACCTCTCGAGTAATGCTGGCAATGCGTCAAACCTTTCAGCAATGGATGGTGCTGCTCTCAGCACTCATCCTATTGCTTCTCCCAGCCCTACTTTGCTATGCAGCGCCGATGGATGAAGGTGCTTCTTCTAGCTCTGGACTTCGTCCTTCAAACAGTGACTTCAAGGAATTTGGATATTACGGAAGACCCGAGTTCGGGTTCAAACTAGACAAGCAACCCCTGCCAAGCAGTGCTTTGGATCAGCATTTCGACACTCGTATTCATTATCAGGGCACGCCGGTGCTTTTTTCAAAATTTGATACTGTGCAGAAAGTGGCGGAGGCTCTGGTCAGCCACAAGAGGATCTGGCTTGCTGGCCCCTCGTCTGCTAAAACACCCAATAAGCTCCCCCCGTACATGGGCATGGAATATCACGGTCGTGGCTCTCTCAATTACATACCTGTAAGCCAGGAAGAGATTCATCCGCATGTCCTGGACGCGCAGGAGTTCAGGAACAAGCATGGTGAGAATGCTCTGTACCTTAGGTTCGGGCGTCCGTTCACCAAACGAGAAGGGCGACTATTCTTCAGTTATCAAACACCTACATGGAAAAAGGTAAAATTGAGCGACACGAAGTTCCATCTGAGACAGACAAAGCTCACCGATCTGCGCAATCATCTCAACAAGAACAACTACCTCCTAACTTATGATTCAGTTACGCACGAGCATCTCGGCTTCGCATTAGATAAAGACGGCGGGGTGATTTTCGAAAACTTGGGTGAATACCTTGGCCGGGCGTAGGCTCCTTGCGTCCGCTACTTGTGCTTCGAATATTCCTCACCCCCATTTGGTATCTCTTCATTCGAATTTCATTCGTTTGCCATGCGTCTCAACAGCTAATGAGAACTACCACCCATCCCCATTCACCGCTGACTGTCTTGAATGCAATGCATCACATTCCTCATCCTTGCGATTTCAACTAGCCGGTCTCGTGTGGATATTCATACAGAGCGACGCACAGTCGACGCATTAGACTGTGTTGAGTGGTACAAGCTCAACATAAAGATTCTTTCAAGATGAGAAGGCAGCTCGGGCAATTGAGAGTCAGTATGCCGATCTTAATACTAATCGACGAAAGGAAAAATGGGCATGATGAACTTACATGTGCTTCAAGGAACCAGCAGCTTCTTCCCTGGAACGACGGCTGTTTTGCGCTCTTTCCAAGGCCAGCGGTCGCGCCATGCCTCTGCACTGCGGGTGCGACAATCGGCTTCTTGATGTCATACCTGAGTAAAATCTCAGGAATGATCTTTGAGAGCTCCATCAAGCTGATGTTTTTGCCGATGCAAGCCCTCGATCCGCCGCCAAAAGTCATGTTATAGCGCTCCGTTGCTTTTCTGCCGTCTTCACCACCTTCGAGCCATCTCTCGGGACGGTAGATCTCAGCGTCGGATCCGAATGCTTCCTTGTTGCGATGAAGAATGTATGGGCTGATGCCGACTGTCGTGCCAGCTGGTATAGGGTTTGGATTACGCCCGATGATGGCGCCGCCAGAAGGAACGTAACGAGGAAGATCCATCGAGATGGGAGGAGAAAGGCGAAGTGCTTCCTTGATACACGCTTGCAAATATTCCAGCTGTGCTCCTTTGGCGTACTTAACTGGGGAAGAAAGTTGACCAGAGTCAGCAGCATCATTGATTTCTTGACGCAATTTAGTGTAACATGGTGGATTGTCGAGAAGATAGCCAAAGAAGATGGTGAGAGAGGTGGCGGTGGTGTCCGAGCCAGCTGACATGACGGAAGATGCGGTGAAGAGTACCTGTTTCATGGACAGCTTCTCTTTCGTGTCCGGGTCTCGAGCTTCCATGAACTTGGTCAGCATGTCCGGACGAGATGCCATGCCGTCGTTGTCTTGGACTTCTGCGTAGCGAGTCTGAATCCTGGAAGTGGTCTTGTCACCAATGACACTTCCGCCAGGCTGTCCAGTGACTCGAGGGAACAGCCACAAGATCCATGCCGAAAACAGCGGCAAGCAACCGGCGACAGCTCCCCATTGCGAAAGGTTGAGCACACCGGTCAAGAACCTCTCGTCGTCTTTGCCTCGATGCAGGAGGTTAAAGGACTGACCGAAGGCCAGCTCGCCAACGACGTCCATGGCAAAGTAGTGGAACCAAGGATCCAATCGGATAGCCTTGGTCTTTTCCCCATCATTGCTGACGGCCTGAGTTTCAACAAGCTCATCCAGACGCTTGAGTAGCAGCTCGGTGACGTCTTCGACGTACTCTTCAAGCTTGACCAGGCTGTTCATGCTGTAGGCACTTGCGACGGCGCGACGGCGCTTGCTGTGCCGGTGAGGGTCGCGTTCGCTGAAAATGGATGGATGCGACTTGAAGACTTGGAATGAACGGTAGAAGTTGGACTTGCGGAACTTGCTCGATGTGCCATCAGAAAGGCTGTAGATCGAGTTCATCGCAGCTGGATCGGCGAAAGAAAGGTGGGTGGGCCCAATGCGCACCACATCACCGTGTTGCTTGTGGAGGGCGTAGAGCGCGGGTGCATAGTTGCCCTGAAGCGTGTGCCAGAAACGCCAGAAGGGAATGCCGAGTCGGGCGGAGAGAGGGCCCGGATAACGGGAGAGTGGTGATATCGTGAGGTTGTATAGCATCCATCCTGATAGCAGGGCGAGGGTGCCGATGAAAATTTGAGCAAGGAATGGAAGACCAGAGAGTGGTGTTAAGACGGTCTTCGCGAGTTGCGCTACAACGGAGCTCTCCACGACGGGTCGTTCGCCGAGACGGGCGGGAATCGAAGCTGCTGTCATGCTGAAGGACTGAGTTGGTGGCCGTGATGAACAGTCGACAGATGTGAGGTTACGTGGGATGCAGGGTTGAGCCTAAGGAAGGTGCGACGGATCCTGCGAAGGATAGCTTGACAATATATTACCAACGACTTTGTGGCTGCATACCGGTTCTCGTACACCGAGCAGAGCTTCCCACAGGCGGAAGCCAGAAGTGCAGGACAGCGACAACATTGTTGTTAGTCGATTTCCGCCAGCGGGCCGACCCCACCACTTTGCGCGAACTCTTGGAGCAGGAGCGGGGAGAGAGGTCGGTGTCGTGTGGGGAGCGAGAGTGACGCAAAGTGTAGACATAGTGTGGGGTATATAGAGCTGCATCTGTCAAGAGTTGCCGACATTTCCATTTCTTGGCGTTTCTGACTTTGTTCTCTCTCGTCCGACAGGCGGAGTTGGAGGGAAGCAAACCGTTCTTGACGAAGCCGAGGAGCCGACAAGGGAGATTATGTCAGCTTCGGTCAAGCCGATTTGAGTCGAGTCCTTCTCTGGCGGTGCATTCAATTCGTATTTTTCCCTCTCCCGTTCTTCACCACAGTCACATTGAGGAGGTGTGTTTCTTTCCAAAGTCACATCAAGCAACACAGGCACACACGCACGCACGAACGCACGGACGCACGCACGGACGCACGCATGCCAGGCAGGCAGGCAGTCAGGCAGTCTGTCTGTGTTCGGCCTATCCTTCCTGCTTCCTGCTTCCTGCTTCCTGCTTCCTGCTTCCTGCTTCCTGCTTCCTCCTTCCCGGGCCGTTTGTCTCTCTCTCTCTTCTAAGTGTTCTCGCCAAGCTGTCAGCGCGTGGCTTTTTTCCTCGCTTGGGTCAAATTGTGAACATCGGCTATAAAAAAATTAAAAAATAAAAAAAAATCAACAAAAAATATAAATAGCAGTTAGGGTCTGGTTGACTGCGCCTCATCCAACTTTCAGAGCGGACGAGGTTGCCTTTTGTTGCTTGTGCTTGTACTTTTGCTTTTGCTTGGCTGAGTCTCTGCTGCTGAAATCGCTACAGTATCAGCATACATCGACGTCTGCCCTCGCCCTGCAACTGTCTGAGCTGCTGATAGGCACACGCTTGCCTCGTCGAGACTTGCTTCCCTTCTCGATTTGCACTGGAAGTGTCTTTCCTTCCTGCCCACCACCTCCACCGCCCAACGCTCTCATTCGACTCAGGCAACGACGATAACAACGCCCAACTCCAATTCCTTCGAGCTCTGTTCGTCTCCATTCAAACCTTGCTTCGGCTCGACCTTACGTTCAAGGTAGCGCAGAGTTTATCAGGCTCGAAAGGTTTCGGGGGCTCCACAACGCAAATCAAGACGAGCCCAAGATATCAGCAAGCAGAGAGGCGCTTCTTTTCATCACCTCACGAGATCCTCCCGTCGCCAGCAGGCATCACATCGTCGCGTCCTCTTTGATTAAGCTCAACCGCACGCACGCCGACGCAGCCAGAAAACCTAGAGCTTCGTTGACTTTGCTGTCAGCCTTGCATCCTAGGCGTCATCAGTGTTAGCACCTTCGGATTGATTAAGAGCTCAAGCAGCACAGCAGAGTAGTGTTCACAGTCCGGTCGACATCTCAGCACTGCACCGCACCGAAATGGCAATTGACGTCCTGCGCAAGGTCAGCGGCTCTAGCAGCCATGCTGCCTTATCTTTCGTCGCCGGCGCCAACAGCGCTCCCGTATCAACCTCGAGCAACACATCCGCACCCAACTCGACTCGTGGCGCATCGCCCAACCACACACCACGAAGCAGCATTTCGCGTGAGAGCTCCAGCAAGGACAAGGATGTCGGTCGAATGACCAAGATGAGGGCCGCAATGCACATTGGTTCCGTCTATGATGACTGGGTGAGTATCTTTGCACTTTACTCGCTACAACTGTTCGCCTTCCGCTTGTGGACGGAGAGTCAGGATGCTTCTTTTTGCCCAAGAACTGGATATGCTGACACGTTTGCTGCTATTCTGTTTCTTCCTTATTCAGCCAATGTATTCGGCCAACGGAGACGACTACATCGTTGGAGATGTGATCGGTAAGTACTGCCGCCTCCTTACTTTGCAATGTCCGACAGCTTGACTGACTCTCGCTTCCCTTTCCTTTGATTTCAACAGGCTTCGGTGCATCTTCCCTCGTTCATCAAGGTGTTTTTAAGCCACTCGACAAAGCTTGCGCCATCAAAGTCATCGATCTCGAAGCATACGGCCGAGACACGGAAGAGTTACGGCGAGAAACGCAGCTCATGTCTCTCTCCAAGCATCCCAACGTCCTTCGTGTGCGTGGTTGCTGGGTCAAAGGTGCCAAACTCCACATCGCGACACGTCTCATGAGCAGTGGATCGATGCTCGACATCATGCACTTCGCCCATCCGGAGGGTTTCGACGAAACCGTCATCGCCACTGTTCTCAAGCAAGCGCTCGAAGGTCTCAACTACCTCCACGTCAACGGCTGGCTTCATCGCGACCTCAAGGCAGCAAATATCCTCGTCGATGATGACGGTACGGTGTTGCTCGGCGACTTTGGTGTTGGCGTCTTTGTAGGCGATACCGACAAGTCGTCTGGCACCGTCTCGAGCGAGGGCAAACGCAAGAGCTTTGTCGGCACGCCCTGCTGGATGGCTCCCGAAGTCATCGAACGCAAGCATTACGGCACAAAGGCCGACATCTGGAGTTTCGGTATTACTGCCTTGGAGCTGTCGCAAGGTCGAGCGCCCAACTCGAAGCTCAATCCAGTCAAAGTTCTGATGCGCACCATGCAAGATGAGCCGCCACAGCTCGACCGCACAGGAGGAGCACACAAGTACTCGAAGCTCATGGATGACTTTGTTCGCCAGTGTCTGCAGAAAGATCCCGAAAAGCGTCCGACGGCGGACAAACTGCTTTCGCATGGCTTCTTCAAGCAGGCCAAGGCGCCCAAGTATCTCATCTCGGCCATTCTTGCTGGTCTTCCACCTCTGGCAGATCGACAAGAACGCCGACGTCTGGCTTCGATCCATTCAACACAGCACCACCTCTCCTGGGACTTTGGCACCATCAGCAGCCGCACCACTACGCCGAACCTCGAAAAGTTCGACCCCTTTCGCAACTTTACCGGCGTCGTGTCGCTTCCTTCACCACACGGATCTGTTCGATCGACCAAGCTTGTCTCAATTGACGGTCAACACGTGCTTGCAACTGAGGAGGGCGATACCAGCTTGATGCGGGGATTCAGCAGCTATGACGATTCGCCTTCGAAGCAGGGTGCTGCTGCTGGAACTGGTTTGCAGAGCAGTATCGGTCGAAGACGTCGTCGGTCGGCGGATGCGCTTGGTCATCGCAAGTCGGTCTCGTTTGAGAGCACTGATGCTAAGGTAGGTGCTGAAGGCGTTAATGCTTTTGGGGCAGTGGTTGGAGGCTCCTCGCTTGCTCCGATCGGTGAGAAGGTTTCACCAATGCTTTCGCCAGCACAGCAGCCGGTGGGTGGGGAAGAGCCGACGAAGCTCCGATTGAGCACGGATGCTTTGACTGGCACGGCACCTCAGCAAACAGAGACGACACCCACCAAAGCCACCGAAGAGCCCATCGCTTCAAGTCGAGCCAGCAACAGCACAGGTTCAACTGAAAGCTCGTCGCCCAAGCAACGCTCCGTGTCGTCCCCCACCACTGCTACCTTGACTCCCAAGCGCAGTGAGTCGGACAAAGTCGCCATGCCTGCGCCCACAACACCTGCCAGTCAGAACATGCTGCAGCGCACCGCTAGTCGATTGCGCGGCGAAAAGGACGGAGGTGCAGCTGCCAGCGCAAGCAGTAAGGAAAGCAAGCATCAAAAGAGAGAATCGGTCTTTGGCAAGCTGTTCAAGGGTGCTAGCAGCACTCGAAAGGAGGGCAAGGTGTAGCAGCAGCATTCCTCTGTGATATCGTTCAGAGATTGGGTTGAGGAATCAGCAAGGAACATCAGCATTCAATTTTAGCATCTCTTTCGCATCCATTCTTTCCTTGTAGCTCACGCAATACATATACCCGTCGGCAGCGTGTTAGCTCCGTGTCCATCTCCTCCTCATTCGCATGTGCAGACTACCACCCATCCATGGTGAGAGAGCATGAGCAACGATCCGTTTAGACGGTTTCTCAAGGTTCTTGGCGCTCAGAGCTTTAAAATCCCCCGACTTTTTCTCTCCAGCGCTGAGCAGTAGGCGCACGGACCAGGTGGGATGACGCGAGCTGCAGCTGACAGAGAGGCGGAAATTTAGAGCTTGGAAGCTGTCACTTGTCTATTCCAAACCTTCTCTCTTTCATCTTCTTATCAAGCCTTTGCTCTCCAACTCAGACTTAGACAAGCTCAGCCTTGAGCTTCAGTCAACAGGGGCAGGATTCTCTCGGAGCGCAGCAAGACAGCGCCACTCACCCTAGTGCAACGATTCGTCCAAGATGCGTGCATCACCAGCGATAGCCTCCTCCCTATCCCTCCCGCTCACAACCTCTTTTGCAGGAGCACAAACGCTCTGGTGGCCCTCTTCCACCTCCCTACCACCTCGAATCGTACTTCTATTCATCCCTGGCAATCCCGGTCTGAGTTCGTACTACATCGATTTCTTACATTCCATCTACAGCTCACCCCTCATCAAATCCGGAATTGAAATCTTAGCAGTCTCGCATCGTGGGCATGCGCCATTACCCCGTGTTGGAACGAATCCTATTTGGGGAGGCAACGCCGCTAATCAGGATCAAGCAAGGAAAGGGTATGGTGTAGGGCTGGCTGATCAGGTTAGACATAAGGTTGCTGTTTTAGACTCTCTCAACCGGCACTACAACGGGAGTGGGGAAGGTGGGGAGAGAAAGACGAAGGTGGTTGTGGTCGGTCATTCAATAGGAGCTTGGATAGGGGGGGAGGTGTTAAAAGCGAGGCCTGAGGGTTTGGATGGATTGCATATGTTGTTTCCGACACTGGCTTGGATCGGGAGGACGGCAAATGCTACGAGGTTGAGGTGGGCATTGATTAATCCCGTATCGCAGAACGCAATTCTGCCTCTACCTCTCCTCTTCTTCTCGCTACTTCCCTTATGGTTGCTGGTATGGATAATAAGCTTGGTTACGGGTCAACCGACAGCGGCGAGCTTGGCAACTGCTGAGCTGCTTACGACGCCGGGCGCAGTACAGAAGGCACTCAATATGGCTAAAGAGGAATTCTCCACAGTAACTTCACTTGAACCTTCAACAATAGACGCAATTCGCACTTTCACCTCCGACACCTGCGGGGGGAGAGTAAGGAGCTATTGGGCTGCTGAAGACTCTGATTCCTGGGCACCCTCCTGGATTCGAACGCAAGTAGAAACTGAATTAGGACTGCAACGTGTCAATCTTCCCCCATCTTTAAACCTCAGCGGAGGGAAGGAGAGGAGAAAGTCGCATGTCAGAACCCGGAGCTTCTCCGTGTCGGAACACCGGTCTAGTCCGGGCAGCATACCCGATCTACGCAATGCAAAAGCGATTCGAAAACCAATGGGTGAGATCGTTATCGAAGCGCAGGTGGTCGAACCTAGCGATACGGAGGGAGAGGAGAGTGGGTCGGTGGAAAGAAGGAGAGCGGGAGGAGGTAACGGGGAAGCAAAGGGAATGGAATATCATTATGGCCGCAACAGAGCTACTAGTACACATTGTAGAATTGGGATGCCTCATGCATTTTGTCTGAAGCATTCGGAGGACATGGCCAAGATCATTGCTAGTTGGATTGCGCAAGATCACTTGAGGGAGGAGAACGGTGGGAAGCAGTAATGCTCATTCTGTTCAGGGTTACAGCATCACCTTTAGAGCTCTTCTGTTGGAGTGTGAACTCGAAGGTTTGAGTTGAGTTACAGGAGCTCACTACCAGAGCTAGAGCCATTCTGCTCTGCGCTACAACAGGAATCGCGCCAGGTGCAGTTTCTGAATCGCGACCGTGTGGTGCAATTAGACTTTACGCGACTGACACGTCTCAAACCTCAAAAGTGAGAGAGAGAGAGTGAGAGAGGGGAGAAGGAAAGGTTCTGCAAAGTTCTGCCTTTTCGCGCACAGACACACGCGACGAGGGCAGCGCGAGGTCGTGAGAGAGACGAGCGCAACCGTCGAGATGAGTCTTGTTTTCCTTCCTCCATTCTTCACCAGGTTTGCTCCTTCATTCTCTCGCCTGCGTTCTCATCTATATAAACAACACCGACAGTCGACTCCAAACCCAACCCATCGAACCGAGTCACAAACACATCCACCCTTCACAACCCATCCTCATGTCCTCCTTAGTCGCAGGCCCCAGCACCGTCGCTCCGTCATCCGACGACGACATCACAATGTTAGACTCCACCAGCGCCCCTCTACCCCCTTCCACCAACACCATCGACGTGGATGCTGAAGCCTCCGATGGAAACGAAGAAGAATATGAAATCGAGAGTATCGTCTCCCATTCCGATTCCACCATCGATGGTCAACTATCCTATTTCGTTAAATGGAAAGGTTATCCCGATACCGAGAATTCTTGGGTGTTTGAAAGTGATATGGGTGGAGCCCAAGAGATGATTCAGGAGTATTGGGCAAAGGTTCCTAAGAAGGGTGTTAAGAGAATGGGCAATAAGCGTGGGAAGAAGGGTAAAAGACAATCTTCTGTTGGTGTGGGAAGTTCTAGTACTCCGTCCAAGACTGCTACCGGAGTTGCTCGAAGGAAGAGAACCAGGAGGGAGAGCAGTCTTGTCAACGGCGGCGATGCGCCCAAACGCACTCGAAAAGGAGCTGAATTGTCTCATTCCCGTTCCCCTACCCCGGATGACGCCTTGATTGACGTAGAGAGTGATCCTGCACTCCAACGTATCCGATCCGACCTCACCCTAACCAACGACCAGCGCCAACTACTCGAACAACAACATCTCCACGCGATCAAACTCGACCGCCTTCGAAAGCGTTACGCTCGAATCCCAGACTGGGATCCAATAATTAAAAAGATCGAAGCGGTCGAAAGGATGAGCGACAACAAGTTGCGGGTGTTTGTACACTTTGAGAGTGGAGATAGGTTGGCGTTTGAAAGTGTTGTAGCGCATCATAGGTGTCCGTTGAAGCTGTTGGCCTTTTATGAGGCTAACTTGAGGTTTAAGAGGAATGAGGAGGGTGGGATGGGGGGTAGAGTGGAGATGTTGAGAGGGGAAGAGGAGTTGGGGGAACTAGAGGAGTATAATCGGGTGCTGGCGGCGGCGGAGGCGGCGGCGGAGGCGGCGGTGGAGGCGGAGGCAGCGGTGGAGGCGGAGGCAGCGGTGGAGGCGGAGGCAGCGGTGGAGGCGGAGGCAGCGGTGGAGGCGGAGGCAGCGGTGGAGGCGGAGGCAGCGGCGGAGGCGGAGGCAGCGGCGGAGGGAGAGGGAGAGGGGCTGAATAGGGGTGCGGTGGGAGAAGGGGAGGGGGTGGAGACGCAAGTTACAGCACAAGAAAAAGTAGAAAAGGTAGCAGAGGAAGGGGAAGGGGAAGGGGAAGGGGAGGGAGTGGTAGCAGCAGTTGCAGCCGCCGTTACTGAAAACGCCGATGGTGATGCGGCAGAGGAAGCTGGAGAAGGAGAGGGAAACGCAGCTGCAACCACAATCATAACTGCCATCGCGAACGGAGAGGAGCGAGTGTCTGAAACTCAAACGTCCGCCATTACCGCAGACAACATTCCAGAGGAGAGCAGTTAACTCCTGCTCACTGCAACCAAATTGCCGATCTTGCCCAATTTATCAAACACTTACATACTCAGCCAAGTCCAACAATCATCATGCCCAACTTGGGACTCCAAGCTGTTTCACGTCCGACCGCTCTTCGTTCTTGTCCAAAAATGTATTTACTGCTTTGAATCATGTTCACTGTCTTTGTCGTTTGTGCTGAAAGCGTTTGCTTGAGGCTGAGAATTGAGCCTCAAGCAATCGTCCGCCGCTGTCTTCCCACTCAAGTACCTCAAGCGCATAGAGTCGGGATTTGGCGCTGCCGCTTCCTCGGCCTCAACCTGTGTTTCCGATCTGCTAACCCCGATCCCGGGCGAGGCTCTGACACCAGACTGAACTCATCTGAGAAGTGATTTCAGAGCTTACGGATCAAACCACACACATGGTCAAATCGAGAAGAGAGAGCCAAAGGAAGAGATTCATTTGCATGCATGCTACCAAAACACTAGGAAAGAAAACACAAAGAACAAATCGAACATGACCTTGAAGGCTTAGGATGCGGGCGCAGGCCCACCGATGTCCATATCCGCACTGGCAGCTGGGTTTGCAAATCTATGCTGACCACTCTGCTGAAGCTGCTGTGGTGGAGGCTGTAACTGCGAGGATCCCCCTTGTTGCTGACCCACTACCCCACTCCCATTTGCACCAGCTGCACCCGCTCCAGCAGCAAAACTCCAAACCTTGATATCCCCGTCGTCGCTCCCACTGACAATCTTATCATCGCTTAAACTAACGCACGTAACTGCACCCTTATGACCCACCAGCGTATTCTGACAATATCCTGTATCTCTGTCCCAGATCTTAATCGTTCTATCGTGACTTGCAGATGCGATTCGCAGCTTGTCCACATCGAGAGACCAAACGCCTTCGACATGACCGAAGAGAGTGCGGATGCAACGGCCTGTTCTAACGTCCCAGATCTTGAGGGTGTTGTCGAGCGAACCTGAGATCAAGACTGGACGCGGTTTCGTGTGATGTGAGTTAGGAGGATTGGTGGACGTGGAGGGGGTTGAGGTGGAAGAGGAGGGTGGTTGAGAAGAGGTGGAGGGAAGGATCGTCGGGTCGAGATCACCCATTTCAGCATCGAGTGGAAGGGGTTCGACTAGACCGGCTGCACAAAGACGTTCTTGAACTCGGAGGAGGGATTTGTCTATCCTTCGCCTACGGCTTTGGCTGGTCGTTGTGCTGCTGGAGCTAGGGTTGGGAATCGATCTACGAGGACCACCAGCATTACCATTACCGGTACTGGCATGGAAGAATCGCTCCGGAATCTCACCTGCACTCGACGAGCCCCTCCTTCCACCGCCAGCTCTAGCACCGATATCGGCAGCACCCACGATCGAAGCCAATCCTCCCGCACCACCACTCTGTCTTCTACTTGGGCTCAAACTTGCATCGCCCAAAAAGTAACTCTCTTGATCTTCCAACGAAAGCATATCCTGACCTCCCCCCTCAACAACTTCCACCGCCTCTTCATCTGCACCACCATTAGCAGGGATAGAAGCTCTCCTCGAACTTCCATTGTTCCGCTGAAGATGCGCCTCACCAACACCCCCTGCAGCACCACCAACCAACTTCCTAACCGCCTCATCGTCCATCATTATCAACTTCAAGCTCTGCACCTGCCCCACATGCCCTTCGAACGTCAACAAACACTCCCGCAATCCCAAATCCCAAAGTCTGATACTCCCATCATCGCTGGCACTGAACAGGAAACTCCCTGCTGCGGTCAGATCTTCGTCTTTGATACTCGCCGCAGCCTTTCCCGCCCTCAATGCTTCCCTAAGTCTTTGTTGGCGTTTCTTCGCAGCGGGACCAGTCCAGAGAGTTACGGCATTAACCCAATCCCGGTGTCCCCTAAGCGTGTAGCATTCGCCAGTACGGAAGTTCCAGATCTTAATGTTGCTATCCGCACTCCCACTTGCTAGGGTATCCTCGTTGAAGTGAAGACAGACGATTCCTTCGGTATGACCTTCGAGCGTGCGCATGAGTGCGCCTGTTCTCCAGTTCCAGATTTTCAGCGTGCGATCCATCGATCCGGTGATCAGCTTTGCTTCGTCGAATTGGAGGCAGCGGACACCGCGTGTGTGACCTTCGAGCACACGAAGCATTTCACCCGTTTCGAGGTTCCAAATTCGTGCGGTCCTATCGTAGCTGCCCGTGATCACAACAGGGAAAGCGGGGTGGGCGAGGTTCTCGTTGAACTGCAAACACATGATACCGTCCGTGTGCCCGGTGAGAGTTCGAGAGGTGAATCGACCCCTTCGCCAGTTACGCTCGATAGCAAGTCGTTCGCAATAGACCGATTTCCAAGGTCGAGTCTTAGGGGGAACAGCGTTACTCGACGAGGAGCCACAAGCTGTTGCTTCACCGTTCAGCCCACTGCGCTGCTTCTTGAGCGGAGGTGCATCACGATCCCTTTGCTGCTGCTGGTGGTGCTGCTCGGGAATCGTGCCCATCTGCAAATCCCTCTGTCCCGAAACCGATCTCGAATGACCTCTACCCCCTGAACCCGAAGGAGTGGGACTGGACGCCCTCGATCTCGACTGCTTCTCCAAGGCAGCAGCATTAGCAGCAGCCGTAATACTCCGCTTCAACGAGCCCGGCGTACCACCCGATCCATCAGAGCTAAGATCGCGCGACTCGGGAGTACCCAACTGCACCGCAGGGCCCGGAACTCTCCTTCGACGCTCACTCAGCAGCGGTAAACCCCAACCGCACTTTTCGCACTTACGTTCGATATGCTGTTCGCACATATTGCGCCACAGCAAATCATCATCCGCAAGCTGCTTCCAAGACCGACTGACCTGTGCAGCCCTACCCAAACTCATCGCATCAAGATGACCAAGCACCTTGAGCGAGACTTCACGGGGAAAGAGCGAGAATGGGTCGATACGAATCGCCAGTGCCAACTCTGAGGAGAGGAGCGAGAGCTGACTGAAACAACACATAGTGAGGATTCCTTGAAGGATCAACGCCCTGCGTGAATGGGAGGAGGACGAGAAGAGTGACCAGACTGTGTTGACCGCTGTTTGGTCTGCTAAAGGGAGACTTTCGATCGACTGCGAGCGGTGAAGACAAGATCCAAGAACGAAAGTTAGTATCGTGTGTCATCATATTGGTACCTAATCGCATCCGATGCCGTCTCGGATGAGAGATCACGAGAAGAAGGAAAGAATGTACCACATCACTTATAGCACACGATCTATAAGGCAGAACGAGGCTTCAAACAGAGTGTTTCTATATAGCATGATCGACGATTGAGGATCACAAAAGAAGAATCCTCGATGATCGCTTAGACAGCATCGAGCGCCCGCGAAAAGACAGAGGGCGACATGACGCTGCCGGATCTGCATCTTGCTCGAATCTTCTCACTCTGCACTCGTGACTTTGAGTACAAGCAGGACAAGAGGACTCAAGGCGATGGCAAAAGAAGGAAAGGGAATTGGACAAAGGAGGGAGAAGAGGACTCGAGACGGCATTGGTGCAATATCGAATGATTGTGGAAAACTCACCTTCTGAAGTCGAGCAGTAGTGCCTTCATCAGCCATGCGCTGATGTCGAACACAAAGCTTGCGTGTTGCTGGAGGCACGAGCGGGGTAGCACCAGTGTTGGTGCAGTTAACATCAGCGTTGGCTATAGCTACATCCTTCTCGGCGGTCTCGACATGCTCATCGGATCCACGAAGACCACCTCGATGGGCGCCTGATGGGTTGGGTGCTTCGGTCGCTAGTGCCGGAGATAAGGTCAAGGGGCTAGATGGACGTGTGCCACTGCGGCTGAGCGACCTTGCTCCTCGCTGAGAAAGAGAGATGACAGCAGGCGAGGCTCTCTCGCCGAAAGGGACGTCGTAGTCGGACGTCAAGTCAGCCGAGGCGGGCCCACATCGACGGTTGGCCATATCGTTAGCAGCTTGTGCATAGGCAGCCTGGCTGGGACCGAGGAGGTCTGAGGCTGCCGATTGCTGAGCGGCGGTTACAGCAGCAGCTGATGCTGATGCTGATGTTGATGTTGTCGCTGAAGATGTAGCTGCATTGACTCTTGCGCTCTTGGGCACGACGGCCCATCCATCGCCGGAAGTGACGGTAGCCAGGGACGAGGTGACGGGTGGCTGGGTATATGGTGCTGGCGGCAATGGAGGTGAGGGAGAGTCTATATGCTGGTGCAGATGTTGATGTTGATGCTGAGTGTGTTGCTGTTGCTGTTGCTGTTGCTGTTGCTGTTGCTGTTGCTGTTGCTGGTGATTGTGCTGATGGTGCTGATGGTGCTGATGGTGCTGATGGTGCTGATGGTGCTGCTGAGCCTGTTGCTGGTGGAAAGAGGCGCTTGCCTTGTGCAGCGGACTGTTGGTGGTGCGTACTTGCAGCATTGGATCAGACTGGTGAATTGCTGGAGGCGTATGCACGGTCAAGGTGGCCATGGCCGAGGCGTTGGGATGGTCAGCAATGTGACTTATGCTACCGGCGAGGCTGTGACGTGAAGCCTCTGGTGAGCTGCTGTGCGTAGGATAGTCTGGTTGTGACGAAGGATCGGCTTGGTCGTGAGAGGGAGGCGAAGAGAGAGGCGACAACGCTGAGCCTCTTCGACTTGTCTTGGAAGAGTGAGAGAGATCTGCGATGTTCTCGTCGTGATCCAAGGTGTGGTTAGAAGAGGAAGCTATCGCTGAAGAGCTCAAGCTGGACTGATTGTGTTGATGCTGATACTGCTGTGTGTGATGATGGTGGTGAGTAGGATGGTGCCCATTAGAGGAGGAACCCCCGGTTGAGCCAGAAACGACTGTCATGCTTTCAAGCTCGATAAGAAAAACTGAGGGCAGCCTATAGCCGGGGTTTTGGTGCAAACGCCGGGGAGCGAGCGAGCTGAACTGAGCTGGGGTATGTGGGATTGAAGCTCAGAGGCTGCAGAGCAGAGAACTGAGCATGGCAAAAAGAACACTGCCGAGGTAGGGTCTCTCTAGTGGCAGACTAGGCACTCAAAGGAAGTTGAGCCAAGTCGGGAGCACGTTTCGAGGAGCTGCAGCAGGTCGTCGATGGACTGGCGCGGAAATGGAGCCTTGCTGGAGATCGAGGGAATGGCGCACCACCGGCGCAAGTGTTGAAGCGATGCTGTGCAGATGCAACAGAATCGAGCACAACAGTGGTAGCGATGCAATGAAGTGTTGCTGCGCAGTAGGGCGAGGGAGGAACGAATGCGTCGAGACGGCGATCACGAAAGAATGGCGTTATCCAGGGTGCAGCTGTTGAGCGAGGCAGAGTTTTGCTCGCTTGTAACGACCAGTTGAGGGTCGACAGCGCTCTATAGTGTCAAGGGGGAGAGAGAGAGAGAGGCGCAGGGTCGTAATAGCAACTTGAGAGAGTGAAAGATCGCCCAAACACTGGCAGTGCAGATTATGTGACCGAAGACTGCTGTTGAATGGCCGAGATGCTCGAGAGGTGTGTAGGATAGAGTGGAGGAAAGGGGAAGAAAAGTCGCAATCGCAGGTATGAGGATGATAGTGTGCGTTGCGTGCGTGCGTGCGTGCGTGTATAGCGCTCAAGTCAAGTCAAAGTGGACGAAGACGACGAGAAACGTCAAAAATGTTGAGAGAGGCAAACTAGCCGAAGTTGTGAGTTGCAGTGTGCCGTACCGTAGCATCCACGGCTCAATCGTCGTCGTCGTCGTCGTCGTCGTCGTCGTCGTCGTCATCAACAGGCTCGCCTATGAGCGAAATTGGCAAAACTCGGAAGCTGAGCTTTCTCTCTGTCGTGTGCCTCGGCGCTGGTCCCTGATCTCCAAAAAAAAAAAAAGTGGCGCTTGGATGGTATAGGAAGCAGAGAAGCAGCAGAAGATGTGCGAGATGTCAGCTCCCGATTGCGCAAGCGCAAGAAGCTGTGCTATGCAATGCTGAAGCCTTGATCGCTCTGCAGAGAGCCTTTGGTTTGATGTGGTCGTTGGCAGAAGCGATGATGGCTTCAAACAGAAAAGCAAACTGGATTGAGCCTCACTGTGCTGCGCAACCACTGTTTTTCTTTTCTTTTTCTCTTTTTCTCTTTTTCTCTTTTTCTTTTCTTTTTCTTTTCTTTTTCTTTTCTTTTTCTTTTCTTTTTCTTTTCTTTTTCTCTTTTTTCTTTTTCTCTTTTTTTTCTTTCTTTTTTCTTTCGGATTTTGTGCTATTTTTTGGGGCGGATCGCCTGTGTGGGCTTTGCAAAAAGAGCTCCCAATGGTGCCATCGCCTGTTCCAAACTTTAGCACACACCAAGGAGTTCTCTCCAGCATCCCATTCCAGTACCAAAGGCTCATATACACTCGCTTTGTGGGTAACTCTTGCACTCCGGATGCATGCACTGCTTCTGTTTGGCTGCTCAGAAGACATTAAAATTCAGTCTGTCAGCAAAAGCGATCGAATGGGAATGGCTAAGGCGCAGACCAAAACGAATGTGGAAGGAATTGAGTGTGGCCATCTATGGCTTGGGCTTGACCGGCAGGGTCAGCAGACCAACCGCGAATTGCGTTCGAAATGACGAGCTTCCAGCGTCGGATTTCGACAGCAATGTTGCCTGTTCAGTCCAGGCCCTCTCTCCCTCTCTCTCCCTCTCTCTCCCTCTCTCTCTCTCTCTTTCGCTTGTATCGGTCAAAGTTGAGCTCTCTTTCTTTCGGCCACCCGTTTTGCCGTTGTACGGCGAAATTGGGCATTGTTCTGCTCAAGCCAAGTTAGACAGACTCCTTTCGACTTGGCCCGTGTCACTCGGGCTTGGCCTGCATACGAAGACTGTGTTGTGTCGCCAGCAAAAGTTGATCTCCGATTGCTCTTCTGTGGTTGCCGATCTTGTTCCCGATGCTGTATGTTCTATCATGTGCTTCGATACGATACCCAGACCAGGTTTGATCCAATATTGATCGGCAACAGCGACCACGACTGTATCGCACTCAAGCTCCGGTCATCCTGCTCATTGTTCCCAGCGGTGGTCTATGGCCCAGGGTTGATTGAATGACACTTTTTGGAGAATCAACTGCTGATGGCTTTCTTTCCTTTTCGGTTTCAAAAAGTCACGCCAAAAAAGGTGCAATAATATTGACGACATAAATTGACGACGAATCGACGAGACATCGTACACTGTAGCAGCCTTTCTCTGAAGGGTCCCACTCCCTGACGTCTGTCTGGACCGCAAGTCGCTCCTTCCACACGCACACATCTTCAGAGAGGGCAATGCTAGAGTCACTGGTGTGTTATTTTCGGGTAGAGATGGTTTCGCACTGCGGATTCTCACAGATACGAACTGGCTAGTGTAGATGTGGTTACAAAACAGGAATCATGTTCTGCAGTGCATGGAGTGAGGGTACAGGACCGAGCCAAAGCGAATCAAGATGCGAGTCGAAGCGGCCAGACGCAACAATCGCGTCGTCGTCACTCTGCCTGAAACATTAGGTGTGCTTAGTCGCCGTGAAAGTGTGTATGGTCGTGGATCCTCGCATCAACGGGATTGGCGAAGAGAGAAACAATGCTGTACAGAGAAATGTTGCCGAGCGATCCGTTTTTGCAAACGCTACTCGCAGCTCATCAGTCATGGTGAGCCATTTATAGCATCTGAGGGTAGTCGATCATGCCGCGACATAGAAACAAGAAGCCAAAGAGAAACCGAAACAAGCTTAAACGCTAAGGCTGGGGAAGCGCTTAGTTGTCCTTGGTCTCGGCATCGGCCTTCTTGGAGCTGGCCTTGCGGGCAATGATCTTCTTGCGGTCCTCGTCGAGCTTAAGGCTGGTGATGACAACGTTGGAAGGATGGATACCAAGGGGAACGGTAGCACCGTTGGTCTTCTCACGGTGGATGCGCTCGATGTTGATAACCCACTTCTTGCGGTAGACCTGGGTGACCTTGCCCTCCGCGCCCTTCTGGGAGCCACGGACGATCAAGACCTCGTCATCCTTGCGGACAGGGAGCGATCGGATCTGTAGTGAGCAGGATGCAGATGAAGGTGCAAAGAGTGGTTAGAAACAGTCCAATGAAAGAAAAGTTGACAAGGGGATGCGGTTTCATCATCGACGTCCATTGCCAGCGTCTGTGTCGGATTCGCAGAGCTTGTTGGTAACATTCATTTGCCTCTCATGAGAGCATTCTCTGAGTGATCGCCGACGTGCTTCGTTGTGGTGATGCATACTGCTGTGGAATGGTACTACTAAATCTGTTTTTGTCGAGTTTGTTCTGCAAAACCTGTGGCTACTCGGCAAGGGTGCAGGTGTTTTCTTGCAACTGCCGTTGTGTATGTCCTGTGATGATCTGAGATCCTGTAATGACCTGAGATCCTGCAGTGACAGCAGCCTAGCGCAGGTTGTAGTAGATCAACGTGCTACATCCGTCCAAGCCTTTCGGTCCTCTTCATGTCCAGCCTTGACAAAGCCATTATCCCCCCGCAAGTCTGCCTAAGGTGCTTCGACGTTCGGTTTGGCCGCTTGTCAAAAGCAAGAACGACAGCTAACGACACGTTTGCACCTGTTTGAGACTGCGTGTAATTCTGGCAGTAAGGACCATGATGTGTGCTGTGACGCTTGTCCACTGTGCCAATCTCCTTTCCTGTATTCCATTCTTGTGTCGCAGCGTCGGTCATCCGTGTTAATGAATCGTCAACGCTCCCCCGAGGCCATTGTCATGTAGCTCTGTAGCTAGCTGGTGCCGCATGATGTCTGTCGTTGCGATGTGATGGGTGCTGCTTTGCAATGTGAAACTGCTTTCTGATTCAAGGTGCGCCTGGACTGCGATAAATCTTCGTGTGTCGATGAGGATTCTCTCGACGAATGCCGCTGAGATGCGTATACTCTGCTGAATGGCGGATTGACTGGCTGACAATGCTGGAAGCGTCGATGATGAAATGTCGCTATGTACTGGGCATACTTACGCCGTGCTCAGATCGGAGCTCCTTGTTAAGGGAAGACGACATGATCTTTCGTCGGAGGTGGGCGGGGGCATCGAAGTGAGCCTTGCGCTGTGCGCGACGAGACGAGGAGACCATCTTGAAGTACGAATGTGCGGGGCGGGGGTGATCAAGGGTTGGGTGGTGGTGATGAGAAGTTGGAGCACGAAATCGCAGATGATGATCAGACCTCACATTCGACATTCATCAACTGCAAACAGCTCGCACAGCTCGAGAAATCTCCAATTGCAGGCCAGTCTTCCTTCTCACTGGCAGCTGCTCGGGTTTGGGTATCACGCTGTGCTCCCTCGACTCTGATTTCTTCTAAGCTTTGGACAGAATCGCCATAGCAGAGCCACTATCTTGATTTCACTCAAAAGGTGCTCTGAAGACTGCCGTGTGCTGCCGTGTTATTGCTGAGCGCTCGAGAAGGGCCTTTTCTGAATTTGGCTCGATTTGAGAATTTCAGTGGGGCTATTGAGAGAAGAAAAAGCCTCAGCCATTCGTACAGTTCTGATCTGGAGTCGGCCGATCCCCGATCCCCGATCCCACATCCCACATCCCATTTTCACCCCGACGAGTTGTCATCACCGATTGAAGCTCAATGCCAGAATCCGATCCTACATAAACACATGCTTCTGCTGAAAGCCGTTCGGCATGCTCACTTAGTTTAGAGCTGCATGGGCGATCATCTCGGCATCAGGCATGCTTTGACTTTCCGAAGCCGAAACACTGGTCTTATTGCTCAAATGGCATCGGACCTCGGTCAATCGGACGCTTCTAAGACGGCACAGTCGTTTTCAGTCGTGCTTGCCTTCCTTTGTGAATGTCTACCATTGTCAATGTGGTCGATGCTTCCTACTGCAAGTAATAATGATGTGATGTAAAAGTCCTGAGGCATGCGAGTCCAAATTGCATCTTCATGGTCCATATCTAGGCGGCCAATCTATCAATGTCAGACCTTGGGCCGCCAGCGTTGGCATTATTCAATGTCTATGTCGTTGTGCCATTTCCTTTGGCTGCTTGCGCATCTCCATCTGCTTCACCGTCATCGCTCCAGTTCTCCAATTCCTCTTGCTCGACAACAGGGTGGTAGCGATACTCGGAACGACCAGCGCCCGAACGCGTTGCTGCAGAATTGGATGAGGCTTTCGATAATGGCAAGGCGCGATACGTGCCATGACGCAAATGTAATGCGTACGAGTAGAGCACCAGCGCAAAATAGATCTTCACCAGCCATCCCAGTATCAAGACAGCTGCAGAGAAGTCTTTTTCCTCCTTCCAGATACGTTGTGCACTGATCTTGCGCTGTTCTGGTGTCAGCTTATCGTGGTGGAGCTGTGCCATTTGCTCTGGTGTTCTGTATTGCGACTCGATGGTTTCGATGAGGTCCATCAGCCCAGTTTGGTGCGAGGATTGATTGGTCGTAGGCTGACCATCGTGAGGTGTGAAATACCACCAGTTGAAGGTGAAGAGGAGCGTCCAGAAGGTGGAGACCATGTGGTCGAGTGTGAAGAGGTGAGCATAGGTGAGCACATGTTGTGCCTCTTCGTCGGATATGCCTTTCAAGCCCCACAGGAACAAAACGATGGTCGCTATTGAGTAGACGTAGAGAGCTACTTGGGAGAAGGTGCCTCCTTGGAAAACCGCGAGGATGCCGTATATACCTGCTGTCTTGTTGAAGAGTGCGAAGAGGGTCAAGATGGATGCGCCGATCTTGAGATCCATGAAGCCTAGAAAGGATGTAATGGCATGATGAAACGACGGCATGCTCGGTAGCCGTAAATAAAGCCGCGACATGATGTGAGTGGACGTGATGCGAGCTAGCTTCTCCACGATCCCGTGTAGCAAGGAGGGGTTTGGAATGTTGCAAGGCCGCGACTGAGCTGGTCGAGAGGCAGCTAACACAGATAAGGTTTGTGAGGACAAGGTCGAGGAAGAGATTGCTGTGATTCGTCTATCGCCTTGACATGCTCCACTTCCTGACAGATTCGATACTTCAATAGATCTGATGACAGTAGGGAGTAGATGCGATGGCTGAGGCAGAGTGTAGGTGCGAGAAGGATGGTGACCGTCTCAACAGCACGATGAGAATGAGCAGGGTGTGTCTCTTCGTTCTGTGACAGGCGCGTCCAAAAGCATTTACAGCTCGGATCTCGGTCATTTTCTAGCGTCGTCTCAGGGTCAATTTTCAAGAACAGCGACACTGCGACAAGCAACACACACGACGACAGCAGAAGGTGGAAGCAGAAGCATCAAAAAAGTCACACAGAACAACACCCGCTGGTAGCACAAAGCACAAAGCACAAAGCACAAAGCACAGCACAGCACAGCACAGCACAGAAGAGCAAGTCCCATGTAGAGCACCTGTCAATCCGCTTTTGGCTCCTCTTCCCCACCATCTGTACCTCCATTCCAGTCCATGGCGTCGCAATAATGTTGGAGATTGCGATCTAGTCCGATCTAGGAATAATGTAGATCAGATCTGTAGAGGATCGGGCGGAGAAGGTTCAGTCGGCGATCAGGCTAAGTAGATCTGATCGGGATCAGATGTGGCAAATCAGGTAGAAAATCGGGCTGAGCCGATACCGGACAGAGATCGGATGCAACCATATCCCACTCGTTGCTACACACTGTCATTAGGTAGGGTACGCCCACAGTCGGGCATGTGCCACACGTTTGTATACAAGTCTGGCAGGGAGCTCGAGGCTCCCGCCACATTCACTTCTAGTATGTCAATATAGTATAGTGTTTTGCTCTTTAGCTTGAACACCTCCCGATCATCGTCGCCGAGTGACTCCTTTATTTCAACAAATAACTGTAGAAAGGTGCCTAGCCTTCGCTCTCCTCCAACAGCTGTCCTGCACAGAACAACTTCAAGTGGTTAGACTGTCCAGCCGTCGATAGTGAAGCAGACATGTCCAGGGCTGTCTCGCAAAAGGCTTCGGCCACTTCTATGCGGAGCACGCACACACATCACAAAAGGCATGTCTCGCTTCGTAACCTACCTGACCAGCCCGGACCCGAAGCCTACATTCCTCCCCATCTTGTTCTAGATGCGACATCGCCTCGAGACTCCGCCTTCTCCATCAGCTCAACAGAACAGAATCTTCGCGACGACACACCATACCGCACTGCTCCCGCTTCAGGAAGTGGAAATGGCGCTCTGCGACCTGCTTTGTCCACAGCTGGCCGCAGTGCAACTGGCGACGGCAACCACAGTCGTCGACCGACCGAAGCCTACGCACAGGAGCTCGATCGACTGCTTGAATCCGAAGGTGAAGACGGCGTCAACTTGATCAAAGTGGTCGAGCGTCAAGACGTCTTCCATCTCATCCACGAGATTCGTTCTGATCTGCGCAAGACCATTGACACCCATCTCAGCTGGGAAGAGCTCACCTCGGTCGACCTCAACTTTTCACTCGTCCGCCCTCTTGCCATCAAGTACAGCAACTTTCGCTCCATCGGCATCCTCTACTGCCTCATGCTCAATCGGATCTACTTCCAACGTGAAGCGACACGCGACCTCGCTTTCCAATCTGTCAACAACACCCGCTCAGCTCTTTGCGAGCTCCTCGCCATGAAATTGCTGCGCACTTTCTCAAACGACGGTTTGGAGCTCGTCACCTCGCTCACCGCGAGCTTTCATCCTTTGGCTGGGGCGACACACAGCGAGCTGAAGGAGCTGCATATGTCTTCATCGCACGTTGACATCAGCGAGATCACTAGTCATGGTCTACCTGCCAAGCAGTACTCGAATACTTTGGAGCTTGCGATTGCTTCTTCTGCCAAACGCTTCATCTCGACTCCGCTCTGCCAACGGTGTATTGATGGGATATGGAACGGCAAAGTCGTCCTGTCGCCCATGCAGGCATCTCACGCCATTCTCAACGATAGCTATAAGAAGCGTCCACTCAGCATCTACGACCCTACTAAGGCGCCCTTGCTCAATCATCTCCGCCTACGCGTACCCTCCATTCGAAGCAAGCTCGAGTTCGTCACTTTTGTCGTCATCCTCGTCCTGTATGTCGCTGCTTTAGCGCAGAAGGGCAGTCCAACGTGGACAATTCAGGAGACTTTGTTCTCGATCTGGCTGTTCGGATTTGCCGTTGACGAGCTGGCTCAGCTTCAGGAGCACGGGTTATCGCACTACATGAGCTCGCTCTACAACCTCATCGATGCAGTGTTCTGCATCATTTCCTTCTTCTGGTTTGGGCTACGCATTTCGGCGCTCCAACACGGTCTTCCAGGAAGAAGCGATCTCAGTTTCGACTGTCTAGCACTCGGTGCTGTAGTCCTCTGCCCAAGGGTAGCGAGCTCGTTGGTGCAAGACAACGTCGTCTTGCTCAGCTTGAAAGCCATGCTGTCCGACTTTGCGTTCTTCACAGTACTTGCTATGGTCTGCTTCTCCGGTTTCGCATATGCCTTCTACTCGCTCGCATCGGAAGAACGATGGACTTTCAAAGCCGTCCTTTGGCTTATGCTGAAGGTTTGGTTCGGCAGTTCCTATCTCGGTTTTGACGAAGCGCAAAGTTTCTCCCTTGAATTCGGTCCGCCCCTCATGATCATCTATACTATCATGAGCAACACTCTCCTCCTAACCGTACTCATCTCGCTCCTCAGCAACACCTTCCAGATCGTCGCCATGAACGCCAACGAAGAAGCCATGTTCCAATTCGCATGCAAAACCATGTCTGGTATCACCACCGATGCGATCTTTTCCTATCAACCCCCACTCAATCTTTTGGCGGTGGCGATAGTGATGCCGCTTAGCTTTTTCGTTTCGCCCAGATGGTTGCATAAGATCAATGTGTTTTTGATCCGGTTGACGAGTTTCCACGTGCTGCTAATTATCCATTTTTGCGAGTTGAACGTGTTCGGACAAGGGATCAGTCTGACAGCGGACAAGGGGAAGACGTTGTTGAGTAGACTGCCGTTTTTCAGTTCGGGGTTAGATAGTGCAAGTGCGGATGTGATTGAGGCTGCGTTTGATTATCGGCCGGCGGAAGATAAGGATGAATGGGGTGTGGAGGATGAGGAGTCAGGTGATGAGACGGATGGGGAGGGGGAAGGGTATGATGGTGTGGGGACGATTAGGAAGGGTAAGGGTGGCAAGGCTGAGGATGGAGGATGGGAGGAGAGGGCGGCTGCGAACTTGGAGCAAAAGGTCACTCCTCATGCCCAAAACCAGTCACAAACTGCCAGTTCTGCTAGTGGCGAAGCGCAGAAACAGGATCCTCTACCACGAACGACGACTCAGTCCTCGTTTGCAGGCAGCACAAGCTCTCGTCGCACACGAGACGGCCCCAGCAATCGAGTAGTGCAACTTCTTCGACGAGGACACGAACCTCGTGGTTTGGGCTCGCTCAGTTCTCCCCTCGCCAAACTGTTCAATCATGTGCTCGACCCTGGTGATCTTAATAACAACCTTCCTAAACGAGCTTCTTCTTCGTCTCGCTGCGCAGAACGATCTCGTAGCCCATCCCGTTCCCAATCTGGATCTCGTCTCGAAACGAGCAATGTTCGCTCTACAGACTCTAGCCCCACTCGACCTGCTTTTACGCGTAGACAATCCCCAAGGCGAGCGGAAAGAGATGCTGAGCTCCCGATGGCTGTTATTGGCGTGCATACATCAACCGGTAACGATGATCTCAGTGAAGAGTTGAGGACAATCGCAAGAAGGGTGCAGGAAATGGAAGCGAGGGGTAAAAGGATGGAAGATCTGTTGCTGCAGTTGTTGGAGCAGAAAAGTAGCAGTGCTGGGCCGAGCAAAAGTGCAAGTGGTAAGATCCAGACTGTTGGTGCCGGCGCCGATGAAGGGAAAAGCTCGAAGTGATTCAATCTCGCTATACTATGGACTCTCGATATCGCTTGACCACCGGAAATCGACAATCATACACACAAGGAACATTTAGTGTGACTGTAAGCTTCGTAGTGAGCTTGGTGAAGGTTGTCAAGCGAAGAAACTACGCATTTGAAAGCAGACAACCTCAACTAGAGGTATCTAATGCTACCTTCTGTGGATTTAGACACACAAGGCGCTTTGGCGGAGTGGTTATCGCGTGGCACTAGAATCTCTTCCTCGATTCTAGAGTATTATCTGCTCGACAAAAAAAATAAAATGCCATTCCCTCTGGGAGCATAGGTTCAAATCCTGTAGGCGTCGGTTTTTTTTCCATGGAACACCCCTGAAACTGGAATGTATGAATGTGGACGACTGAGGGGCATCTCCTCCAACTTTCTGGAGCAAGATTGATCAGAAAAAGGCTGAGTAATGGTAAAATGGATTTTTTTTTTTGATATGGTGTCAGTGTCTGTAATTAGGCATCACCTATAATCACATTGACACTTCAACATCATAACCCACCACAAGACTTGACAGGGATGCTCAGCTGACTTCAGCGCACCTCAACATCACATGAACCAATGACTTTGACACTGCTACAAGCTCTACAGCTCATAAACACCACCAACTTTTTGACCAAATCCATCCAGTCTCAAATGACTCAAATTTGACCAAATGACACTGTGTTTTTTGCAAGTTTCACTGCTTCAGTGATGTTGGGGAGCTCAGTCTAGTATTGCTGTGCAAAACCAACACATATATCAACATCATCCACCCATTCAATCTATTGGCACCTCTTTCAGCAATGTCTCTGGGGGTCTTGATTGCAACAACAACCACTTCCCACTTCTGCTGCCCTGTGTGTTCCACAGGTGTGTCCCAGGGTTGGTTTTGCTCACTCAGCACCTCCATTATATTACTTTATGGCTAAGTCCCTGAGGCCCTCCTTTGAGCCTCTGCCTACAAGTGCTCTCCTCACCTTCTCCTCCTCTGCCTTCCATCATCACTCACTTTCTCATCATTCTGCCTGGCTAAAGCTCTGCCCTCCTCACTGACTTCCTCCCATAAAGGCTCCTCCCTTCAGTAATTGCCCTCACCCCCCCTTCACCATCCACACTACTCCTCAACCACACCAGCTCCTTTTGCATCCTTTCACCCTTACTCAATGCCACCTATCCACTCCAATGATCAACATCATCATGCATCTGACTCTGGCCCTGTTCTCACCTCCCCAGATATGCCAACCCCTGCAGCTGATACATCTGCTGCCTCCACTCCCTTATCCCCTCAAGACCACATTGCCCTCGACATCCCTGCTACTACTCACAAGGACACCAATGAATCCACTGTCACAGGGTCAGTGGGTCAGCATATGAAGGGTGTGCCAAATTGATCAGCAGCAATCATGGTAATGTCACAGGGTCAGCAGATCAGCATATGAAGGGTGCACCAAATTGATTGGCAGCAAATCATCAGGAATCAACAAAGCTAATCAGGTTGGTAGCACATATGATTTATGAGACCAACCAAACTCTGGGGTCCAGGTTAATTTCACAAGGATCAATCAGGATCAGCCTGATCAGCATGTCTCAGCAAGTCAGCTGACATGAGCAAGCATCAGGAGATTCAGGGAGGAGGATACCAGCATTAGAAGGAGAAGCATACAGAGATAACCACATGTAGGAGTGGGGACCAAGCTCAGCATCATGCAGATGGTAACTGCTCAAGGGGTACATGCATATAGCCACACAGGACCAAGCACAGGGGCAACCACATGACCAAGGAGTTTGGTCATGAGGTCCAACAAGTGGCTAAAGGGATTCACAAGATAAGGTCAAGAAGGTGGTTGCTGGTGAAGAGAGAAGTGTAAGCGGTCGCACACCAGAGACTTAGTTTTGGGGTGTTATATTGAGTTTGATTGAGTAAGGTCTACTCAGTATGTTTTGCCTAAATGTAACCAAACATTGCTGCCTGGTAAGTCTCAACTGACTGCCTTGAACACTCCATTCAGAGGTTGTGCAGCACAGACACTGGTCATTGGTGAGTGAGTGATACACCCTCTCCTACAGTACAAGTGTTTGTAGTACTGTTGATAATGCTCTTGGATGTTGTCTGGACTGTGATATGCTAATTGCCTCAGAGGATGGGAGTTACTGGACCACAGGTGTGAGTCACCACCTACAATAACTGACTGGACTGCAGGTGTCAAGCAACACTGCCTACAGCGAGGGACTGGACTGCAAGTGTTGAAGAACACCACCTATAGTAAGGGACTGGACCACAAGTGTTGAAGAACACCACCTATAGTAAGGGACTGGACCACAAGTGTTGAAGAACACCACCTACAGTAAGGGCCTGGACTGCAAGTGTTGAAGAACACTGCCTACAGTTGTCAACTAACGGTGATACTACACACATGTTGAGAGTCGTTGCAGGAGCACTGCTATTGCAATGGTACATAACTGAGTAAGTAAGTAAAGTAGATAGAGTAAAGAGTGGATAGGGCTCCACTCATATGCTATGGTAGAGTGAGAGTATTTATGTGTTCAATTGGTGTTGCCCACGACACCTATCCTGCTCCTCCTGAGGGGCCTGTCAGGGGTCTCGCGCCTGAAACCCAGGTCAGTCTGTCGAGATACTCAGTGACTATCAAACTGTGTGACAGCTATTGTCTCAGTATCAATCTCGACGAGCTAGTCATTTGGTGACTATCAAGTTGCATGATGACAGCAGGTGGCATTCATTGTATATACTATCATAGGTTTTGGCTGACCTCTGTGGACACTCTGTTCAGGGTAGCTTGGCACAATCAATATCGATATGTAGGTTATGATGACACCAAGGTCTGGTGTGAATGTTGATGATGATGAGGTTGATGGTGTTGGTGATAAGGTTGGTGGCATCAACACAAGTGTCCAGTGTGTTGACTGATGCTTGAGGTGATCCCTGGACCACAGTGGACTACTGCCTTCGGTTCTATCTTAATCTGGACTGCTGGTTTGCTATGAACTGCCTTCAGATGTCAGGTAGTGGTGATACAACACACACACTACAATGAGGAGCAATCTTGATAGATTACTACTATGCTGACTGAAACTAATGTATACTTATGCTGAAGTTATAACTAGTTATGATGTGTGTAGAGTGGATGAGGATCCACTTGACCTTTGATGATGAGAAAGTATGGTTATATACCTCTTCACAGTGTTGCCAGCAACACTGCTCCTGCTCTCTCTCTCCAGAGAGTACCTTCTTCATCGAGTACTGTACAGGGGCCCTTCTAGCACCACTCCTGTCCTCCTTGAGCTATCCTGCTTGCTTGGCACCCCTGTGCCTCTTGAGCTGTGTCAACTCCTTTGACACTGCTCCTCCTCCTTGCTATCCTGCTTGTTTGGCACCCCTGTGCCTCCTGAGTGGTGTTGACTCCTTTGACACTGCTCCTCCTCCTCAGGACCTGCTTGCCAGTTTCCTATACACTGCTCCTTCTCCTTTGACCAGTGACAGTTCCTTTGACTCTTGTCTCTTGAGCCCCTGAGTGGTAACTGTCTGCATGCTCCTTGAGCTTGGTCCTCTTCATGGCTGTGCCTGCTCCTTGAGCTTGGTCCTCTTCTGCATGTGAGTCTGTAGGGGTCCATGGTCTCCATGGAGACTGCACTATGACCATGCTCTCTACTGGTATCGACTAGATCTCCGATACCTGTGCTCCTTCCATATGAACCAGTGACCCTCCTGCTTCTTGAGCATTCAGGCCCATGACACCAACTACACTTCCAGAGTGATTGTTCTGAGCAATATATCACGTGTCCAATCGATGTCGATTGGCAACATTTACTCCCCACATGTACAACAGGGTGGCACTACTCAACAACCCCCCCATATGTTCCTGCCACCAGCAGTCCCTGATGTCCAGCAAGCTATGGTCATTCACTGGATCTCCCTGGGATCCCCTGAGTCAGGCTCTTACACTGGCCCTCAGCCAATTTAACCTCTCTGTCTGCACAGATGGTGCAGACTCCATTTCAGCTGAATGGCTCCTGTGACACTACCCCCCCTTCGAGAGCTGAGCTCCGTTGAGGCTAGGTACATCCACCAGTAATCCCTTACTTCCTGCTGTTCCACCAACAGCATTTCCACATGACCTTCAAAATGGTGTGCACTTGTAACACTTCCCACTCCACTGCGTCATCTCAACCACCCAGCCAGAACCTGCCTGCCTCTGGGTTGGGGAAGCCTGTGTGCCACAGTGCCAGGCTACTTGGATGCAATTCTGCCCCTCCTGCAGGTCCCTCTGCTGCTGGCCTCATGGTCACAGCTTCACCTACAACTGCTGCCAACGAGCAGCCTTCTGAGACTGCAGCTGCTGAGCTGCTGGTCACCCTTGCTTCTGGGGCCTGTCCCCGCTTGGAACTGCTGTTCCTCGGTGGTGAGGAGGAGGAACCGTTGTTCCTCGGTGGTGAAGGGGAGGAACCAACGTTCCTTGATGGTGAGGAGGAGGAGGAGGAGGAGGAGGAGGAGGAGGAGGAGGAGGAGGAGGAGGAGGAGGAGGAGGAGGAGGAGGAGGAGGAGGAGGAGGAAGAACGATGGAGATCTCGATGAGATCTGTCACAGAACCATGTCTACTACCGATCTCACTGAATTCTTCTGTAATTCCCATGATCTACCCGATTCCTCAATTCCTGCACTCCCTTCATATGAACTTATGGGCCTTTCTGCTTCCTGTGCATCCAGGCCCATGACATCTCACACCTGCAGTCCAGTAACTTCCGTCCTCTGTAGGTGATAAGCATATCGCAGTCCAGATGACATCCAAGAGCATTAACAACAGTACTGTGAACACTTGTACTGTAAGGAGAGTGTATCACTCACTCTCTAACAAACAATGAACATGCCATGCAACCTCTGAATGGAGTGTTCAAGGCAGTCAGCCAAGACCTACCAGTACAAAGTCATCTGGTTACATTTAGTCAAAACATACCAAGTAGATCTTACTC